TGCTTGCCCTAGAGGGAGATCCGGATGCACCAGACATCTCGACTCCGCGTTCTTACGCTGAGGCGATCGCGGGTGAGTACTCCTCTGAAGACATGGACGCAGAGATGGCATCCTGGAAGTCCACAGGCACTAACATCGACGAGGTTCCCCCTCATGGAGCGAACATCGTCGATGGCATGTGGATTTTCAGGGTGAAGCGGCCGCCGGGTTCTTTGCCTGTCTTCAAGGCTCGTTACATTGCACGAGGCTTCAGTCAGCGACAGGGAGTTGATTTCTTCCAGACCTTCTCCCCCACCCCGAAGATGATCACTCTTCGGGTGCTGCTGCACGTTGCCACTCAGCGTGACTACGAGCTTCACTCTCTGGACTTCAGCACAGCGTTCTTACAGGGCAGTCTGCACGAGGAGATCTGGCTGCGCCGCCCACCTGGCTTCACTGGGTCGTTCCCTCCTAGTACCCAGTGGAGCCTCCGTCGGCCAGTCTACGGTCTCTGTCAGGCGCCTCGTGAGTGGAACGACACAGTGAGGAGGACACTTGCGGCTCTTGGGTTTGCCCCTTCCACTGCTGACTCGCCGTTGTTTCTACGCACCGACACTTCACTGCCGCCGCTCTACATCCTCGTGTACGTCGACGACTTGGTCTTTGCCACTGCTGATACTGAGGCTCTCGCTCTTGTGAAGTCGGAGCTGCAGAAGAGACACACGTGCACAGACCTGGGTGAGCTGCGCAGTTACCTTGGCTTGCAGATCACCCGAGACAGAGCACGGTGCACCATCACCCTGACTCAGTCACACATTGTGCAGTAGGTCCTTCAGCGCTTCGGCTTCACTTGGTCCTCGCCACAGTCCACTCCTCTGGCTACAGGTCACTAGCTCTCAGCTCCACCTTCGGACGAGTCCGTAGAGCTGAGTGGCCCGTACCCAGAGCTAGTGGGCTGCCTCATGTACCTGATGACCTGCACTTGTCCTGACCTTGCGTACCCTCTTGGCCTTCTGGCACGCTACGTGGCTCCTAGTAGGCACCGAAAGGTGCACATGGATGCTGCAAAGAGGGTACTGCGCTACTTGTGCAGTACATCGGGCATGGGGCTCGTGCTTGGAGGGCGGAGCTCAGTTGTGCTCACTGGACACTCAAACGCTTCTTGGGTTGACAATCTGGCTACGCAGCGGTTGTCACAGGGTTACACGTTCAGCCTTGGTGTAATTCAAGTGTTGGCGTTGCGGCGACGTTGATTGCTGTCGGTTCGGGCAGTACCTGGCAGAAAGGGGAGTCAAGTGGCTCATCTCCCTTCCCTACGCCCACCAACAACAAGGCGTAGCAGAAAGAATGAACAGGACCCTGCAAAACACCATGCGCAAGCTATTACGTGGCATGCGGCCACCCAACCACCAGTGGCCCGAAGCAATGGACCACGCCGTCATGCTGCATAACTTGCTCTCGTCATCATCGCTCCCGAACAACGCATCGCCGCATCTGCTGTGGACAGGGAAACAGGGCAGCACAAAAATGTTACGAGTTTTCGGATGCATGGTACAGTACCGACCCCCTAGCAGCATGAGTGGGCCGATTCTCCCAACGCGCACAGTGGGGATTACACCTGGGCATTGAAAAGAATTACAATGCGTGGAAAATCTTCGACATCCACTCCAAGGAAACAGTAGCAGCACGTGATGTGATTTTCTACGAACGACTCACGCTCCAGACATACCTTGCCAACCTGCAAGAAGACCGGGATCCCACAGGTGGTTTTCGTGGTGACCGAGCCTTCGCCTCAGCAGCAGACGAAGCTGAGTGGGACGAGCAGAATGTGGACAACGCCTCGGAAGAAGCCGGACCTCTTCCTTACTGCTCCGTCTACGTTCCCATGGATGACGACAATCCTCGCGAAAGTGTCAACGCCAAAACTTACTATTATTTCGCCGACAACGGTTACGTAACACCTGCGACAGTCAACACCAACGAAGCAGAACACGTAGGGCCGAACTTCATACCTGACCCAGAAGCGGGAGACGAAGCAGCTTATCCCGAGGACGCAAATCTCCCCCGCTACACACAGAGTGGACTTCAAATCCTTGGTCTCGTCACCGCAGTCCACGGCACAGCCATTCCTACGGAGCCTGCGACGGTTCAGCAGGCTCCGGGGGGGGAACATAGGGAGAAATGGCGTGAAGCCATGGACAGGGAGTTGAAGGCGCTGGAGGAACGGAACACCTGGAAGGTCGTTCCCATCAGCGTGGCACGGAACAAGACCATCCTCATCGGAAAATGGGTCTTCCGTGTGAAAACGAAAGCAGACGGTACAATTGAAAAATTCAAAGCACGCTGGGTTGTGCGTGGATTCGATCAGGAGCACGGACGGGACTTCACCGAGACATTCGCTCCGGTCAGCCGACATACCTCACTTCGAATTCTCCTCGCGATCGCCGCCATGAAGAAGAAGAAACTGCGGCAAATCGATGTCGCTAACGCATTCCTCTACGCACCTGTCGATGCGGAAATCTTCGTCGAACTCCCACACGGCTCCAACGGAGAACCTAACCAGGACTGTGAGTTACTGAAGTCCCTGTACGGCATCAAGCAGGCACCAAGACTGTGGCAGCAATACCTACATGCCAGGCTCGTCCGCATCGGTTTTCGCCAACTACCGCACGACCAAGGCATGTATCGACTATCGAAAGGCGACGATTACATCCTGCTCATCGTCTACGTGGATGACCTACTCTACATTGGCTCGACCGACAACATCACCACCTGGTTCGAAGGAGAGTTAAAACAAGACCTCACCCTCACGGTTTCGACTACCGTCACGCAGTATCTCGGCCTCAACATTCAGGAGGAAGAGAACGCGATCTATCTCAGCGCTTCGAAGTACACCGACACCATCACCAAACGCTTCGGATTTACTCCGACCGCCATCTCCACGCCATACCGCTACACTACCGGGAATCACAAGGAAAGCTCCGTCCTACTCAAACCCGCCGGCTTACGCGACTACCAGCGAAAACTGGGATGTCTACTCTTCGCAGCCGTCACCTGCCGACCGGATCTCTCTTACTCCGCAAGCCAACTCGCCACCTACCTTAAGAGACCTGAAGCAGAGCACATGGCGGAACTCGACCGCGCACTGCACTATCTCGTCAGTACCCCGAAGATCGGATTAACCTACCATAAGACAGGAACTACGGCGCCCAAGCTAATCGGCTACGTCGACGCTGATCACGCTGCTGATCCTGAGAACAGGCGCTCACGCACCGGCTATATCTATTGACTCGAACCTATCGGGCCCATCTCCTGGCAGTCGAGCAAGCAGGAACTAATCGCCCTCTCCTCAGCTGAAGCAGAATATATTGCACTCTGCTCAACCACCAAGAAAGGACTCTACCTTCGCGAACTACTGGAAGAGGCAAAATTGGCCTAGTTACCCAATTTCTCTCTGTTCTGCGACAACCAATCTGCAATTCACATCGCCAACAAAATCGGATTCGCGAACAGGACGAAGCATATCGCCCTGCGATACTTCTTCGTGAAAGATGAGATCGAGAAGGGGAGACTCGAGCTGTCCTACTGTCCCACGTCTGAGATGGCAGCTGATTACTTGACCAGGAAACTCGGAAAGCAGAAATTCGAGTACTGCATGCTGCTGACAGGACAAGGCCACGTCACCAGCAACGACACTCCAGAAGCGAAGGTGAGTGTTGGGAATAAGTAATTTAGCGCCTCTGTCGTGTCGAAACACTAAGCTGCGAACGAAGCAAGGTGCAGCGAAGCATCGGCGAATCAACCCTCGGAAGTTGAACAACAGTTCGAGGTTACGCGAAAGTCAAAGGTCAGCGACCTTTGACCTGACAAATACAGCGCTACAGCAAGGACACACAACTGACTCGTTATTGAGCAGTTGCCCGAGTCGTCACTGTATCGAACCGCAACAGCAGCAGTAAAACGGTTATTAACCGTATCTCTTCGTATTCCTTGTACTCTTATATAAAACCTTGTACTTCTCTGTTTTAATCAATCCACTTTGCCCTCACATACCAGCGCAAGGTGGTTCACAAAGTCATCATTGAACGCTTCCGCTATTACATCACCATTGAATCTAGTCCTGCAAAGATCCTTAAGGGCCTTTCTCAGCCCAACAGTGTAAATATTTGCGGCAGAGATTTTTGTAGAAGAGCTTGAATGGGATATTTACGTCTACTGTTCCCAGGTCATTTTGGTTCTCTATGGGTAGGCTTATACAAAGTGTTTTGGGTAATGGCCCGTTGTTGTAGAGAGGTTAGGTTTGAGTCTGCGAACGAGACGGATTTGTTATTAAAGAGGATATCTCCGCCGCCATGTGATTACAAATTCCCGCCTAGGGTTGCCCTGCCAGGGCAGCGCGTTGCCTTCGTCACATGCGGTTCAGTTCGGTTCTCACTGGCCCATTACCGCTTTGAAACGTAATACACCACGCGGAACACCCTCACTCCCCACAGATTATAGAATCTGTCACTGCAAGCTCACTCGCCAGTTTTACTTGCTCCTTTCAAATCACCCTTGATCTATTTCCACACACAACTGAGCTAGTGATCATTCTCTACCACCGTTTCCTCCGTTTACGGTTGCCTAAGACGGCGTTCTAGCTTCGTTTTAGTCGCTCTCTCTCTAGCCTATGATCATTTTCTGCAGCCGTATCCCTGTCGTTCTTTTCAAGCATAGCTCGAAGTTCGTTTCTCATCATTGCGTTGCTTCGCTCTCGCGATTCACACCACACGTCCCCGTTACAGATTTCCAGTTTTCATCGCTTCGATTCCGTCAATTTCGCACGTGCGTGGACAGTGTGCGGGCACGTGGCCGAATTCCCGTCTCTCGTCGTAAGCGTTAGATATTTTAGAGAGTTCAGGAAACATAAAGGGCTAGGAGCATCACGGGATTCTAGGGAATTCAAGGGATCTAAACAACCAAATAACAATTTACCGGATTTTTGGGAAAGTCGGCTCGTTGCTGGGTCATCTTCGCGCGCTATGATGCGGCGGGGCAGGGGGCCGAACAGCCAGAAGCGGGGTGGGCGCGGAGGCGGAAGGGGTGGCGGAAGGGGCGGAGGGAGAGGCGGAAGGGGCGGGGGAGGAGGGGGAAGGGGTGGAGGGGGAGGCGGAGGCGGAGGGGAGCAGCGATGGTGGGATCCGGCGTGGCGCGCGGAGCGATTAGCGGTGATGGGGAAGGAGGTGAGGGGGAAGGGAGGAGGTGAGGGGGAAGGGAGGAGGTGAGGGGGAGGGAAGTTCTTAGATGTGTTTTGAGTTGACTCAAAACACAGCAGCGATGGTGGGATCTGGCGTGGCGCGCGGAGCGATTAGCTGCGACGGGGAAGGAGGTGAGAATGAAGGGAGGAGGTGAGGAGGGGAAAGGGGTTGAGGGGGAGGGAAGGGCATGAAGGGGAGGGGAGGTGGTGAATGAGACGGAGGAGCAGAGGGAGAGGGGAGGTGCGGGAGAGGGGAAGAGAGGATGGGAAGAGGGAAGGGGGTGGGGAAGAGGGAAGGGGTACAAGGAAGATAGAAGTGGGAGGGTAGACAAGAGAAGGAACGCGAGAGTGTCATTTCCATTTCCATCCCCATCCCAAATTCATTCCCACCCCCCGCTGTTCCGTCTCCCCCTGTTCCTCTCCCCCCTGTTCCACCTCCCCCTGTTCCCCCCGCCCCCTGTTCCGCCTCCCCCTGTTCCCCCCGCCCCCTGTTCCGCCTCCCCCTGTTCCCCCCGCTCCCTGTTCCGCCTCCCCCTGTTCCCCTTTCCTCTCTGTTCCGCCTCCCCCTGTTCCCAACCCCCCTCTCCCCTGTTTCACCCCCCCCCCCAGAGAGGCCCAGCAAAGCAAGTGGACGGCGCAGCATGGGCAACACGTTTTCGGCAGCTGGCAGCAGGGGGTGGTGCTGTGGGGAACGGTGCAACGGGGAATGGTGCGGTGGGGAGCGGTGCAGTGGGAGGAACAGCAGGCGCGCAGCAGGGGGGGAGTTCACCAGAGGAGATTGTGATAAGAGAGAACTATGGGAGGGAGGGCACGGAGCAACTGGCGTTACTGGCAGAGCAAGCAGGGCTGTACTTGTGAGTGATTGGGATTGGTGTGGGTGTGGCGTGGTCTAAACCTTCAACCCAAAACTTTAAACCCCAACCCGAAATCCACCTTTTTTTTAGAATTCTCAATAAACCCCAAACCCGAGATCCACTTTTTTAAAAGAATTCTCAATAAACCCCAATCCGAAATCCACTTTTTTTTTTAGAATTTTCAATAAACCCCAAACCCGAGATCCACACATTCGACATGAACCTTGCTACCCATAGATTGCCAGAAATCTGCAAATTTTTGTCCCTTATTTAGCACTTGCAGCAAAAAAAATTCAATGGCACTGGGACTGTGGCAGTGGCCAGCAGGGTGGCTCTTCCATTTCGGGCTGGGAAAGAAACATTCTACCCGCCCTTTGCATCTCCTGCTCCTCATTGATCTTCATGCAGTCAGATGTAGGGGAACGGCACTGGGACTGCTGTTGAGTCGACTCAAAAGCGGGAACGGCACTGGGACGGTGGCAGTGGCCAGCAGGCTGGCTCTTCCAGGCTATTCAAGAGAAGAGAAGGAGACCCTTCTTACTGCTGTTGCCCCCTCCCCGTTCTCTGCTTGCGTTCTTGCAGTCAAACGTACGGGAAGGGCACTGGAACGGTAGCAGTGGCCAGCAGGGTGCCTCTTCCCAGCTACCGGGCTGATCTGGATGACAAGCACGGGCGGTCCGAGCGACAGGTGAGCTTCAGATTGACTCCATTCTTGATCGACTCTGCTTTCTTGCAGCAAGAGCTCTGCGACCAGCGAGTCCATTCAGTCAATTCACAATTCACAAGGCAAGGGCGTTGGGATTTTGGGATCGTAGCAGTGGCAAGCAGAGCAGCAGGGTGCCTCTTCCCAGCTACCGGGCTGATCTGGACGACAAGCACGGGCGGTCGGAGCGACAGATGAGCCGCTCGTTCCACTCAGATTGACTCACTCACTTTCAGATAGACTCCTCTTCGGATTGGCTCTGGGAGTTTGGGACCGTAGCAGTGGCCAGCAGGGTGCCTTTCCTTCTCCTCCTTCTCTTTCCCCATCCTCTCACCCCACCCTTTCCCTCCGCTTCCCCAACTCCCCCCCCGCTCACTCCCTTTGTTCATTTAATTCAACTAAAGCCATGAACATGCCACTATCCTCCCCTCCACGCCTCCTTTGATCTCCCTTCCTCTCTCATCCCCTCCCCTCACATAACGCACAAATGACTGCCGTCATGTTTCAAGCGTCCTCGTCCCGCCTTCCTCCCTGCCTCCCTTCCCGTCCCTTCCCCTCTCAAACAAACCCCCTCATCCCTCCCATTCTCCTGCAGGTCACCGTCTCATCTGATCTCCATCAACACGTCTCTAGCCTCCTTGCCTCATTCCTGCGCTGTTTGGCCTTTTCTCCTATCGGTTTCGCTCCCTCTCCGCCCTCATCCCTCCCATTCTCCTGCAGATCACCGTCTCATCTGACCTCCATCAACACGTTTCAAGCCTCCTCGCCCCTTCCTCCTCCTCCTCCGCCCCCCCTGGATCAACCACACCAGCAGCAGCAGCAGCAGCGCCATCAGCAGCAGCAGGGGCACAGGGAACGGGTCTCCTCTCAATGCCTGCGGTGTCGTCCCAGGCCTCTGCAGCAGCTGAATCAGCAACAGCACATGCGCTTAGAGTGCAGAGTGACGCGTTGAGGGCCGAACAAAACCGGCGCAAGGTGAGGTCCTCTGCAACCCTTCGTGGGTTCAAATTAAAGGTTTGCACAGGCCTTTCCAACCCCTTTGACCTCCCTGCAGCGCAAGCTATGTGGCACCTCATGCCATGTGGCACCGCATGCCATGTGGCACCGCATGCCATGTGGCACTGCATGCCATGTGGCACCTCATGCCATGTGGCACCGCATGCCATGTGGCACCGCATGCCATGTGGCACCGCATGCCATGTGGCACCGCATGCCACGTGGCACCGCATGCCATGTGGCACCGCATGCCATGTGGCACCTCATGCCATGTGGCACCTCATGCCGTGTGGCACCTCCCCTCCCATATTGAATCAGCGACAACAATTAGCCTATAAGGAGAGGGAGGAGCTTCTGTTGGTGCACCCAACAATCCTTTTCAAACATCTCTATCACACACATTTCTCTCCCACCCTTTTGAGGCGCCTCAAAAGTCATCTCTATCACACACAATTCACTCCCACCCTTCCCGCCCCCACCTCCTCCCTATCCTCCAGTCCTCCCCAGCAGTGCAGGCCATGACGGTTCAGAGGCAGCGCCTACCTGCCTTCACTTCAAACAGCCGGAGGAGCGGCTGTTGCTGCAGACACCTTCCCCTCCCTTCCCGCCCCCACCTCCCTATCCACCAGTCCTCCCCAGCAGTGCAGGCCATGACGGTTCAGAGGAGCTGCTGCTGCTGCTGCAATGAACAATCCGCATCAAGCTTCTCTATCAAAGACTTTTGAGTCGACCCAAAAGTCCACTCAGCGGAGCTGCTGCTGCTGCTGCTGCTGCAATGAACAATCCGAATCAAGCTTCTCTATCAAACACCACTCTTACCATTTTCCTTCTTTCTGTGTCCCTCCCCACCACCAGTCCTCTCCAGCAGTACGGGCAATGATGTCTCAGAGGCAACGCCTACCGGTCTTCAAGCAGCGGGAGGAGCTGCTGCGAGCTGTGCAGCAGAGCCAGGTGATTGCAGCAGAGCCAGGTGATTGCAACAGAGCCAGGTGATTGCAACAGAGCCAGGTGATTTTAGCAGAGCCAGGTGATTGCAGCAGCGCCAGGTGATTGCAGCAGCGACTGGTTAAGATGATTGCGTCAGTATGTTCTACAGAAGGAGGTGAATGCAAACGGATCAGGTGATCGTAAACAGTGCCAGGCCGATATAACAGATTCAGGTGAGTGCAACAGAACATCCGCTTCCATGGCAGAGATTTGATCTGCCCTTATCTGGCCCAGATGCTTGCGATATCCTTCTTACCTTGTCCGGTTGCCCTTGATGTGACACTTTCCCTCTTCCTGATGTCCCCATGGTGTCAGACGATACAGGGTGTGGGTTCAGGGTTTAGGGTTTGTTCAGGTACACCTCCGTGTGTTGCCCTCCCCTCCTCCCTCACTCCGTCCCGTCCCCTTCGGTGCCAGTGGTGTCAGGGGAGACGGGCTGTGGCAAGACCACCCAGCTCCCGCAGCGAGATAGAGGCAAGAAGGGGAGCACAGACCGTCATCATTTGCACTCAGCCCCGGCGAATTTCAGCGACGTGGTGGCATTTTTGAGAATTCTAAAAAATCACTCACGAGGGTAGCATAGGCCTGCCCATTGAGTCGACTCAAAAGTCTTCTCAAAAATCAGTCACGAGGGTGGCATAGGCTTGCGCATTCATGCGTTCAGCCCATTCATGCGTTCTACGGTCTACCCCACTGTTCGCATTTTCCCAGGTGCTTGTGGTGTCGGGAGAAACTGGCTGTGGGAAGACCACCCAGTTACCCCAATTCATCCTGAAGGGAGAGATAGGCAGAGGCGCACAGACGATGATCATCTGCACCCAGCCCCGGCGGATATCCACCACGTCGGTGGCAGCAAGAGTGGCAGCAGTCAGCCCACCCGCTCAAACATGCAGTGTTTAACCTTTCCCATTCCTCCTTTCCGCAGGTCCTTGTGGTTTCAGGCGAGACAGGCTGTGGCAAAACCACCCAGCTCCCGCAATTCATTCTGGAGAGTGAGATAGAAGCAGGCAGGGGCGCACAGACCATGATCATCTGCACCCAGCCCCGGCGGATATCCGCCACGTCGGTGGCGGCGAGGGTGGCGGCGGAGAGAGGCGAGGAGGTGGGGGGCAGCGTGGGGTATCAGATCCGGATGGAGAGCAGACGAGGGCCGAATACGAGGCTGCTGTTCTGCACTACTGGGGTGCTGCTGAGACGACTGGTGAGTGGTTTGTATGGTAAAGGCTGGCTAAAAGATGGATAGGGGTTGAAGCCTGGAAGCAGAGGAGGTGGGGGGCAGCGTGGGGTATCAGATCCGGATGGAGAGCAGACGAGGGCCGAATACGAGGCTGCTGTTCTGCACTACTGGGGTGCTGCTGAGACGACTGGTGAGTGGTTTGTATGGTAAAGGCTGGCTAAAAGATGGATAGGGGTTGAAGCCTGGAAGCAGAGGAGGTGGGGGGCAGCGTGGGGTATCAGATCCGGATGGAGAGCTGGCGCGGGCCCAATACGAGGCTGCTGTTTTGCACTACTGGCGTGCTGCTGAGACAACTGTTGGGTGTGGGGTGAATACATGGGTTGGGGTTGAACACCCGGCTGCTGTTTCGCACCACTGGAGTGCTGCTGAGACGACTGGTGAGTGTGGGGTGGAGAGTGGTGAGTGTGGGGTGGAGAGTGGTGAGTGTGGGGTGGAGAGTGGTGAGTGCGCGGTGGAGAGTGGTGAGTGGGTGGTGAGTGCCGGATGGGGTGGGTGACAGGTGAATGTGAGTGAGGTGATTGTAAGGTGAGTGTGTGGGTGGGGTGGAGACTGGTGTATGTTGGATGCGCTGGTTTGTTTCTGATGCATGAACCAACACTTGTCTCATTCTTTGAGAGACCTGCGACGTGCTACCCCATGTGTTGCCCCATCTGCTGCCCTGTTCGCTCGCTGTCCTATATACTGCCACTGTATCATGCTCTCCCCCTCCCCACACACACAGGTGCAACAGCCAGTCCTAGCTGGGGTTTCGCATGTGATGGTGGACGAGATTCACGAGCGGGGTATGAACGAGGCCTTCCCTCTCTCATCATCCTCAAAGACCTGCTACCCCACGTCCTGTCTCATATGCTGCCCTATACATGTGCAACAACCAGATCTGGCTGGGGTTTTGCATGTGATGGTGGACGAGATTCACGAGCGGGGTATGAACGAGGCCTTCCCTCTCTCATCATCCTCAGGGAGACCTGCTGCCCCCTCTGTCTGTCTCTCCTCCCCATCCATTCAGGCGCAACAGCCAGACTTAGCAGGGGTGTCCCATGTGATGGTGGACGACATTCACGAGCGGGGCATGAACGAAGCCTTCCCTGAGAGACGTGCTGCCCCGCGTGCTGCCGTGTCTCCTGTGTCGTATGCTGTCCTTCACAGGTGCAACAACCGGACCTAGCTGGCGTCTCCCACGTGATGGTGGACGAGATACACGAGCGAGGGATGAATGAAGACTTCCTCCTCATCATCCTCAGGGATCTGCTGTCCGCCCTGCTTGTCTCTCCTCTCCTCCCCATCCATTCAGGTGCAACAACCAGACCTAGCTGGCGTGTCCCATGTGATGGTGGACGAGATTCACGAGAGGGGAATGAACGAGGACTTTCTCCTCATCATCCTCAGAGACCTGCTACCCCACGTGCTGCCCTGCCTCCTGTCTCATATGCTGCCCTATACAGGTGCAACAACCAGACCTAGCTGGCGTCTCCCACGTGATGGTGGACGAGATACACGAGAGGGGAATGAACGAGGACTTTCTCCTCATCATCTTGAGGGACCTGCTGCCGCGCCGCCCCGACTTGCGCCTCGTGCTCATGAGCGCCACCATCAATGCCGAATTGTTTTCGGAGTACTTCAACAAAGCACCGATGGTGCACATTCCGGTGAGTTTGATTGGTGTCTCTCTGTCACTCTTTGCTGCCTCGTGCTCATGAGCGCCACCATCAACACGGAGCTGTTCTCGGAGTACTTCAATAAAGCACCGATGGTGCACATTCCTGTGAGTCTTTAGAATTCGCAAAAGTCATTCCGGTGAGTTTGAGTGGGATGTTCGAACACGTGTGATGTCATTCATGTGTGCTTGCTTTGTGCTCATGAGCGCTACAATCCGTGCAGAGCTGTTCTCGGAGTATTTCAGTAAGGCGCCGATGGCACACATCCCTGTGAGTTTGATTGGTGTTTATCTGTCACTCTTTGCTGCCTCGTGCTCATGAGCGCCACGATCAATGCAGAGCTGTTCTCAGCGTACTTCAATAAAGCTCCCATGGCGCACATCCCGGTGAGTGGCGCATGGTGTTGCCATCGCACTTGTTCCGCCCCGACCTGCGTCTCGTGCTCACCTCGTGCTCACCTTGTGCTCACCTTGTGCTCACCTTGTGCTCACCTTGTGCTCACCTTGTGCTCACCTCGTGCTCACCTTGTGCTCACCTTGTGCTCACCTTGTGCTCACCTCGTGCTCACCTTGTGCTCACCTTGTGCTCACCTTGTGCTCACCTTGTGCTCACCTTGTGCTCACCTCGTGCTCACCTTGTGCTCACCTTGTGCTCACCTTGTGCTCACCTTGTGCTCACCTTGTGCTCACCTCGTGCTCACCTTGTGCTCACCTTGTGCTCACCTTGTGCTCACCTCGTGCTCACCTTGTGCTCACCTTGTGCTCACCTCGTGCTCACCTTGTGCTCACCTTGTGCTCACCTTGTGCTCACCTTGTGCTCACCTTATGCTCACCTTGTGCTCACCTTGTGCTCACCTCGTGCTCACCTTGTGCTCACCTTGTGCTCACCTTGTGCTCACCTTGTGCTCACCTTGTGCTCACCTCGTGCTCACCTTGTGCTCACCTTGTGCTCACCTTGTGCTCACCTCGTGCTCACCTTGTGCTCACCTTGTGCTCACCTTGTTCTCACCTTGTGCTCACCTTGTGCTCACCTCGTGCTCACCTTGTGCTCACCTTGTGCTCACCTTGTGCTCACCTCGTGCTCACCTTGTGCTCACCTTGTGCTCACCTCGTGCTCACCTCGTGCTCACCTTGTGCTCACCTCGTGCTCACCTTGTGCTCACCTTGTGCTCACCTTGTGCTCACCTTGTGCTCACCTTGTGCTCACCTCGTGCTCACCTTGTGCTCACCTTGTGCTCACCTTGTGCTCACCTCGTGCTCACCTTGTGCTCACCTTGTGCTCACCTTGTGCTCACCTTGTGCTCACCTTGTGCTCACCTTGTGCTCACCTCGTGCTCACCTTGTGCTCACCTTGTGCTCACCTTGTGCTCACCTCGTGCTCACCTTGTGCTCACCTTGTGCTCACCTTGTTCTCACCTTGTGCTCACCTTGTGCTCACCTCGTGCTCACCTTGTGCTCACCTTGTGCTCACCTTGTGCTCACCTCGTGCTCACCTTGTGCTCACCTTGTGCTCACCTCGTGCTCACCTCGTGCTCACCTTGTGCTCACCTCGTGCTCACCTTGTGCTCACCTTGTGCTCACCTTGTGCTCACCTTGTGCTCACCTTGTGCTCACCTCGTGCTCACCTTGTTCTCACCTTGTGCTCACCTTGTGCTCACCTTGTGCTCACCTTGTGCTCACCTCGTGCTCACCTTGTGCTCACCTTGTGCTCACCTCGTGCTCACCTTGTGCTCACCTTGTGCTCACCTTGTGCTCACCTCGTGCTCACCTTGTGCTCACCTTGTGCTCACCTTGTGCTCACCTCGTGCTCACCTTGTGCTCACCTCGTGCTCACCTTGTGCTCACCTTGTGCTCACCTTGTTCTCACCTTGTGCTCACCTTGTGCTCACCTCGTGCTCACCTTGTGCTCACCTTGTGCTCACCTCGTGCTCACCTTGTGCTCACCTTGTGCTCACCTCGTGCTCACCTCGTGCTCACCTTGTGCTCACCTCGTGCTCACCTTGTGCTCACCTTGTGCTCACCTTGTGCTCACCTCGTGCTCACCTTGTGCTCACCTTGTGCTCACCTTGTGCTCACCTTGTGCTCACCTTGTGCTCACCTTGTGCTCACCTTGTGCTCACCTCGTGCTCACCTTGTGCTCACCTTGTGCTCACCTTGTGCTCACCTTGTGCTCACCTTGTGCTCACCTCGTGCTCACCTTGTGCTCACCTTGTGCTCACCTTGTGCTCACCTCGTGCTCACCTTGTGCTCACCTTGTGCTCACCTTGTTCTCACCTTGTTCTCACCTTGTGCTCACCTTGTGCTCACCTCGTGCTCACCTTGTGCTCACCTTGTGCTCACCTTGTGCTCACCTCGTGCTCACCTTGTGCTCACCTCGTGCTCACCTCGTGCTCACCTCGTGCTCACCTTGTGCTCACCTCGTGCTCACCTTGTGCTCACCTTGTGCTCACCTTGTGCTCACCTTGTGCTCACCTCGTGCTCACGTCGTGCTCACCTTGTGCTCACCTTGTGCTCACCTTGTGCTCACCTCGTGCTCACCTTGTGCTCACCTTGTGCTCACCTTGTTCTCACCTTGTGCTCACCTTGTGCTCACCTCGTGCTCACCTTGTGCTCACCTTGTGCTCACCTTGTGCTCACCTTGTGCTCACCTTGTGCTCACCTCGTGCTCACCTTGTGCTCACCTTGTGCTCACCTTGTGCTCACCTCGTGCTCACCTTGTGCTCACCTTGTGCTCACCTTGTTCTCACCTTGTGCTCACCTTGTGCTCACCTCGTGCTCACCTTGTGCTCACCTTGTGCTCACCTTGTGCTCACCTCGTGCTCACCTTGTGCTCACCTTGTGCTCACCTCGTGCTCACCTCGTGCTCACCTTGTGCTCACCTCGTGCTCACCTTGTGCTCACCTTGTGCTCACCTTGTGCTCACCTTGTGCTCACCTTGTGCTCACCTCGTGCTCACCTTGTGCTCACCTTGTGCTCACCTTGTGCTCACCTCGTGCTCACCTTGTGCTCACCTTGTGCTCACCTTGTTCTCACCTTGTGCTCACCTTGTGCTCACCTTGTGCTCACCTTGTGCTCACCTTGTGCTCACCTTGTGCTCACCTTGTGCTCACCTTGTGCTCACCTTGTGCTCACCTTGTGCTCACCTTGTGCTCACCTTGTGCTCACCTTGTGCTCACCTTGTGCTCACCTTGTGCTCACCTCGTGCTCACCTTGTGGTCACCTCGTGCTCACCTTGTGCTCACCTCGTGCTCACCTTGTGCTCACCTTGTGCTCACCTCGTGCTCACCTTGTGCTCACCTTGTGCTCACCTTGTGCTCACCTCGTGCTCACCTTGTGCTCACCTTGTGCTCACCTTGTTCTCACCTTGTTCTCACCTTGTGCTCACCTTGTGCTCACCTCGTGCTCACCTTGTGCTCACCTTGTGCTCACCTTGTGCTCACCTCGTGCTCACCTTGTGCTCACCTTGTGCTCACCTCGTGCTCACCTCGTGCTCACCTCGTGCTCACCTTGTGCTCACCTCGTGCTCACCTTGTGCTCACCTTGTGCTCACCTTGTGCTCACCTTGTGCTCACCTCGTGCTCACCTCGTGCTCACCTTGTGCTCACCTTGTGCTCACCTTGTGCTCACCTCGTGCTCACCTTGTGCTCACCTTGTGCTCACCTTGTGCTCACCTCGTGCTCACCTTGTGCTCACCTTGTGCTCACCTTGTTCTCACCTTGTGCTCACCTTGTGCTCACCTCGTGCTCACCTTGTGCTCACCTTGTGCTCACCTTGTGCTCACCTCGTGCTCACCTTGTGCTCACCTTGTGCTCACCTCGTGCTCACCTCGTGCTCACCTTGTGCTCACCTCGTGCTCACCTTGTGCTCACCTTGTGCTCACCTTGTGCTCACCTCGTGCTCACCTTGTGCTCACCTTGTGCTCACCTTGTTCTCACCTTGTGCTCACCTTGTGCTCACCTCGTGCTCACCTTGTGCTCACCTTGTGCTCACCTTGTGCTCACCTCGTGCTCACCTTGTGCTCACCTTGTGCTCACCTCGTGCTCACCTCGTGCTCACCTTGTGCTCACCTCGTGCTCACCTTGTGCTCACCTTGTGCTCACCTTGTGCTCACCTTGTGCTCACCTTGTGCTCACCTCGTGCTCACCTTGTGCTCACCTTGTGCTCACCTTGTGCTCACCTCGTGCTCACCTTGTGCTCACCTTGTGCTCACCTTGTTCTCACCTTTTGCTCACCTTGTGCTCACCTTGTGCTCACCTTGTGCTCACCTTGTGCTCACCTTGTGCTCACCTTGTGCTCACCTTGTGCTCACCTTGTGCTCACCTTGTGCTCACCTTGTGCTCACCTTGTGCTCACCTTGTGCTCACCTTGTGCTCACCTTGTGCTCACCTCGTGCTCACCTTGTGGTCACCTTGTGCTCACCTTGTGCTCACCTCGTGCTCACCTTGTGCTCACCTTGTGCTCACCTCGTGCTCACCTTGTGCTCACCTTGTGCTCACCTTGTGCTCACCTCGTGCTCACCTTGTGCTCACCTTGTGCTCACCTTGTTCTCACCTTGTTCTCACCTTGTGCTCACCTTGTGCTCACCTCGTGCTCACCTTGTGCTCACCTTGTGCTCACCTTGTGCTCACCTCGTGCTCACCTTGTGCTCACCTCGTGCTCACCTCGTGCTCACCTCGTGCTCACCTCGTGCTCACCTTGTGCTCACCTCGTGCTCACCTTGTGCTCACCTTGTGCTCACCTTGTGCTCACCTTGTGCTCACCTCGTGCTCACCTCGTGCTCACCTTGTGCTCACCTTGTGCTCACCTTGTGCTCACCTCGTGCTCACCTTGTGCTCACCTTGTGCTCACCTTGTGCTCACCTCGTGCTCACCTTGTGCTCACCTTGTGCTCACCTTGTTCTCACCTTGTGCTCACCTTGTGCTCACCTCGTGCTCACCTTGTGCTCACCTTGTGCTCACCTTGTGCTCACCTCGTGCTCACCTTGTGCTCACCTTGTGCTCACCTCGTGCTCACCTCGTGCTCACCTTGTGCTCACCTCGTGCTCACCTTGTGCTCACCTTGTGCTCACCTTGTGCTCACCTTGTGCTCACCTTGTGCTCACCTCGTGCTCACCTTGTGCTCACCTTGTGCTCACCTTGTGCTCACCTCGTGCTCACCTTGTGCTCACCTTGTGCTCACCTTGTTCTCACCTTGTGCTCACCTTGTGCTCACCTTGTGCTCACCTTGTGCTCACCTTGTGCTCACCTTGTGCTCACCTTGTGCTCACCTTGTGCTCACCTTGTGCTCACCTTGTGCTCACCTTGTGCTCACCTTGTGCTCACCTTGTGCTCACCTTGTGCTCACCTTGTGCTCACCTCGTGCTCACCTTGTGCTCACCTTGTGCTCACCTTGTGCTCACCTCGTGCTCACCTTGTGCTCACCTTGTGCTCACCTCGTGCTCACCTCGTGCTCACCTCGTGCTCACCTCGTGCTCACCTTGTGCTCACCTTGTGCTCACCTTGTGCTCACCTTGTGCTCACCTTGTGCTCACCTCGTGCTCACCTCGTGCTCACCTTGTGCTCACCTTGTGCTCACCTTGTGCTCACCTTGTGCTCACCTCGTGCTCACCTTGTGCTCACCTTGTGCTCACCTTGTGCTCACCTTGTGCTCACCTCGTGCTCACCTCGTGCTCACCTTGTGCTCACCTTGTGCTCACCTCGTGCTCATGAGCGCCACGATCAATGCAGAGCTGTTCTCAGCGTACTTCAATAAAGCTCCCATGGCGCACATCCCGGTGAGTGGCGCATGGTGTTGCCATCGCACTTGTTCCGCCCCGACCTGCGTCTCGTGCTCACCTCGTGCTCACCTTGTGCTCACCTTGTGCTCACCTTGTGCTCACCTTGTGCTCACCTTGTGCTCACCTCGTGCTCACCTTGTGCTCACCTTGTGCTCACCTTGTGCTCACCTCGTGCTCACCTTGTGCTCACCTTGTGCTCACCTTGTGCTCACCTTTTGCTCACCTTGTGCTCACCTCGTGCTCACCTTGTGCTCACCTTGTGCTCACCTTGTGCTCACCTTGTGCTCACCTTGTGCTCACCTCGTGCTCACCTTGTGCTCACCTTGTGCTCACCTTGTGCTCACCTCGTGCTCACCTTGTGCTCACCTTGTGCTCACCTCGTGCTCACCTTGTGCTCACCTTGTGCTCACCTTGTGCTCACCTTGTGCTCACCTTATGCTCACCTTGTGCTCACCTTGTGCTCACCTCGTGCTCACCTTGTGCTCACCTTGTGCTCACCTTGTGCTCACCTTGTGCTCACCTTGTGCTCACCTCGTGCTCACCTTGTGCTCACCTTGTGCTCACCTTGTGCTCACCTCGTGCTCACCTTGTGCTCACCTTGTGCTCACCTTGTTCTCACCTTGTGCTCACCTTGTGCTCACCTCGTGCTCACCTTGTGCTCACCTTGTGCTCACCTTGTGCTCACCTCGTGCTCACCTTGTGCTCACCTTGTGCTCACCTCGTGCTCACCTCGTGCTCACCTTGTGCTCACCTCGTGCTCACCTTGTGCTCACCTTGTGCTCACCTTGTGCTCACCTTGTGCTCACCTTGTGCTCACCTCGTGCTCACCTTGTGCTCACCTTGTGCTCACCTTGTGCTCACCTCGTGCTCACCTTGTGCTCACCTTGTGCTCACCTTGTGCTCACCTTGTGCTCACCTTGTGCTCACCTTGTGCTCACCTTGTGCTCACCTCGTGCTCACCTTGTGCTCACCTTGTGCTCACCTTGTGCTCACCTCGTGCTCACCTTGTGCTCACCTTGTGCTCACCTTGTTCTCACCTTGTTCTCACCTTGTGCTCACCTTGTGCTCACCTCGTGCTCACCTTGTGCTCACCTTGTGCTCACCTTGTGCTCACCTCGTGCTCACCTTGTGCTCACCTTGTGCTCACCTCGTGCTCACCTCGTGCTCACCTCGTGCTCACCTTGTGCTCACCTCGTGCTCACCTTGTGCTCACCTTGTGCTCACCTTGTGCTCACCTTGTGCTCACCTCGTGCTCACCTTGTGCTCACCTTGTGCTCACCTCGTGCTCACCTTGTGCTCACCTTGTGCTCACCTTGTGCTCACCTTGTGCTCACCTTGTGCTCACCTTGTGCTCACCTTGTGCTCACCTCGTGCTCACCTTGTGCTCACCTTGTGCTCACCTTGTGCTCACCTTGTGCTCACCTTGTGCTCACCTCGTGCTCACCTTGTGCTCACCTTGTGCTCACCTTGTGCTCACCTCGTGCTCACCTTGTGCTCACCTTGTGCTCACCTTGTGCTCACCTTGTGCTCACCTTGTGCTCACCTCGTGCTCACCTTGTGCTCACCTTGTGCTCACCTTGTGCTCACCTCGTGCTCACCTTGTGCTCACCTTGTGCTCACCTTGTTCTCACCTTGTGCTCACCTTGTGCTCACCTTGTGCTCACCTTGTGCTCACCTTGTGCTCACCTTGTGCTCACCTTGTGCTCACCTTGTGCTCACCTTGTGCTCACCTTGTGCTCACCTTGTGCTCACCTTGTGCTCACCTCGTGCTCACCTTGTGCTCACCTTGTGCTCACCTTGTTCTCACCTTGTTCTCACCTTGTGCTCACCTTGTGCTCACCTCGTGCTCACCTTGTGCTCACCTTGTGCTCACCTTGTGCTCACCTTGTGCTCACCTCGTGCTCACCTTGTGCTCACCTTGTGCTCACCTCGTGCTCACCTCGTGCTCACCTTGTGCTCACCTCGTGCTCACCTTGTGCTCACCTTGTGCTCACCTTGTGCTCACCTTGTGCTCACCTTGTGCTCACCTTGTGCTCACCTCGTGCTCACCTTGTGCTCACCTTGTGCTCACCTTGTGCTCACCTCGTGCTCACCTTGTGCTCACCTTGTGCTCACCTTGTTCTCACCTTGTGCTCACCTTGTGCTCACCTTGTGCTCACCTTGTGCTCACCTTGTGCTCACCTTGTGCTCACCTTGTGCTCACCTTGTGCTCACCTCGTGCTCACCTTGTCCTCACCTTGTGCTCACCTTGTCCTCACCTTGTGCTCACCTCGTGCTCACCTCGTGCTCACCTCGTGCTCATGAGCACCACCATCAACACGGAGCTCTTCTCCGAGTATTTCAATAAAGCTCCCATGGCGCATATTCCTGTGAGTGAGTGCTGTGGTGATGCCTGTGGGCCGTCTGTGTGTGAGTGTGAGCTTGGTTGGTGCCTGTGTTGTTGCCGTCACACTCGTTCCGCCCCGACCTGTGTCTCGTGCTCACCTTGTGCTCATGAGCACAACCTTCAACGCGGAGCTGTGCTCAGAATACTTCAGTAAGGCCCCCATGGCACATATTCCGGTGAGTGAGTGGTGTGTGTGTGTGTGTGTGTGCGTGTGTGTGTGTGTGTGTGAGTGTGTGTGTGTGAGTGTGTGTGTGTGAGTGTGAGTGTGTGTGCGTGTGAGTGTGTGTGTCTGTGTGAGTGTGTGAGTGTGTGTGTGTGTATGTGAGTGTGTGTGTATGTGAGTGTGTGTGTGTGTGTGTGTGTGTTAGTGTGTGTGTGTATTTCCACGAGGCCCCCATGGCACATATTTCGGTGAGTTTCACTGCTATCCGTGGTCTGAGTTCAGAGGTCTTTTCAAAGTTTCACTCCCCTCACGCCACCACCTCTCTCTTCCCCTCGTTCTCCACAGTTGTTCTTCTATTTTTGACTGGGTTTCACACACCCGGTGCAGCAATTATTCCTAGAGCACGTGTTGGAGCGCACTCGCATTCCCACCCGGGACCACGTCTTGTTGCCTTGCCACCATGCCTCTGCTCCTCCTCCCCTTGTTCCCCCACTTCCCTCACAGGGTTTCACACACCCGGTGCAGCAATTATTCCTAGAGCACGTGTTGGACCATTCCCATCAGGGACCAGAGCCAACAGGGAGGAGGAGGGGGGTGGTTCTCTCGCGTACCCATCTGCTCATGCCTCGTCACCTCACCTCCTCCTCTACCCCATCCTGCTGCTACCACCTCTCTCCTCCCCCCTTCCCCTTGAATTTACAGGGCTTCACGCATCCAGTGCAACAGCTGTTCCTAGAGCACGTGTTGGAGTGCGCACGCATTCCCATCAGGGACCAGGGCCGGCAGGGGAGGCGATTAGTATGTGCACGTCCAATCTCATTCCTTGGCACTGCCTTCCTCCTCTTCTGCCCCGTCACCTTTCTTCCTGGTCCCTTATCCTTGCACTCCCAGGGTTTCACCCACCCAGTGCAGCAGCTGTTTCTAGAGCACGTGTTGGAGCGCACGCGCATTCCCATCCGGGACCAGGGCCAGCAGGGAGGAGGAGGGGGGTTCTCGAGAGGAGGAGGAGGGGGAGGGCGGGGGTATGGGCGGGGGAGACGAGAGAGGAGTGCGAGTGTGGCGAAGAAAGACCCGATCTCAGAGGCATGGGAGGTGAGGTATAGGTGGTATGGGGAGTTGTGTTGCAAGTGGGCTATGTGAAGTGCAGGGCGGGGGTACGGGAGGGGGAGGCTGGAGAGGAGAAGTGAGAGGAGTGCAAGTGTGGCTAAGAAAGAACAGATCTCAGAAGTTTGGGAGGTGAGAATAGTAATTACTGGGGGTCTGGGAGGTGGAAGGAAGGGAGGAAGGAAAGGGGTATGGAAGGGGGAGACGGGAGAGGAGTGCAAGTGTGGCAAAGAAGGACCCGATTTCAGAAGCCTGGGAGGTGCGAATGAATGAAAGCTGGGAGTTTTTATTTCAAGTAGACGTGTGCTCGCACTGCTCTGCGCTCACACTTGCAATACCACCCCTCTCCACTCCACCCTCCACACACGCGCGCACTCCTCTGCCTTCACCCGGTTCACCCAGGACTCTTGAGTCGACTCAAAAGCTACCCAAGACTCTCTCGCCAATCTCTCAGCAGACCAGCTAGGTCACATTGACCTAGTGGCATCTCTGTGCCTGAACCCCTCTCCACCCCTCCCCACCCCTATCCACCCCTCTCCACCCCATATACATGTTGGTTCTGGCAGGATGTGGACATATGGTTGCACTACTCTGCATTCTCCCGACCCACCCAAGAATCCCTTGCCAACTTCTCACCAGACAAGTTAGACATTGATCTAGTGGCATCAGTCGTGGAGCATATATGCAGCAGTATTAACCTCTCCACCCCTGTCCACCCCTTAAATCGTCTTCTCCATGGCAGGATGTGGACATATGGACGCACTACTCTGCGTTCTCTCGACCCACCCAGGATTCTCTCGCCAACTTCTCACCAGACAAGCTAGACATTGATCTAGTGGCATCCGTTGTGGAGCATATATGCCGGAACGAGGCTGAGGGGGCCGTGCTGGTCTTTTTGACTGGCTGGGACGAGATTTCGAAGCTGCTGGAGGCGCTCAAGACGATGCCTGTCGCCGGGCAGCCGTCGAAAGTTTTGCTCCTGCCCCTGCATGGGTCGATGCCAACGATTCACCAGAAGGAGATTTTCAACCGCCCGCCTCCTGGAGTCAGGTGGGCTTTTCTAAAAGATACCATAAGCTTAGTATGCTTTGTTATGTACCCAAATTGTGCGTAAAAAATGTGTCATTCCTTTTTGTATACATAAAAAAAGAGAAAACTCTGTGCATGGTCTTGTTTTGGGTCGACTCAAAACACGACTGTGTGCATGGGGTTTCCACTCATAACGCACTCCCTCCCTCTGAGTCACTCATCCACCTTTCACAACCACAATATCATTTTGTTATTTTCTCTTTTTACTCTCCAGAAAGGTGGTCCTGACGACGACCAACATCGCAGCGACGAGCATCACAATCGGCGACGCGGTCTTTGTGGTGGACTGCGGAAAGGCCAAGGACACCAGCATCACACCCCTTCCCCCCTCCACTCTCCCCTCTCTGACTCCACATCTCCTCCTTTGCTTCCACCTTCTGCTCCTTCTGCCCCTTCCCTCCCTTCTCCAGGAAGGTAGTCCTGGCGACCAACATAGCAGAGACCAGCATCACAATTGACGACGTCGTATTCGTGGTGGACTGCGGAAAGGCCAAGGAAACTTCCTATGACGCTCTAAACAAGCTGGCCTGCCTGCTCCCCTCCTGGATTTCCAAAGCCTCGGCCCACCAGAGGAGGGGGCGGGCGGGGCGCGTGCAGCCGGGAATTTGTTTCCACCTCTACCCGAAGACGGTTTATGATTCGCTGCTGGAGTTTCAGCTGCCCGAGATTCTGAGGACGCCGCTCCAGGAGCTGTGCTTGCAGATCAAGCACCTGGGGCTGGGACACGTGCAGGCGTTTCTGTCTAAAGCCATGCAGCCACCAGAACCGCTGGCAGTAAGTTTGAGGTGAGGCATCCACGCTGGTATGACAGTCCTTCAGCCTGGCAGCAAGTGGCAGGCATGAGCTGTGCTTGCAGATCAAGCACCTGGGGCTGGGACACGTGCAGGCGTTTCTGTCTAAAGCCATGCAGCCGTTTCTGTCTAAAGCCATGCAGCCACCAGAACCGCTGGCAGTAAGTTTGAGGTGAGGCATCCACGCTGGTATGACAGTCCTTCAGCCTTGCAGCAAGTGGCAGGCATGAGCTGTGCTTGCAGATCAAGCACCTGGGGCTGGGACACGTGCAGGCGTTTCTGTCTAAAGCCATGCAGCCACCAGAACCGCTGGCAGTAAGTTTGAGGTGAGGCATCCACGCTGGTATGACAGTCCTTCAGCCTGGCAGCAAGTGGCAGGCATGAGCTGTGCTTGCAGATCAAGCACCTGGGGCTGGGACACGTGCAGGCGTTTCTGTCTAAAGCCATGCAGCCACCAGAACCGCTGGCAGTAAGTTTGAGGTGAGGCATCCACGCTGGTATGACAGTCCTTCAGCCTGGCAGCAAGTGGCAGGCATGAGCTGTGCTTGCAGATCAAGCACCTGGGGCTGGGACACGTGCAGGCGTTTCTGTCTAAAGCCATGCAGCCACCAGAACCGCTGGCAGTAAGTTTGAGGTGAGGCATCCACGCTGGTATGACAGTCCTTCAGCCTGGCAGCAAGTGGCAGGCATGAGCTGTGCTTGCAGATCAAGCACCTGGGGCTGGGACACGTGCAGGCGTTTCTGTCTAAAGCCATGCAGCCACCAGAACCGCTGGCAGTAAGTTTGAGGTGAGGCATCCACGCTGGTATGACAGTCCTTCAGCCTGGCAGCAAGTGGCAGGCATGAGCTGTGCTTGCAGATCAAGCACCTGGGGCTGGGACACGTGCAGGCGTTTCTGTCTAAAGCCATGCAGCCGTTTCTGTCTAAAGCCATGCAGCCACCAGAACCGCTGGCAGTAAGTTTGAGGTGAGGCATCCACGCTGGTATGACAGTCCTTCAGCCTTGCAGCAAGTGGCAGGCATGAGCTGTGCTTGCAGATCAAGCACCTGGGGCTGGGACACGTGCAGGCGTTTCTGTCTAAAGCCATGCAGCCACCAGAACCGCTGGCAGTAAGTTTGAGGTGAGGCATCCACGCTGGTATGACAGTCCTTCAGCCTGGCAGCAAGTGGCAGGCATGAGCTGTGCTTGCAGATCAAGCACCTGGGGCTGGGACACGTGCAGGCGTTTCTGTCTAAAGCCATGCAGCCACCAGAACCGCTGGCAGTAAGTTTGAGGTGAGGCATCCACGCTGGTATGACAGTCCTTCAGCCTGGCAGCAAGTGGCAGGCATGAGCTGTGCTTGCAGATCAAGCACCTGGGGCTGGGACACGTGCAGGCGTTTCTGTCTAAAGCCATGCAGCCACCAGAACCGCTGGCAGTAAGTTTGAGGTGAGGCATCCACGCTGGTATGACAGTCCTTCAGCCTGGCAGCAAGTGGCAGGCATGAGCTGTGCTTGCAGATCAAGCACCTGGGGCTGGGACACGTGCAGGCGTTTCTGTCTAAAGCCATGCAGCCACCAGAACCGCTGGCAGTAAGTTTGAGGTGAGGCATCCACGCTGGTATGACAGTCCTTCAGCCTGGCAGCAAGTGGCAGGCATGAGCTGTGCTTGCAGATCAAGCACCTGGGGCTGGGACACGTGCAGGCGTTTCTGTCTAAAGCCATGCAGCCACCAGAACCGCTGGCAGTAAGTTTGAGGTGAGGCATCCACGCTGGTATGACAGTCCTTCAGCCTGGCAGCAAGTGGCAGGCATGAGCTGTGCTTGCAGATCAAGCACCTGGGGCTGGGACACGTGCAGGCGTTTCTGTCTAAAGCCATGCAGCCACCAGAACCGCTGGCAGTAAGTTTGAGGTGAGGCATCCACGCTGGTATGACAGTCCTTCAGCCTGGCAGCAAGTGGCAGGCATGAGCTGTGCTTGCAGATCAAGCACCTGGGGCTGGGACACGTGCAGGCGTTTCTGTCTAAAGCCATGCAGCCACCAGAACCGCTGGCAGTAAGTTTGAGGTGAGGCATCCACGCTGGTATGACAGTCCTTCAGCCTGGCAGCAAGTGGCAGGCATGAGCTGTGCTTGCAGATCAAGCACCTGGGGCTGGGACACGTGCAGGCGTTTCTGTCTAAAGCCATGCAGCCACCAGAACCGCTGGCAGTAAGTTTGAGGTGAGGCATCCACGCTGGTATGACAGTCCTTCAGCCTGGCAGCAAGTGGCAGGCATGAGCTGTGCTTGCAGATCAAGCACCTGGGGCTGGGACACGTGCAGGCGTTTCTGTCTAAAGCCATGCAGCCACCAGAACCGCTGGCAGTAAGTTTGAGGTGAGGCATCCACGCTGGTATGACAGTCCTTCAGCCTGGCAGCAAGTGGCAGGCATGAGCTGTGCTTGCAGATCAAGCACCTGGGGCTGGGACACGTGCAGGCGTTTCTGTCTAAAGCCATGCAGCCACCAGAACCGCTGGCAGTAAGTTTGAGGTGAGGCATCCACGCTGGTATGACAGTCCTTCAGCCTGGCAGCAAGTGGCAGGCATGAGCTGTGCTTGCAGATCAAGCACCTGGGGCTGGGACACGTGCAGGCGTTTCTGTCTAAAGCCATGCAGCCACCAGAACCGCTGGCAGTAAGTTTGAGGTGAGGCATCCACGCTGGTATGACAGTCCTTCAGCCTGGCAGCAAGTGGCAGGCATGAGCTGTGCTTGCAGATCAAGCACCTGGGGCTGGGACACGTGCAGGCGTTTCTGTCTAAAGCCATGCAGCCGTTTCTGTCTAAAGCCATGCAGCCACCAGAACCGCTGGCAGTAAGTTTGAGGTGAGGCATCCACGCTGGTATGACAGTCCTTCAGCCTGGCAGCAAGTGGCAGGCATGAGCTGTGCTTGCAGATCAAGCACCTGGGGCTGGGACACGTGCAGGCGTTTCTGTCTAAAGCCATGCAGCCACCAGAACCGCTGGCAGTAAGTTTGAGGTGAGGCATCCACGCTGGTATGACAGTCCTTCAGCCTGGCAGCAAGTGGCAGGCATGAGCTGTGCTTGCAGATCAAGCACCTGGGGCTGGGACACGTGCAGGCGTTTCTGTCTAAAGCCATGCAGCCACCAGAACCGCTGGCAGTAAGTTTGAGGTGAGGCATCCACGCTGGTATGACAGTCCTTCAGCCTGGCAGCAAGTGGCAGGCATGAGCTGTGCTTGCAGATCAAGCACCTGGGGCTGGGACACGTGCAGGCGTTTCTGTCTAAAGCCATGCAGCCACCAGAACCGCTGGCAGTAAGTTTGAGGTGAGGCATCCACGCTGGTATGACAGTCCTTCAGCCTGGCAGCAAGTGGCAGGCATGAGCTGTGCTTGCAGATCAAGCACCTGGGGCTGGGACACGTGCAGGCGTTTCTGTCTAAAGCCATGCAGCCACCAGAACCGCTGGCAGTAAGTTTGAGGTGAGGCATCCACGCTGGTATGACAGTCCTTCAGCCTGGCAGCAAGTGGCAGGCATGAGCTGTGCTTGCAGATCAAGCACCTGGGGCTGGGACACGTGCAGGCGTTTCTGTCTAAAGCCATGCAGCCACCAGAACCGCTGGCAGTAAGTTTGAGGTGAGGCATCCACGCTGGTATGACAGTCCTTCAGCCTGGCAGCAAGTGGCAGGCATGAGCTGTGCTTGCAGATCAAGCACCTGGGGCTGGGACACGTGCAGGCGTTTCTGTCTAAAGCCATGCAGCCACCAGAACCGCTGGCAGTAAGTTTGAGGTGAGGCATCCACGCTGGTATGACAGTCCTTCAGCCTGGCAGCAAGTGGCAGGCATGAGCTGTGCTTGCAGATCAAGCACCTGGGGCTGGGACACGTGCAGGCGTTTCTGTCTAAAGCCATGCAGCCACCAGAACCGCTGGCAGTAAGTTTGAGGTGAGGCATCCACGCTGGTATGACAGTCCTTCAGCCTGGCAGCAAGTGGCAGGCATGAGCTGTGCTTGCAGATCAAGCACCTGGGGCTGGGACACGTGCAGGCGTTTCTGTCTAAAGCCATGCAGCCACCAGAACCGCTGGCAGTAAGTTTGAGGTGAGGCATCCACGCTGGTATGACAGTCCTTCAGCCTGGCAGCAAGTGGCAGGCATGAGCTGTGCTTGCAGATCAAGCACCTGGGGCTGGGACACGTGCAGGCGTTTCTGTCTAAAGCCATGCAGCCACCAGAACCGCTGGCAGTAAGTTTGAGGTGAGGCATCCACGCTGGTATGACAGTCCTTCAGCCTGGCAGCAAGTGGCAGGCATGAGCTGTGCTTGCAGATCAAGCACCTGGGGCTGGGACACGTGCAGGCGTTTCTGTCTAAAGCCATGCAGCCACCAGAACCGCTGGCAGTAAGTTTGAGGTGAGGCATCCACGCTGGTATGACAGTCCTTCAGCCTGGCAGCAAGTGGCAGGCATGAGCTGTGCTTGCAGATCAAGCACCTGGGGCTGGGACACGTGCAGGCGTTTCTGTCTAAAGCCATGCAGCCACCAGAACCGCTGGCAGTAAGTTTGAGGTGAGGCATCCACGCTGGTATGACAGTCCTTCAGCCTGGCAGCAAGTGGCAGGCATGAGCTGTGCTTGCAGATCAAGCACCTGGGGCTGGGACACGTGCAGGCGTTTCTGTCTAAAGCCATGCAGCCACCAGAACCGCTGGCAGTAAGTTTGAGGTGAGGCATCCACGCTGGTATGACAGTCCTTCAGCCTGGCAGCAAGTGGCAGGCATGAGCTGTGCTTGCAGATCAAGCACCTGGGGCTGGGACACGTGCAGGCGTTTCTGTCTAAAGCCATGCAGCCACCAGAACCGCTGGCAGTAAGTTTGAGGTGAGGCATCCACGCTGGTATGACAGTCCTTCAGCCTGGCAGCAAGTGGCAGGCATGAGCTGTGCTTGCAGATCAAGCACCTGGGGCTGGGACACGTGCAGGCGTTTCTGTCTAAAGCCATGCAGCCACCAGAACCGCTGGCAGTAAGTTTGAGGTGAGGCATCCACGCTGGTATGACAGTCCTTCAGCCTGGCAGCAAGTGGCAGGCATGAGCTGTGCTTGCAGATCAAGCACCTGGGGCTGGGACACGTGCAGGCGTTTCTGTCTAAAGCCATGCAGCCACCAGAACCGCTGGCAGTAAGTTTGAGGTGAGGCATCCACGCTGGTATGACAGTCCTTCAGCCTGGCAGCAAGTGGCAGGCATGAGCTGTGCTTGCAGATCAAGCACCTGGGGCTGGGACACGTGCAGGCGTTTCTGTCTAAAGCCATGCAGCCACCAGAACCGCTGGCAGTAAGTTTGAGGTGAGGCATCCACGCTGGTATGACAGTCCTTCAGCCTGGCAGCAAGTGGCAGGCATGAGCTGTGCTTGCAGATCAAGCACCTGGGGCTGGGACACGTGCAGGCGTTTCTGTCTAAAGCCATGCAGCCACCAGAACCGCTGGCAGTAAGTTTGAGGTGAGGCATCCACGCTGGTATGACAGTCCTTCAGCCTGGCAGCAAGTGGCAGGCATGAGCTGTGCTTGCAGATCAAGCACCTGGGGCTGGGACACGTGCAGGCGTTTCTGTCTAAAGCCATGCAGCCGTTTCTGTCTAAAGCCATGCAGCCACCAGAACCGCTGGCAGTAAGTTTGAGGTGAGGCATCCACGCTGGTATGACAGTCCTTCAGCCTGGCAGCAAGTGGCAGGCATGAGCTGTGCTTGCAGATCAAGCACCTGGGGCTGGGACACGTGCAGGCGTTTCTGTCTAAAGCCATGCAGCCACCAGAACCGCTGGCAGTAAGTTTGAGGTGAGGCATCCACGCTGGTATGACAGTCCTTCAGCCTGGCAGCAAGTGGCAGGCATGAGCTGTGCTTGCAGATCAAGCACCTGGGGCTGGGACACGTGCAGGCGTTTCTGTCTAAAGCCATGCAGCCGTTTCTGTCTAAAGCCATGCAGCCACCAGAACCGCTGGCAGTAAGTTTGAGGTGAGGCATCCACGCTGGTATGACAGTCCTTCAGCCTGGCAGCAAGTGGCAGGCATGAGCTGTGCTTGCAGATCAAGCACCTGGGGCTGGGACACGTGCAGGCGTTTCTGTCTAAAGCCATGCAGCCACCAGAACCGCTGGCAGTAAGTTTGAGGTGAGGCATCCACGCTGGTATGACAGTCCTTCAGCCTGGCAGCAAGTGGCAGGCATGAGCTGTGCTTGCAGATCAAGCACCTGGGGCTGGGACACGTGCAGGCGTTTCTGTCTAAAGCCATGCAGCCACCAGAACCGCTGGCAGTAAGTTTGAGGTGAGGCATCCACGCTGGTATGACAGTCCTTCAGCCTGGCAGCAAGTGGCAGGCATGAGCTGTGCTTGCAGATCAAGCACCTGGGGCTGGGACACGTGCAGGCGTTTCTGTCTAAAGCCATGCAGCCACCAGAACCGCTGGCAGTAAGTTTGAGGTGAGGCATCCACGCTGGTATGACAGTCCTTCAGCCTGGCAGCAAGTGGCAGGCATGAGCTGTGCTTGCAGATCAAGCACCTGGGGCTGGGACACGTGCAGGCGTTTCTGTCTAAAGCCATGCAGCCACCAGAACCGCTGGCAGTAAGTTTGAGGTGAGGCATCCACGCTGGTATGACAGTCCTTCAGCCTGGCAGCAAGTGGCAGGCATGAGCTGTGCTTGCAGATCAAGCACCTGGGGCTGGGACACGTGCAGGCGTTTCTGTCTAAAGCCATGCAGCCACCAGAACCGCTGGCAGTAAGTTTGAGGTGAGGCATCCACGCTGGTATGACAGTCCTTCAGCCTGGCAGCAAGTGGCAGGCATGAGCTGTGCTTGCAGATCAAGCACCTGGGGCTGGGACACGTGCAGGCGTTTCTGTCTAAAGCCATGCAGCCACCAGAACCGCTGGCAGTAAGTTTGAGGTGAGGCATCCACGCTGGTATGACAGTCCTTCAGCCTGGCAGCAAGTGGCAGGCATGAGCTGTGCTTGCAGATCAAGCACCTGGGGCTGGGACACGTGCAGGCGTTTCTGTCTAAAGCCATGCAGCCACCAGAACCGCTGGCAGTAAGTTTGAGGTGAGGCATCCACGCTGGTATGACAGTCCTTCAGCCTGGCAGCAAGTGGCAGGCATGAGCTGTGCTTGCAGATCAAGCACCTGGGGCTGGGACACGTGCAGGCGTTTCTGTCTAAAGCCATGCAGCCACCAGAACCGCTGGCAGTAAGTTTGAGGTGAGGCATCCACGCTGGTATGACAGTCCTTCAGCCTGGCAGCAAGTGGCAGGCATGAGCTGTGCTTGCAGATCAAGCACCTGGGGCTGGGACACGTGCAGGCGTTTCTGTCTAAAGCCATGCAGCCACCAGAACCGCTGGCAGTAAGTTTGAGGTGAGGCATCCACGCTGGTATGACAGTCCTTCAGCCTGGCAGCAAGTGGCAGGCATGAGCTGTGCTTGCAGATCAAGCACCTGGGGCTGGGACACGTGCAGGCGTTTCTGTCTAAAGCCATGCAGCCGTTTCTGTCTAAAGCCATGCAGCCACCAGAACCGCTGGCAGTAAGTTTGAGGTGAGGCATCCACGCTGGTATGACAGTCCTTCAGCCTGGCAGCAAGTGGCAGGCATGAGCTGTGCTTGCAGATCAAGCACCTGGGGCTGGGACACGTGCAGGCGTTTCTGTCTAAAGCCATGCAGCCACCAGAACCGCTGGCAGTAAGTTTGAGGTGAGGCATCCACGCTGGTATGACAGTCCTTCAGCCTGGCAGCAAGTGGCAGGCATGAGCTGTGCTTGCAGATCAAGCACCTGGGGCTGGGACACGTGCAGGCGTTTCTGTCTAAAGCCATGCAGCCACCAGAACCGCTGGCAGTAAGTTTGAGGTGAGGCATCCACGCTGGTATGACAGTCCTTCAGCCTGGCAGCAAGTGGCAGGCATGAGCTGTGCTTGCAGATCAAGCACCTGGGGCTGGGACACGTGCAGGCGTTTCTGTCTAAAGCCATGCAGCCACCAGAACCGCTGGCAGTAAGTTTGAGGTGAGGCATCCACGCTGGTATGACAGTCCTTCAGCCTGGCAGCAAGTGGCAGGCATGAGCTGTGCTTGCAGATCAAGCACCTGGGGCTGGGACACGTGCAGGCGTTTCTGTCTAAAGCCATGCAGCCACCAGAACCGCTGGCAGTAAGTTTGAGGTGAGGCATCCACGCTGGTATGACAGTCCTTCAGCCTGGCAGCAAGTGGCAGGCATGAGCTGTGCTTGCAGATCAAGCACCTGGGGCTGGGACACGTGCAGGCGTTTCTGTCTAAAGCCATGCAGCCGTTTCTGTCTAAAGCCATGCAGCCACCAGAACCGCTGGCAGTAAGTTTGAGGTGAGGCATCCACGCTGGTATGACAGTCCTTCAGCCTGGCAGCAAGTGGCAGGCATGAGCTGTGCTTGCAGATCAAGCACCTGGGGCTGGGACACGTGCAGGCGTTTCTGTCTAAAGCCATGCAGCCACCAGAACCGCTGGCAGTAAGTTTGAGGTGAGGCATCCACGCTGGTATGACAGTCCTTCAGCCTGGCAGCAAGTGGCAGGCATGAGCTGTGCTTGCAGATCAAGCACCTGGGGCTGGGACACGTGCAGGCGTTTCTGTCTAAAGCCATGCAGCCACCAGAACCGCTGGCAGTAAGTTTGAGGTGAGGCATCCACGCTGGTATGACAGTCCTTCAGCCTGGCAGCAAGTGGCAGGCATGAGCTGTGCTTGCAGATCAAGCACCTGGGGCTGGGACACGTGCAGGCGTTTCTGTCTAAAGCCATGCAGCCACCAGAACCGCTGGCAGTAAGTTTGAGGTGAGGCATCCACGCTGGTATGACAGTCCTTCAGCCTGGCAGCAAGTGGCAGGCATGAGCTGTGCTTGCAGATCAAGCACCTGGGGCTGGGACACGTGCAGGCGTTTCTGTCTAAAGCCATGCAGCCACCAGAACCGCTGGCAGTAAGTTTGAGGTGAGGCATCCACGCTGGTATGACAGTCCTTCAGCCTGGCAGCAAGTGGCAGGCATGAGCTGTGCTTGCAGATCAAGCACCTGGGGCTGGGACACGTGCAGGCGTTTCTGTCTAAAGCCATGCAGCCACCAGAACCGCTGGCAGTAGGTGGGGTGGGAGGGGGGGATACAGGTTGGTGTGAGGGTCCCTAGATCCTGAGGACGCCCCTGCAGGAGCTGTGCTTGCAGATCAAGCACCTTGGGTTGGGGCATGTGCAGTCGTTTCTGTCCAAGGCTATGCAGGCACCAGAAGCACTTGCAGTAAGTGTGGAAGGTGCATACATGCTGGTTGGTGTGACCCCGGCAGTGTGACAGAGAGCCGTGTGAGCACATCAAGCACCTTGGTTTGGGACATGCGCAGTTTTTTTTAGAATTCTAAAAAAAAACACGCAGTCGTTTTTGTCTGAGGTCGTGCAGCCACCAGAGCACCTGGCTGGCTGGCAGTGAGTATTTTTTAGGCGGCTCTGGGTGACTTTTGAGTCGACTCAAAAGTCACCCAGAGCACCTGGCTGGCTGGCAGTGAGTATTTTTGAGGCACCTCAAGGTGACTTTTGAGTCGACTCAAAAGTCACCCAGAGCACCTGGCTGGCTGGCAGTGAGTATTTTTGAGGCACCTCAAAAGTCGTGCGGCCACCAGAGCACCTGGCTGGCAGTGAGTGGGGTGGGGTGGGGTGGGGGGGAGGGATACATGTCGGTGGATCGGAACACTGCCTCTGTTTCTTCCTCCTGCTTTCACTATCCAGTTTTCTCTCTCTGTGCTCCCCGCACCCATCCTTTCAGGTGCAAAACGCGGTGCAGCTTCTGGAGACCATTGGAGCATTCACCCCCGAGGAGCAACTCACCTCCCTGGGGTGCCACCTGGCCGCCATTCCCGTGGAGCCCCGCATTGGAAAGGTGGGTCCTGTTTCTTTCCCTGTCGACGCGAAAGTCACCTATGCCTTGTGGGTCTTGTGGTGTCTAGTACCGCACCAACTGTGTACCTCTCCCCAACCCCCACCTATCCATCCATCCCTGCCTTTCCTTACCCTCTGTTCCATCCCCCTCAGATGCTCATATTCGGGGCCATATTCAACTGCCTCGCGCCAGCCCTCACCATCGCAGCCTCTCTCGCCTGCCCTTGAGTTCTGCCATCGCAGTCCATGCCCCTCCCTCCTCTCCGCCCAACCCGCCATGCCCCCATCCCCTCAGATGCTCATATTCGGGGCCATATTCAACTGCCTCACGCCAGCCCTCACCATCGCTGCCTCCCTGGCACGGTGCGGGGAGGAGGGGAAGAGGGGAGGAGGGGAAGGAAGAAATTTCATAGTCCCTCCCTTCATGCTCCCTCCCCCACTCCCCACCCACCCACCCATCCCCTCAGATGCTCATATTCGGCGCCATATTCAACTGCCTCGCGCCAGCCCTCACCATCGCTGCCTCTCTGGCCTACCGGGACCCCTTCGTCCTGCCACTCGACAAGAAAGAGATGGCGGATGCAGCCAAGAAGGAGTTCTCAAAGGACTCGAGAAGGTGAGATGGGGTGGGGTGGGGTGCGGTGGGGTGGGGTGGGATGCAGTGGGGGGGTGCTTTTCACCATCGCTGCTTCCCTCTCTGGCCTACCGGGACCCCTTCGTCCTTCCGCTTGACAAGAAGGAGCTGGCAGGTTCAGCCAAGAAGGAATTTTTAAAGGACTCTAGAAGGTGAGCTGGGCTCTGCAGTAGGTGAGGTGGGGTGAGGTGGGGTGGGGTGAGGTGGGTTGAGGTGGGGTGGCGCTCCTCACCATCGCTGCCTCCTTGGCCTTCTGCTGGGATAACTTCCTGTCTGCACCTCCTCCATCCTCTCCTCCCCCATCCTCTCCTCCCCCATCCTCTCCTCCTCCATCCTTTCCTCCCCCATCCTCTCCTCCCCCATCCTCTCCTCCTCCATCCTCTCCTCCCCCATCCTCTCCTCCCCCATCCTCTCCTCCTCCATCCTTTCCTCCCCCATCCTCTCCTCCCCCATCCTCTCCTCCTCCATCCTCTCCTCCCCCATCCTCTCCTCCCCCATCCTCTCCTCCTCCATCCTCTCCTCCCCCATCCTCTCCTCCCCCATCCTCTCCTCCCCCATCCTCTCCTCCCCCATCCTCTCCTCCCCCATCCTCTCCTCCCCCATCCTCTCCTCCCCCATCCTCTCCTCCCCCATCCTCTCCTCCCCCATCCTCTCCTCCCCCATCCTCTCCTCCCCCATCCTCTCCTCCCCCATCCACTTCTCCCCAGCCTGTCCCCCCATCCCACCCCACGCTACCAGCGATTACATGGCACTTCTCAACGCGTTTGAGGGGTGGAGTGGAGAGCGGCCAAGATGCAAGGCCAGGAGCGCGGTTTTGCGGGATAATTTCCTCTCTGCCCCTCAACCCTCCTCTCCTCTCCCATCCCCGCTCCCCTGGCTGGCCGTGCCCTTTCCCCCTTAGTGATCACATCGCCCTTCTCAACGCGTTTGAGGGGTGGCGAGCAGCCAAGATGCAAGAACAGGAGCGCAACTTCTGCTGGGATAACTTCCTGTCTACCCCTCAACCCTCCTCTCCTCCTCTCCCATCCCCTTTCCCCCTGAGTGATCACATAGCACTTCCCAACGCGTTTGAGGGGTGGAGAGCGGCCAAGATGCAAGGCCAAGATGCAAGGCCAAGATGCAAGGCCAAGATGCAAGGCCAAGATGCAAGGCCAAGATGCAAGGCCAAGATGCAAGGCCAAGATGCAAGGCCAAGATGCAAGGCCAAGATGCAAGGCCAAGATGCAAGGCCAAGATGCAAGGCCAAGATGCAAGGCCAAGATGCAAGGCCAAGATGCAAGGCCAAGATGCAAGGCCAAGATGCAAGGCCAAGATGCAAGGCCAAGATGCAAGGCCAAGATGCAAGGCCAAGATGCAAGGCCAAGATGCAAGGCCAAGATGCAAGGCCAAGATGCAAGGCCAAGATGCAAGGCCAAGAGCGCCCCTTCCGCTGGGATAACTTCCTCTCTGCCCAACTCTTATCCCCTCCTCTCTCATGCCTTTTCTCCCCCCTCACCTGTGCCCTTCCTCCCCAGCGATCACATAGCGCTTCTCAACGCGTTTGAGGGGTCGAGAGCGGCCAAGATGCAAGGGCAGGAGCGCACTTACTGCTGGGATAACTTCCTCTCTGCACCCTTCCCCACCCCCCCCTCCTCACCCGTGCCCTTCCTCCCCAGCGATCACATAGCTCTGCTGAACGCGTTTGAGGGGTGGAGAGCGGCCAAGATGCAAGGCCAGGAGCGCAATTACTGCTGGGATAACTTCCTCTCCGCTCCGGTGCTGCAGATGGTGTCCGATATGCGAGGGCAGTTCCTGCAACTGCTGAATGACATTGGTTTCTACGACCCCAGACTGGGGCTCAATGTGAGTCTTTTCGTTTTTGTTTGTGATGAAGGAGGGGCATGCATGCACAGGGGTAAAGAGGAGCAGCGGTGCTGCAGAAGGTGTCCGATATGCGAGGGCAGTTCCTGCAACTCCTCAGTGATATCGGCTTCTACGACCCGAGATTGGGGCTCCATGTGAGTGCCCTGTGCTCACAGTGAGTGATGAGGCTGGCATATGCATATGCATGGGTGCGAGTGCGAGGAGCACCGGTGCTGCAGTGCAGATCGTGGCAGTCATGCGAGGGCAGTTCCTGCAGCTGCTCAGTGACATCGGGTTCTATGACCCGAGACCGGGGCTCCATGTGAGTCAGGCACTCGCACTGAATGTGTGTGATGAGGTGAGAGTGGCACATGCATGCATGGGGGTGTATAGGAGCAGCACATGCGAGGGCAGTTCCTGAAACTGCTCAGTGACATTGGGTTCTATGACTCCAGGCTGGGGCTCAATGTGAGTCCCTTGGACCCAATGTAACCCCCCATTGCAACCCACTGAAATGCCATCGAACACACATCTGCCCCTCCTTGAACCCCATTGCACATCCCATTGACCACCCATGATTTTTTGCCCCCTCACGCGTACAGCCAGCTCGCATCGGACCAAGAAATGCCACATGCATTTTTTCTTTTAACCCCCTATTGCCTGTGAATTTGCCCTCCCATGTCACGTGTGAACTTTACTAACTTGTTTTCCGTCACGAGTACAGCCAGCTGGCATCGGACCAAGAAATTATTTCCCCACTGTCAACCCATTGACTCTCTTTCGAACTCCCATATAACCATTTGACCCTTTTCTTGTTTTTAACTCAGGAGTACAGCCAGCTGGCATCGGACCAGGAAATGCTCTCCCTACTGTCCCAACCCATTGACTCCCTTTCCAACTCCCATGTAACCTCCTATGACTACCCTATTGGCTGTGGATTTTCCCCCCCGTCCTCCTCAGGAGTACAGCCAGCTGGCATCGGACCAAGAAATGCTCTCTGCTGTGATCTGTGCGGGCCTCTACCCCTCTGTTGCTCGGGTGAGGGTATTTGTTGCTCAGGTGAGCTCTCTGTTGCTCAGGCGAGCTCTCTGTTGCTCAGGTGAGGGCCTCTGTTGCTCAGGCGAGGGCCTCTGCTGCTCAGGTGGGGGCCTCTGCTGCTCAGGTGGGGGTTTCTGTTGCTCGGTGAGGTGTCTTTATTGCTCAAGTGGGCGGTTTGTGTTTCTTATGAAGGAGAATGGGCGGGTGGAGATGCACCCTTCCTCAGTCAACGCCTTCTGCCTAACACTTCAGTTTGTCCCCTTCTCTCCCTCGCTTCTCTCTCTCACAGATTCGCCGGCAAGGAAAGCGGTTTGTGTTCTTTACAAAGGACGATGGGCGGGTGGAGATGCACCCTTCCTCAGTCAACGCCTTCTGTCCTTCCTTCAATCGCCCCTGGCTTGTGTACAACGAGAAGGTCAAGACCTCCGACATCTTTCTCAGGTTGGTACCGGTTGGATGGTTTTGGATACGGTTCAGTGCGGTTGATGGCATACTAGTGCGGTTCACAGGGTTATGAAGTGATGCTTTGAGATCGACGCCTTTCTGCCCTTCCTTCTCCCGCCCTTGGCTTGTGTACAACGAGAAAGTTAAGACCTTCAGCAGTCGTGCTGCACTCCACCTACCCCTACACCTGCCTCTCCACCCCTCTCCACCCCTCTCCACCCCTCCACCCCTCCCAGGGACTCCACCAGGGTATCCGATTTCGCTTTACTAATGTTCGGAGGCAACCTCGAGCCCGCCCCTGCTGGCTCAAGGGTTTAGGGTTTACCGTGCTCCACCCCTCTCCACCCCTTTCCACCCCACTCAACTCCTCTCCACCCCTCTCCACCCCTCCCCACCCCTCTCCACCCCTCCCAGGGACTCCACCATGGTATCCGATTTCGCTCTCCTCATGTTCGGAGGCAACCTCGAGCCTGCCCCGGCCGGCCGCACGGGCTTTGACATGCTGGGAGGATACCTGCACTTCGGTGCTTCTGCTCAGACTGCAAAAATGGTGCAGGTGAGAGACTTGGTAGAGGTGGGAATTCGCATGCAGGCACACGCACTTTGGCCCCGGCTGGCCGCACGGGCTTCGACATGCTGGGAGGATACCTGCACTTCGGTGCCTCTGCTCAGACTGCTAAGATGGTGCAGGTGAGCAAGCAGGCATGCGGGCACGAGCTGTTCGCCACACGTGCTGTGGCTCCGGCTGGCTGCACGGGCTTTCACATGCTGGGAGGGGTATCTTCACTTCGGTGCCTCTGCTCCGACGGCCAAACTAGTGCAGGTGAGTGGCGGAGGGCAGGCGAGAACTGGCGCAGGTGAGGGGCGGAGTGCAGGTGAGGGGCGGAGTGCAGGTGAGAACTGGTGCAGGTGAAAACTGGTGCAGGTGAGAACTGGTGCAGGTGAGAACTGGTGCAGGTGAGAACTGGTGCAGGTGAGGTCAGGCATGCAGCACACACAGGTGGGCTTCTGCTGGCCGCAGTGGTATTGACATGCTTGGGAGGTATCTGCACTCCGGCGCTTCTGCTCAGACTGCAAGATTGGTGCAGGTGAGAGCTGGTGCACCCAACCTAATCTGCCTATCCGGGCCCCCATCCCTTCCCCTCCCCCGTCTCCCAGGACCTGAGGCAGCAGCTGGATGCGCTGCTGCGGGAGAAGATAGAGAATCCGTCTCTGGACGTGCATGCCCAGGGGGGGAGGGTCGTGGCAGCAGTCCGCAGCCTCTCATGCCTATTGCCACATACCTCTCCCTTGCTACCATGCAGGACCTGAGGCAGCAGCTGGATGCGCTGCTGCGGGAGAAGATAGAGAATCCGTCTGTGGACGTGCATGCCCAGGGGGAGAGGGTCGTGGCAGCAGTGATGCTGCCTGCCGTGCCTTCGACTTAGCCCATTCTACTCGTGTCTGCCCCCCTCTCTCCCTGCTCCCCCTCCCAGGACCTGAGGCAGCTGCTCTATTCGCTACTGAGGGAGAAGATAGAGAACCCGTCTCTGGAAATGCATGCCCAGGGGGAGAGGGTTGTGGCAGCAGTCCGCAGCCTCCTCTCCTCCCATTTCGCTCACATCTTTTCCCTCATCCCTCCCCGCCCTCTCCCAGGACCTAAGGCAGCAGCTGGATTCGCTACTCAGAGAGAAGATAGAGAACCCATCCTTGGACGTGCATGCACAGGGGGGGAGGGTCGTAGCAGCAGCAGTGGTTGCAGCGGTGCGCAGTCTCCTGGGAAGGTTTCTTAGCCAAGCCTGTTCTGCCCATCTGTTCCCCCCATCCCTCTCCCCACCCCCTCTCTCCCAGGACCTGAGGCAGCAGCTGGATTCGCTACTCAGAGAGAAGATCGAGAACCCATCCCTGGACGTGCATGCACAGGGGGAGAGAGTGGTGGCAGCAGTGCGCAGCCTCCCGTGCCTTCATCTCAGCCCATTCTGCCCCTCATATTCCCACATACCTCTCCCTTCCTACCATGCAGGACCTGAGGCAGCAGCTGGATTCACTACTTAGAGAGAAGATCGAGAACCCATCCCTGGACGTGCATGCACAGGGGGAGAGGGTCGTAGCAGCAGTGCGCAGCCTCCTCTCCTCACCCCACGCGGATTCGCTCCCCCCTGGGGAGTCTGGAGGTGGGGGAGGAGGGGCTAGGGGCGGTGGGAGAGGAGGGGGGAGGCATGGGCACGGGCATGGACATGGGCGTGGGCATGGGCATGGACACAGGGGGAGAGGGGGCAGGCACTAATAAGAAATTGTACCATATGCGGGATGCAAGCATTCCATGTTCATGCATGCGAAATGCATGCACAGGGGAAGGGAAAGAGGATGGTGGCAACAGCTTGCGACAGTTTTCTGTCTTAGAGAACGAACAATTATAAAATGATATAACTAAGATATACATAGCAGATCATCCAAACTTTACAGCCATTTTTTGACTGCGGCACACGTTGCAGCTCTATATTCTTTGTACAATGCTGGGTACTTTCATCCAACTACCTAGCCTTGTGCTCTAATGTTTCTTAGGTGAATCGTCTAAATTGTTTTCAGCACAAGAGTGTCGGTTATCCTGGTATCTTAACGAATTGCATCATAACGAAAAAAACGGCTCTTTCATTCCAGCACGCTACGCTCTCCAAGCAAAGCCTTTCCCTTCCCTCCCAGGCTGATCTTGCCTGGCCAGGCCACCCTTCCAACAGTGACTCCTGAACCTTTTCTTCTCGTTGAACAGTTTATAACCATGGCGTCTGCCATTTCTCCATGCCTTCTCTCAGGCCGATCTCTAGTGCCAGCGCATCGTGTTCGCTATGGCGCGCCGCTCTCGGCGCCTAGAGATTTCCGTTTCACGGAGCAACGCAGGTTCGCAGACTTCTCCGTGCACGCGAAAAAGAAGAAGTCCAAAGCTCCTGTAGAAGAGCCGGTAGTAGAAGAGGAGGTAGTTGAAGAGGAAATTATTGAGGAAGAAGAGGAACCGTCTTGGGTCTCTGAGAGGGTTACAGATGTCCAGCAGACCGTTCAGTCAGTAATGCAGGCAGTCCCTGGTCCACGAGTAGGCGAGTCGAATATGCCATGGCTCATCGCCGTTCCGTTAGGCTACATGGCTCTGACTTTCGTTCTTGCAGTGTATAAAACTGTGAAAATGCGAAGCACTCCCAAGGCTAAGCGCAGACGACAGGTGCGAGAACTGAGCCTTTTCCGTCAGGATGATCGTGTTTCGTATGGGCTTTTGAAAGATGCACGAACTTCGTGAGTTCCTCACTTACCATCGTGTACGAATACGGCAGATCGGGAAGAATGCTGGCCTCAACCAGAGCATTGACGAGTTTTTGCCCGACAATAAGGACGCTCTGACTTCCAAGGAGCTCAAGTCGCTCGAGAAAAAGGTACCTCCTGTCCGCATGATTCAGTTCAGCAGTCGTTCTTTTGTCTTGTAAGGACTTCTCCTGACGTTCTCCCTTTTCTGCAGTTCAACTTCAGCTCGGATGAGATTCTTCGCAAGTACATCCGTTACGTGATCAATGAAAAGCCCTTTACCCCGGAGACGGTTTCCGGCCTGATTCACCTTCGGAAAGTGTCTGGTCTTGATGACCTTGGGATTGCCGAGGTGCTCAACGAGATCTCTCGGAGAATCGTGAAAGCCAAAGGTAGTACCCGCATTTTATGTGTCTTATCCCCTAATTTTGATCGTTATGTGCCAGCGAATGCTCACAGAACCCCTGCCCTACCTCAACCTCGGATGCAGGTCCTGTTGTGATGGATACAACTGGTTTCACTGAGAAGGGAGTGCAGAGGAAGGCAGCAGTACAGGGGATATTCACAAAGCTCCTCTACTTGTCTGAGGTGCGTAGTGTTCTTGCATGAAACTGTGCTGCCATCACAATACAGGAATTAACGTTTGTGTGTTACTGATGCAGCTGGATGATTTCTGTGGGCCATCGGGGCGTGAGAAGCTTGAAATCAAAAGCATATTTGGAGTTACAGAGTGAGTATTGTTGGCCCGCTCCCTTTGTTGCTCCCTATGTTTTCCTTTAGCCCACCTCCCTGTTTGTTTCCCATTCACCTTTTGTTGTTGGCTGGCACTAACTTTTCTTTGCTCCTGCAGTGAGGATGCTTCGTTGATCAAGATTGTAAGTTTGTCTTCATCAGCTGACATGGATGCACTGGACAAATCATTAAACGCTGGAGACTCATCAGACTCTGAAGCAGATGAATGAACAATGACCCTTGTGATCACACGCTCACAATGTAGTTATAGTGATAGTGATCTGTGAAGCTTTCTAGTACTGCATTAACAGTTTCAGTTGCGACTTCTTGAACCATAGGTTCTGAAGTTTTAGTCCCGGTAGGCTGGAGCACATTCTGCATTGGCAGATTTTTGTTTGTCAAAATGTTCATTCGGAGCATAATATAATATTGCTATTAGTCATACTCAGTACATCAAATCACCTGTACGATGATGTCCAGCAAATGAGTGTTGAGTCATGCAGTTATCACAAGATTTTGTTGTTTTGCCTTCAAGAGATGTGACACATCATGTTGCTACAGCGAAGACGCGATGATAACCGCGAGTTGGTACAACCATCGACGGCTTTCCGTGATCGTGCTCGATCCGTGTACCAACTAAAGAAGCCGTGTAATTGGTTGTTTGAAATGTTCCCCTGCTTGCGGCCCAACCATCGTCTTGAGGGGTGAGACTTCGGGAGCTATATAAAATCTGATCACCTGCGAAGACTAGCTCAGCTTTCCTGACGTCGCTCAACAACGTTTACTCCCAAGTTACGATTCTCTTGTATTCCGAAGGTCGCGTAGCAACATAGCAAGTAGCAGTGCGTCGCCGAATCTGCTTCAGTTATTATGGCTCCAAAGGTCGAGGGAGAGCAGAAGGCAGCCAAGAAGGGCCCAAAGAAGGAACCCACGGCAAAGAAATCTCCAGGAGCAGGAAAGAAGCTTGCGGGGGAGAAGGCGGAGAGGAAGAAGTCCCGGAAGGCCGTAACAGAAACGTACAAGATTTACATTTATAAAGTTTTGAAACAGGTAAGCTCGTGAGGTTCCCTTCGTGGCCCTAGATCGTTCCGTGTTATATTGAGCAGGGCTGACGCATTTCGTATACGCCGTGTTTTTTCATATACGATGCTCCATTGCAGGTGCATCCGGACACTGGCATTTCGTCCAAGGCCATGTCCATCATGAACTCTTTCATCAACGACATTTTTGAGAAGCTGGCGACGGAGGCGTCGAAGCTGGCTCGGTATAACAAAAAGCCCACGATCACGTCTCGCGAGATTCAAACAGCAGTCCGGCTTACCTTGCCTGGCGAATTGGCGAAGCACGCAGTGTCAGAGGGTACCAAGGCCGTCACGAAGTTCACCAGCGCGTGACCTCCGTGATATAAATTCGACGCTGTTGAGCCACAGCCGAGTATTTTTGTTCCTTATGGGCCCTTGTGGCCTCTGTATAGTTTTAACTATGTTAATGTACTAGACCTCAGCTCTGAAACTTCCCGATTACTTCAACCTCCAAACTCGATGTTTTAGTAGCTGGTGTCCTAGTGGTTTATGATCACATCTGGGTTGGGCATAGTGAGTTGATCCCACATACAAGCGGGTACACCTGGGCTCCACTAATTTCAAGCCCTGGAAAATGTTTTCAGAGACACCCTAGACCAGATTCAGCCGTATCTTTCAGACGCCCAGAATCAAAATGATATTGAGGACACTCTCCTCAACGATTGTTCAAAACAATAAATCCCTCAGTGGATCAGGCTTACCACCCACTCTGACGGGAAAATTTTCTAGTTGCGACCTTCGTTGCGTCATCGCCCTCACAAGGAGTCCGAAACCTTACCTACTTCAAAATATGTTTCACTCTGTACAGCCCTTGGTCCCAGACATAATAAGGGTAGCTACCCGCGAGCGCCCAATTTCGGGCCTTGAAATTAGTGGAGCCCAGGTGTATGACAGAACTGCAGGTGGACAACGTCTGGATGCAGTATTTGTGATCAAATGAGACCAATGGTGGGCAGAACAAAGTTGTGCTGCATACAGTAAAAGTTTAGTGTACACGAGACGGGACTTTTGAGACTCCAAAGAACCCTCGAATCACACAACTCTCCCTGAAGGACCTTCAAATTTCGACGATCTCCATGTCCACCTCATGCTTCCACCTCCCCCAGCCCCAGTTGGATTTCCAACTTTTAGCACCACTAGTTCTTCTCTTGGAGTTCGGCTTTTGAGGGCTCAACATAGTTTCTGTCCATAGTTTGACCTAGATGTTTGCCCAAGATACTCTCGCCTCGCGCGTTTGTTTCCGTCAGCAAGACCTTTTATGTTGGAGGGTTTGTTCAACTGTCAACGGATTTCGTCATCATGTCTTGTCGTTCATCAGCTGACCTTACCGCCGGCCCTTGCGTAATAGAAGGAAATTTGGCTGATAGAACACCGAATCATCGATAGAATGCATTTTGAACGATAGAACGTAGCCAGTGTCCGCATCATTTCCGAGTCTGCCACGTGTCACGTTACGACACTATGTTTACGCCGAACGACATTCCTCCGTCCCTCGAGTCAGCTCCAACCTTCCGCCCTCCCCCGGAAAACGAGGCCGCGCAAAGCGCAAGCGCGTACGACCTCGTTCCGCCGTCCCTCGAATCAGTCCCGACCTTCCGCCCACCCCCCGCCGATAGCGAATCCTCACGGGGGCTTGGCATTCCACGAGGGAATGGAAAGGCTTCGGATTTAAACATTTCAATATCGCTCTCGACCAATTCAAGGGAGACTCAGGGCGGAGGTATTGATCCTAACGGGGGCGACTATAACGAAGATGATGACCGGGATGGGGTGTTATCCCCCGCTACTCCCACTTTCACCTCGTCAGGCGTGAAAACGATCCGACCTGCAAGAAGCCCTGGACACGTGGCTCATCCAGAACCATCCGGCCCACACGATCTCACCTTCTCTCGACCCAATCACGCCTCCGCTCCCGCCAACCATGGGGTCCCCGCCGAACGCCCTCCGCGCAGCTCCTCCCGCGGCCCGCGCGACCTCTCCGCGCTCACCATCAGCTCCCCCCATCCCAGCAGCAGCTCCGCGCGCACCCCGCGCGACCTCTCCGCGCTTACCGCGCTGCTGGAGCCTCCGCGGGAGATGCGCCACAGCGGCAGCTTCCGCAGCAGCAGCGCGAGCGGACCGGGCGCAACCCCCAGGGGGATGAGGAGCGGAAGCTTCCGCGCAAGCACCCTCCGCAGCAACAGCAGCAGCGGGGGCGGAGGCGGTGTGGGCGGCGGGGGTGTAGGTTTAGGGGGAGGCAACACCGGTGGCAGGTCGTTTAGAAAAGCTTTGTCTTCAAGTGCGAAAATGTTGAACGCTGTTTCTGCTGTTGGCGAAGGCGTTGGCGAAAGTGGTCCTTACGGTAACCCTAGGGCTACCAGACCAGCTACTTCGTACAGTAAATCGCCCACGCGGCGAAGGCTTGCGAGCTCCCATGCGTCCCGGTCTAGACGAAACCTGCTCCCGCCAGCAGCACCAACAGCAGGAGGAACAGGAGCAGGCGCAGGGGCAGGAGCGGGAGCAGGAGCAGCAGCAGGAGGAGCAGGGGCAGGAGGAGCAGATTCAGCTGGTATGGAAAACGGTATTGAACTGGCTGAGAGTTTTTTCCCTGAAGCTGACTTGCTCGTCCTAGACGACTTAGAAGGTTTGGAAGAGGAGGAAGAGGAGCAAGACGCGGAGGAGGCGGAGGAGGGAGCGGAGGGAGGGGAGGGGGAAGCAATGGGTGGTGAGGAGGAGAGAGCGTTTTTAGAGGGGAGCTATGAAGCTCAAGCTGCGGCTGCTGCGGCGGCAGTGGCTGCAGCGTCTGCAGCGCTCCTAGCTGCGAAATCTCCCCGGTTCTCAAAGGCCACTCCTCGCTCCTTCAGCTCCCATCGTTCGTTCAAATCCTCTCGAACCCTCAAGTCCCCACGAGAACAGCGTTCCCCTAGACTTGCTGGTTCTTCCTCTTTCTCCCTCTCTCCTCCCCACTCCTCTTCCCTCCTCTCCTCTTCCCTCCACTCCTCTCCTCTCCACCCATCCTCCTCTTTACGTTCCTCCACTCCCCGAGGCTACCCGGCTCGCACCCCAAGGTCGCTCCGAACCTCCGCCAGCTCCAGGTTCGGGCAGACCGAACCTGATGGAGGTTTTGGGGAAGCAGGTGGTGGTGCTGACGGCAGCACAGGTCCTGCTGACGATATAGACGATCTTGTTCCTGAATCTCCCGCCTCCCCTCGTTCCTCCTCCTACTCCTCTTCAGCCCACCTCACGCGTCCAAGATCTCCCTTCAAGAGTGACTTTACCCGTGGTGACAGTAAGGGATTTGGCACACGTGACTATAACGAGGGGAAGGGAGGCCAGGAGGTGGTGCAGGGTAAGGAATTGGAGCAGAGCTTTCCAGGTACTCCGAAATTCCTGCCCGAAAATTTGGGGTTGGAGAGGCCGGTCAGCCCGCTGAGAAGTCCATCTGCCCGGATGAAAGCTGGGGAGGGGGTTACGGCAGGACTTCTGAACAGGCTTATGCTGGCTGATCCCTTGGGAGCAGGTGGGGAGGCAGGGGGGAGTGGGAGTGGGATTGGTGGGGAGAAAAGGGATGGAAGGGGAGGTGAAACACAGGCAGACAGGGAGAAGGTGGAAGTAAAGGTCGGAGAGGAGGCAGGAGAAAGGGTAGAAGGAAAGGTGGAAGGAGAAGAAATGGGGAAAACGCAAAGGGCAGTTGTTGAGGAAAGGAATGAAAGAGGAGAGGTAGCAGAGGAGAGAAGTCGGCAGCCTAGTCAGCAGCCTAGTCAACAGCCTAGTCAGCAGCCTAGTCTGCAGCCTAGTCAGCAAGCAGGTGAAGGGCAAGAGACAGGGGGCAGTCAAGGAGTTAAGGCAGCAAGAGAGGGCCTACCCAAGCAAGGCATATCCATTGAAATCCCAACCAGCCCTGTAGCCTTCCCTTGGGCAGCTTCCGAACCTTCTGCAGTTGCCGAAGCTGGCGCCGAAGCTGTGGGTGCTGAAGCTGGGTACGTTCGGCTGGCCATCGAAGCTCCGCGCCGAAGCAGCTTTGATCTGGCGTCTCCGTTGGCCCAAGCCGTGCTGCCTCGAGATGTTTCCATGTTCCTGGGAGAGAGTGAGGGAGTGAGTGAGAAAGTGAGTGAGGGAGTGAGTGAGAAAGTGAGTGAGGGAGTGAGTGAGAGAGAAAGAGAGGATGGAGGCGTGCAGAATGTGAGTGAAGCAGAAGGGAGGAGTGAGAAAGGAGGGGATGGTGTGGGAGACGGTGGGGGGGAAGGAGGTGATCGGGGAAAAAAGGCTGGAGAAGGGAGGGACGAGAACGGTGCTGCTGCAGATGCTGCAGCTGCTGCAACAGGAACTAATGCAGCTAATACGCTTCCTGCTCACAGTGTTTCTAACGGCATTCCTCCGAAACCGAAGCGGCGAAGCGAGAAGGGCGAGGGGAAGGAGAGGGAGAAGAAGGAGAGCAGCAAGAGCAGCAGCAAGAGCGGCAGCGGCAGCGAGAAAACTAGCAGCAAAACGCGTAGCAGAGCGAGCAGTAGGGCCAGCAGCAGGGGTAGTGAGATTGAGGTAGCTGTTGAGTCAGAGGCAGTTTCTAGGTCAGTTTCGGAAGCCAGTTTAGCTAGTGCGAGCACTGAGAGAATCGTGGAAGGTGAAGAAAGTGGGAAAACGGATACGGGTACTGAGAAAGACGGGGATAGAAAGCATAAGAGCAGCAGTAGCAGGAGCAGTAGCAGGCACAAGGACGAGAGTAAAAGCAAGGGCGGGAGCAGCAGCAAGTCTAAGAGTGAGGAGAAAGAGAAGGAACGAACGAAGGATAGGAGTGACGATAAGGAGAAGAGACGAGGAAGAGAGGGGGCCGGTGAGAAAGAGAGGGAGAGATCGAAAAGCAAGGACAGGCATAAGGAGAAGAAGAGGGATGAAGCGGAGAAGGGGGAGGGGAAGGAGGGAGAGAGGGATGAGGGGAAGGAGGGAGAGAGGGATGAGGGGAAGGAGGGAGAGAGGGATGAGACGAAGAAGCATTCGTCTCGTTCCAGTAAAAGCAGGTCAGAAGGAGAGTCGAGAAAGGAGCGAGAGGGAAGCAGCAAGGAGAGCAGCAGTAAGAGGGACAGCAAGAGAGGTAGTAAAGAAAGCAGTAAGGAAAGAAGCAAGGGGAGCAGCAGGTCGAGCAAGGACAAGGAAGCGAAAAAGAGCAAGCATGGGACTAAAGAGGGGAGGGATCCAGAGGGGGATGAAAGCATGGATGCTAGTATTGCATCTGAGAGTGTGGGTGGGTCGAGCAGACGAGGCGAGGTGGAGAGTCAAGAAGGGACGGAGAGGAGTTGCAGCATTGGGGAAGACGGTTTTCACCCGGGGTTTTGGGAAACCCTTGCTGCTGGTGGCAGCAGTGCTGGTGCTGCCGCTGCTGGTACTGCTGCTGCTGGTAGTGCTGCTGCTGGTGCTGCTGGTGCTGCTGCTGATGTTGCCGCTGATGGTACTGTGGATGAGGAATCATCTACACGCATGCCTCCTAAGACTCCTAGAACCCTTCTGGGGGGTTTCGGGGGTTCAGGGTTTAACAGCCGCAGCACGGGCAATAAAGACTCGCTCTCTCGTCCGAGCACCTCGTCTCGACCCTCCACCTCCCTCTCCTCGCGCCCCGGCACGTCGTCTCGCAAGTCTGGAGCGTCGAGTTTGAATTTTGTCGAGAGCGAGTTTGACGCGATTGTGCAGGAGTTTTCCCGGTCGAAATCGACGGGTTCAAAAGGGGTTTCGGCTGGGAGACGAACGGGGGATGGGAGGAAAGAGGGGGGAGGGGTGTTGGAGGAGGAGGGGGAAGGGGAGAGGGGAGAGGAGGGTGAGGGAGAGGGAGAGGAGGAAGTGGGGACGTATGGGAAGGAGCCGGTGTTGAGAGGTGAAGGGAAGGAGGGGAAGGAGGGGAAAGGGGAGGTGAAGGGGGAGAGGAAAGGAGCAGCAGGAGGGGCGGCTGGACGTGCAGCAACAGCAATGGCAGCTGCGTTTCGCGAGACCTCTCAAAGGGCTGTAGCGACAGCTTCATTCGCGCCACCCCCCTCGCCCCGTGTGCTTCTATCGAAGGTTGAGAAGCTGTGGAAAAGCTCAGGAAGAAGGTCACATGGGAAAGGAGGAGGAGCAGGGGGTGGTGACGCTTCAGATGTCCTTGTGATTTCTCATGAAGGGGAGGAAGAGACTGATCCAGTGGAAATGCTGAGGCGGGTGGAAGAGGAGCAAAAGAAGCGAGGAACTGCGGGCGCGCAAGGGTGGGGGGCAATTGGGCATTTAAATGCGGATGATAGGAGGATGTTTTGGAGGCCTTCTTTACCGCGGTTGGAAGAAGGCGAGCTGGACGAGGAGACTGTTTCGGACTCTGAAAAGACACCCAAAGACCGTAGGTCAAAATCGTCGTTAGTTTAAGTAGGTGGTAGTTATTTGATTTTTAACATACTTTTCTTGGTACATAATTACTTGTTACGACGAATATAGATGTGCAGGTAGTGCAATGCACTAGCTTTCTGCTACAGTGAAGCCCGCTTGCATGTGTCCAAGGCACGTCGTACTGTACCCGCCGATAGCGGCTCGTAACTTTTATTGGTTGACCGTACGCAGCGCTTTTGCTGTGTGTCATGAGCACGTTTCGCGCAATACGGAGAATGTTGTTTGGCGAAACATTACCAGCACTTCATGACTTCTAAGGGCGAAATAGAGGATGCGATCGCTAGTCTTCGCCGCTTGACTATTTCGCGTCGGGCTTCTGCCACGAAACCTTTTCAATTGGTCATAGATGCCAACGACGCGCCATGCGGCCGACCTTTGACACTCGGACTCGACGCTGCGCGTGTCCTTCAGCACCACCAACGAGCCCCTCTCAATGCGACGCGACGCGACGTGGGGCGACGCGACATGCCTTCACTTCCACTCTGGGGATAGGGAATTTCAGGGTTTATGTCTCCTCAAAACCATACCGAACCGTCAAAAGAAGATGAAGATAGTTTTGAATATGTATGAACCTTTATGAACCGATTTCAACATACACCAAGGCTTCCACTGTCATGTAACACCACCCTCACCCCACCACCATTCCCCCTGCACGTTCAGTCGTCAGCCCCAATTCAAGCTCGAGTTTCTCGTTGCATCCGTTCTACCCTGGGAAGTGGCAAGGTTGATTGAGGCGCCTAAAAAGTAGTCAATACCCCCCCCATCTCAGTCTGTTGTTGAGAAGCGTTTGACGTACGAACAGCGAAGTCCACGTCCTCCTCAAGTCTCTTCGAAACGTCTAAACATTCAGACCTCGAAGCTTGGTGAAAATATCCGGTGTGTACCACGGACTCGAGTCGACTCAACTTTCGTTGAACCATAAGGAGTTACACCACCAGCAGAACTGCAGTCAAGCTGACCATCTCACTCGCTATACCTTGATACCTTCTCAATTCGGCCTCGTATCGTCACCATGAAACGCCACGGGCGGCCCGTCCTTCCGGCCCTCGCCCTCCTCGTGCCTCTCTTCCTCTCACTAACGCATACATCCACCGCGCAACAGTATCCGCTATGTCCATTAACGAAGCAGCCGCCGTCGCTTCCTACAGTCCCCTACCGCCGCTGCATGGATGCCGCTGCTGCGTCGTGCTGCACCGATTGCAAGGAGATTCAGAACGCGCTCGCTGGGGTGTCAGCGAACGTTTCGATCATCATGCCGCAGCTGCTCACGCCTCTAGGACCCATGAACGAGGTTGACTACTCGGGAACAACGGTACGTAACGAAGTGGTACGATAGGTGACGGTGCAGTCGGATTGTGATGTGGTACAGTTCGGTTCTGTGGTTCCGCAGACACCGCTGCTGTTTCGTGCTGCACGGATTGCTCGGAAATCTAAAGCGGGCCCGCGGGGTTAAAAAGGAAATTGTGCGGCGAGCCGGTAACGATACGACAATGTTTTGCAACAGCATGATTATGCCACGACGAGTCGCACTGAAACAAAGGCATGACGAATGACGGTACGATGAGTAACAGTACGGTTTCACGAGCGGGTGACTCGAACGTCAGTCAATCGAGCGAGTAGTGAGTGATACGCACAGATGGTGTCGGTCTTTTGTTTTCCCGCAGTCTTGGTCCATCATTACTTCCTCGACAACAAATCTTCAGCTAACTTCACGCGAAAGTTATTAGTGGGCTGTAATTTTCCCATAAACCCCTCGTGTGACGCGTGTCATGCCTTTCAAGTAACACGTGTGCCCTCGCACGATTTTCCCGAACCTCGTACGCAGGCATGCGACTATCTCTACGGCTTGGACGACTGCCAGTTTCATCTCGAACAGCTCCTCTGCGCGTTGACCTGTAACCCCGGTACGTACGTCGTTACGCCCGTCAGTTCCGCTTTACCAAGCGAACCCACGTTCTTCCACCTCGCCTCTTCCCTTGAGAATGACATATCCGAGGGCAAGCGCATTTACTCAGTCAAATACCATTCTGTACGCCGCTCGTTATACCCTCCCCACTTTTCCGTCACAGATTCCGGCAACTACGTGTTCGTGAAGGCCGGCAGACCCATTCTGCGCGTGTGTCCGACGTACGCGCAAGAAGTGTTTGGGTACTGCAAAGACGTCTCACGTGAGTGTATATCAGTCTTTTTGGCCGTTTATTTTTTTCTTAAGTTTCATCCCTCAGTAGGCACTTGCTAGACAAACCAGGCTTCCACCAAGGAGCTCCTGCCAGTACCCTCTTCACCCCTCTCTTGTCTTTCTCAACCCTTACCAATCTCCCAACCTCCCCCATCTCTCCCCGCATTTCTCCTCCCCCATCTCTCCTCCCCAGTGGGCACGGTGCTGGTCGGAGCAGGTTTCCCCACTAAGGAGCTCCTGCTCGGGCGCCTCTTCACTCCACTCCTCCCCAGCTCTCCCCCACTTCTCCCCTTCTCTCCCCCATTTCTCCCCATCGCTCAGTGGGCACGGTGCTGGTCGGAGCAGGTTTCCCCACTAAGGAGCTCCTGCTCGGGCGTCTCTTCACTCCTCTCGTGCAAAAGCTCGGCATTGGGAATGTCGCCTTCATCGTTTCCGAGGTGAGAATCCGGTTGCTTTCCTTCGTCAGGTGAGTTCCAAATAAGAAGTAATAGCCATAGTTTAATTTCTTCGCAACACTCCCTGAAAGCATATCCGCGTGCCTGTTGTTTTTGTGTTCTCCCTTTTAGTTACCTTACTCCCTTGCTTCCCTAATTCAAGCTTTCCTCCCCTCTGTTCTCCCACCCTTCCCTCCCCTTCCCCTCCCTCCCGCCCGCTCTCCCCTCCCCACTTTTCACCCATCGCACCACGACAGAAAAATTGCTACAGTGGCCCTGCCGCCCTCCCCGAGCAACCCGCCTGCTGCGACCCGCTATACGTCCCTAAGGAGTGCCCCTACGGCTCCGTAGACACCAAGAAATACGCGGCCTTCATCGGCCGTTCGATGGACGGCGGCAATGCATCCAACGCTTGCCAGTGGTTCCCTCTCCCAGAGGATCCTAATGCTGTGCCGCTGCCCAAAAATCCTCCGCTTCCTTATATTACCGGAGCGGCTCACGATCCGCCGCCTCCTGATGTGGGCACACCTTGGTCCTCTGAGCCTGTGCCTAAAAGCAACCCAAGTGTTATTACTTACAAGGGGGCGGCACGTATGGAAGTCGCTGGTGTAGCTGTGTTTGTGGCGACTTTGGCTGCCGCTATTGGTATTTTTAACGGTTGATTAATTTTAGTATTTTGTTAGCAGCTGTTATATCAGCTATACTGAACAGGTACATTCTTGTAGCTCGTTAGTTGCGTAAATAAAAGAAATTCCTTGCTATACATTCTCATGGGTACCTGATTTTGCCATTCCTAGGAATTTATCACTCTTGTCCTGTGAGCATTTTTGCAGATCTCCTGTGCCCGTTCTTCCTCGACTTTGGAACCATAAAGCTCGACGGAGCGCGAATTTCCATTTTTCTCCCTCGATCACATCCCTCCGAACTCACTGATTCCTCGATCCGTCGGAATTTGCTAAAAGGCGCATTGGAGAAAGAACCACAAATAATGAACTCATAATTGACAACATTCACAAGCAACTCCAACAAAGAAAGCAAACAGAGAGAGGAGTCTGGATGCTGTGTTTATTTAACCATCCGCTTGTGCGCGGAATGGGTGTTGCTCGGAATTCTCCTGGCCTCCGTACGGAAAACGAACCTAACTTTGGCGAATTGCCACATAAAATCCACTTGCAATCCTTCTCAGCAGCATCTTCCTTGACGCCATGCGCAATCCCCGTTCCTCATCCGAACAAGTTTAATCATTGAATTTCACACCCTTTTTGGTGGCATCAGCCTCCGCGTTATCCGCGTTCGCCTTCATCGAGTTAAACCTCGTCGTCAGCGCCCCCACCGTTTTCTCCTGGCTCGCGCGAAGCGCCACCTTGGTATTAAGCACCGCCTTGGCGCTGCGCTGCACGGCCAGCTTTTGCTGCGCTATCACGTTCGACGCTTTCACGGCCGTGTCCGCCGCCTTAGTGCTAACAATTTTCTGCTGGTACATCGTGAGCGAGTCCTTCTCGTCCTTCTCCGCTTTTTCCTTCACAGCCTTCTGCTCGTCGGCGGCCCGTCGCGTCTCGCCTTTGTCCTGAACCTTGCTTTCGTGCTCCGTAGTACGCGACTGAACTCGATAGTCCGCATTCGCCGCCTGCTTCTGAACCGCCACCAAGATTCGATCCGATTGCAGTTTGATGTTGTACGCTTCCAGCTGGTACGCCTTCGCCTCGGGAGTGCCGAGCTTCGCCGCGCTCCGAGCCGCAGAGGTGGATTCGGCAAGCGCCTCCGCGGCGATCTTCGTTTGCTCCGTCATGATCATTCTGGTCGTTTCCAGTCGATTTTGAGCATCGATGATGTCTTTTGCCGCTTCCGCCTCGTCGAAGACAGCTTCTTGGGCTTGCGAGTCAAGCTCATCGTAATACTCGCGCTCTTCCTTCGTCGTCTGCTTCGCCTCAATCGCCGCCTGACGCGCCACCTCCTGCTCCTGCTTCGCGCTCTCCAGCGCCGCCTTTTTCCCGTTCAAATCCGCCATGGCGGCGTCCGCCTCCGCGTCTGCGTCCGCGGATTTCTTCTCCGCGTCGCGCTCGTCCGCCAGGCGCGTGTCAAGCACCGCCTGCGCCTTGTCGAGGTCTACCTTCGCCTGATTGGCCTGCGCGCGAAGCGTCTTCGCCTTGGAAGCGATGTACGCGGCTTGCGAGGCGCTAAGGCCCTGCGCGTCGGCGAGGAGGCAGGGATTTAAGTTGCTCGTAGTAGCGAGGGCGAAGAGGAGCAGAAGGCCGAGCTTGCTGAGCCGACGAGCGGCCATCATGCCAGATTGATCGGGTTGACCGCGCTTGACCGCGCTTGTCTCAAGAATGAGGCGAATGTAGCTGAATGTGAAAGTTCGTTGGCTCAAGGTAATGAATTTCCGTGAATCTAGGCGCAGGAAGAATTGTATACTATCGAGATGATGATATCGATGTGCGGCTTTGAATCTGATGTCGAACTTGCTTTCGGAGTCTATATCTTCCACACAGCTACGAGAGAGCACGCCGTTTTTCTAAAAGGGTTGCCAGAACGGTGTGGGACGGTGTCCCACGGTGTCGCGGATTGGCGACGTGCAATCTGGCAGTGAGGGGAGTGTAACCAGTGTCGAGAGTGTTCGAGAAGGGCCGAATGCACTTGGTGGGGGTTACAGTATTGTTTTGTGCGATTCGAGGAATTACCGTACTGGTGACCGGTCGGTGAAGTGATCTACCGTCGGTACTTCTGGGGGAGAACACTACAGCTAATGCCCGACCAGTGCACGCGAATTTGCCATGCGCCGGATGGAAACGCTGCACCCGAGCTCGAAACCCCTGCTTGCTGCTCCCACAGTACAAGCACCTGGATGGCTGGCTACAGTACACGCGCTGCGGCCACCAACGCACGTGCAGTCCCGAACAAGGCAGGCCGACCCTGGTTTGCCTTGTTTCTAGGCCAGAAGTCAGGCAGGCGAAATGTAAGGACGAAACGTGAGTGGTTTCGTGAACGCATTCGCCCGACTGCCACGCCACCTAAGCGAGGTTCATCGTGCGTGTAGCAGACATTTGGGCAGATTCACACTGCCACGTGTAGTCTGCACCTGTGGGGTACAAGCGCATTATCAGCCAAGCATTGTTCGCCGACCCCACGTCAGACATTCCATCGTGTGGTTACCAAGCCACACAAGCGGAGATTCAAGACAGGTGCATGGAACTAACAACGGACACACGACTAGGACGAGCCACACAGAACAGGCCCCACAAGTGACACAGCACGCCCGCCATCCGAAGTTAAAATCAGACCAACGAATTCAGAAGAGCATCGTTCTCACACACCCCCGCCTCTCACAATGCCCCGTTTCCATCGTCGTGACTGGCACGATTTGCGGTAAATTAGTCAGACAGAACCACATCCTGATTCCTGATTCCCCTAGGCGAAGCATCGGTCAGACCCTCTGTCATCCTCACAGCTCTCAGGAGTTCACAGGGTGTTGGTTCATAGCTACTAAAAGTATCCACGCAACTCGAAGATTCGACCTCTCTCGATCAAGTTCCTTCATTTTTCTTAGCGACGAGTTCTACACGACAGTCCCATCGGCTCGTCCCATTTCAGAACGCTACAAAGATATAGCTCGACCCGTCGATTCCCTCGTCCGTTCCAAACGGGAAACGCGCGATGCCATTTTTCGCATTCCAAATCATCACATTTCACTGTGGCAGGTCTCCGCGCGCTACTGTGTTTTCCTAACGTGATCCTCGTGTCGCAGGAGCACCGTGGCCGTTGTAAGGGCGGCGAGCAGGTGTGGGTACGGACGACCGTCGATATGGCCTACCACGTCGTGGAAGGCACATAGCCCGACGGATGTGACAATAACGAAGTCGGTGCGGAACCCTCCATCACAAAAACATACGAATGCGACAGTAAGCGTCGAAAAAGCGCGTGAGGAAGAAGCTGCTTCAAGACCGGCGGAATCGGAAGGAGGTGCAACGCCAATGGCAGGATCTGTCAGCTCGAGTGGGGGATTCGGCGTGTTATGCGGCGGGGAGCATGGAGTGGCACACCATGCAAGGCGTCGTAGGCAATTTGTTGAGCACAAGTGTTCACTCCTTGTGCCCATTTGTGCGTGTTTCGATGTTTGTGTGGAATGGAGCTGGGGGCCATGTGGGAGAAGCTGATTGGTTGTGATTGGTGTTTTGGTTGTTTTAAACTAAGAGGAACATTTGATGAGGCTGCTTGTTTCGTTGTTCTTACATTCGTTGAGTAACCTGTAACACACATGTGGGACAAGTAGGGCCAACCATTACTGTTGCGAATCGGACAAATCGGGTGGTTACCATGTTCAGTTTTGAAGCACGCATGAAGCCTAACAAAACGTACGAACCCCACGCGAAATGCAGGTTTAGCTTACAGACCCCCTTCACAAGGCAACCGGGAGGGGCTCTAACGGGCATTAGCTGTACCCTGGAAGAGCCTGGAGAGAAAAGGGTAGGTTGGGTGGAAGGAAGGGGGAGGTGGGGCGGGCCGCGGGGGTAGCGGATTGCAGTCGAAATCTCGAGAAGCCCAATCCCAACTGGCATTGGAGTTCACACATTGCGAGTCGCGTTAGCAATTCAGCGACGCGTTGGAGAACACGACCTGGGCACTGGTGCGATCTTTCAGCAGAGTTGAGGAGCGGAGATACTCAAGCTATTTCCACTACGCACCAGTAATGTTTGAATATTTCGCATTTGGGTTCTTCTGAGACTTACCTAAACATCGGTCTTCGGCAGTTTCTCCATTTGCAGGTCCCATTGCTGTTGCATACGGCTCCAGCCCTCGAAATACACTCTCCACTAACTTGACGCAAGCGGCTGGTTGTAGACTGCAATGAGTGTACAGTGCAATATAATATCGAACCTGAACGCAACCCAGCGCTTTTCTGTGGTCACCAGACAAGTCTAAGGCGAGGCTACGCTGAGGCAAATGCGGTTCGAGGAGTGTTGCGAGTGTGGTCGCCTGGAGTCAACGCATTTTGCAATGCTTTCCCTCATGACGACCCGTGGGGCAAGGCAAGGGAGACGCGAGACTAGTCGCGAGCAGAATCGCGCCGCGGTTCGCGATTCGAGATGGCCTGACTCAAAACACATGCCTCATCGAGCATGGCCCCCGCAGGTGGCTCCTTGCCGCCACACCACGGAAAGGGGATTCAGCTCGCTGTGTGTTTGCTCCAGACCAGTCAACGGTGCAGCCAAAGTAGAGTTTTCACTATTTTGGCTTCCAGTTCCTTGTTTCCGAGGAGCGCAACTCCGCCTGGACAGAGTAAGATTCGTTTGATAACTGTGAAAATCTATTCAAGAGGATTGGGTTATATTTTTATGGGGCAGCTACCTTCGAAATATGCCCGTCTGGAATGCACGGGCGGCATCAGGCTACCAAGCCTGGGTAATGCGCCGCGATGTACGATCTAACATAGCAGAGTAGAGCTCGACTTGACAACATGCTGCGTGGCCGCTTTGTACTTAGCTGATCACAACCATCCCGCTCTCACACTTCACAGTCGCTCTTTTTCAACAGTCTTCACTGTATAACTCGGTTGCTTATCACTCTCCCTCGCCGTTCATATCCATCACGAGAAATTTGAGTCGGAGAGCCACGTGCTTTCTTTCTCCGCAGCTCCCATCGTCTGCAACCTCGAGCAGAGCCTTAGAGTAATGCCCGCGCTGCCCGGATTCCCGTAGTTTCCCGTACGAAGTCCTGCAAAGAATCGAGCTGCTCTGATCCTGTAATATCGACAACATGACGTCGACTGAACGTGTTGCTCTCGCTGCCGCTTTTCTGGCGTGTTTCGCCGCGCTTCTTGCCGCTCCTCCAGGCGCCGCCGCCCAGAACGCGTTTCTCGTCGCCAAAGCCAGGAATCTGCGCGCCTCTGCAGATCAAGCAGCGGCGGACCTGAAAACCGCGCAAGCGGATGCCGCCAAAAACGCGGACGACGTAGCCAACGCCACGCAAGCGTTGTCCGATCTCCAGAGCCCGGAGGATTCGGCTCTCAACGACCTCGTTACAAGCGTCTCCAACACAAATGAGACCGTCGCTGATGCAAAGTACGACCTCGACATTGCAAACAAGATTCTTGCTCTTCGTGTGGCGGATCTCGCGGCGTTCAAGGCTGATCCGTCGAAGCATCCGCAAATTCCGGCGGCGCAGAAGGCGGTCAGCGACGCTACTCGGCGCGCGAGAATGACGTCAGCGCTGCTACAGGAGTGGCAGATCGTCGTGCAAGAAGCAGCGCAAGCGGAAGCTGACGCGCAAAAGGCTCTCAACGATAACCCCTCGCCGGTGGCGGAGGCGGCGCTCGCGGAAGCGCAGGATTCGCGCAAATCCGTGGAGGAGGTTTATCCGGACATGGTGGCGCAAGATCAGCGCGCGCAGGCTCGGCAGCAGCGCGCGCAAAAGAAATTGAACGATCTGATGACGCTCGGTCCGCAGGACGAGAGCGTTTTTCAGATGGCAGTGGACGATGCAAGAGCCTCAGTTTCAGTCACCCAACAGGTGTACAATGATTTGCTAGCTGCTCTCGCTGACGCGCAGAAAAATGTTGACGATTACCAGGCGAAGAAGCAAAAGGCGGTTACCGACACGAAGGCGCGTTTGGCGAAGGCGAAGCAGAGTCAGGCTGTCGCAGACAAGAAGGTGACTCAGCTCTCGGATAAGCTCAAAGCCGCACTGGTGCAAGCTGACAATGCAGAAAAGGCTGCTGGAATCAACAAGATCTCCTAAATGGGCGTCGCGGAAGAGAGCACGGTGTGGTGAACATTTTGCACCAAAAGGAATCTCGCTCTAAATATGCGCAGCCTTCGCAGCAGTAGGACAAGCGCTGCTCTCGCTCAAGGCTTCTCATTTTTCTGAGAAATAAGTGCATAGAGGGATTAGAGTGTCCAAACAAGGTGAGGGTGGGGTCGGGAGATATTGGAAGCAAAGAGCTGTATCAATCGTAAGTTCATTATTTCTTTCATTAATTCATTCCTTTGCATCAGCATCCCTCCACACATCTAGAATTCCAGGGTCTTATGCCATGGATAAACAGCAGATTGTTTGTGAACACGTTTTATGGGCATAATCTGGACGTTTTGGGTTTGTGAAAAGCCGGCTCGAATCTTCAAATACAGAATCTGACTTGCTGGCTGGGATGTGGAAGGGAAGGTGGCATAAAACAGCATGCATAGAGAATCAATACCGTAGAATAGATGTAAGTTTTGGAGATAACCTATGTGTAGGATCAGGCCAGAGTAACCAGCCAGGTGTGTGGCTTCGACACGATTGCGAGGAAGCCGCGACGGGAAGATGGCGTCGGGAAGGAACATTCGCGATATGAGTGGACAGTGCTCTACACGGTTTGAAATATGATGTGCATTAAGGAAATATCGAATTCAATTTACATATATAAATTTCAAATATGGAAATATCAATTTATCCTTATTAGTTATGATTGTTCTCATTTCAACTACATAATTGCAGTAATAGATGCATCTATTTGATAAACAGATACTACTGTCAAAATTCTTTATGTGCACCGCCCAAAATCCTGGATCATTGATTTGGAGTTCATGCATTGCGAGCCGCGCCACTAATCAGCGGCGCGTTGTTGGGGCAACGATGAGACTTGCAATTTCGTGAGTACAGTGTGAATGTTCACGTCAGACCCCTGCTGAAATGGTAACCTGGTCGGAGCCTAAAATTCGTTCGGCCAATGGGCATGAGGGTCAAGGAGTGTTGTGCGTGTGGTCGCCTTGGGTCAACTCCACAGATTCCATTCACGAGTAGGGGACGCGAGACGAGGTGGCCCAATTCGCATCGCAAATTCGCAAACCCTCACACGAGCACATGGGAGCAACCTTGTTCTGCCTTTTCAAAGCCCTGTCAAATGCAATTTTTCGCTGGCAACTTCTCTGTGTTGGTTGCTGAAGTAGCAGATTGTTTAGACTCCAAGCAGACACTCCTATCCTGTGCATCCTTCAACGGGGTTCGCTTAGTTTTGAGAAAAGTATCAATTCCAGGATTGGCTGGATTATAAAACGCACAAGTTAACTTGATGCACCAATGATAGGACCATCAAACTCTTAGGGTCGGTACCTAGTACTCTCTAATTAACAACTCTCTTGTAGCTCAATCATCTTCCTCCTCGTGCCGCTTACTCAACCACCTAGACATTTGTTCCGACGGCGCCAGAGCGCTGCTCCCCTTTCTCTCTAACACGCCACCATCACCCGCCGAACTCAACCCAGCTGCCAACGCGTACCATATTCTCTCGAGCCTAAGCAACAGCTGAGCTGGTGCGTTTCCTTCTCCCCGCCGGTGATCTCCCTGCAGACATGATGTCGATTACTACGCGTGCTGCCCTCTCAGCAGCCCTGCTGGCATGTTTCGTCGCGCTTCTCGCTCCTCCCAGCACATTCGCCGCCGCGCAATCCGCGTTCCTCATAGCGAAAGCGAAGGCGCTACGCGCCGTTGCGGACCAAACGGCGGCGAACCTGACAACGGCGCAGGCGGACGCCGCGAGATGGGCGGACGAAGTAGCCAACGCCACGCAAGCGCTGTCCGATCTGCTGGCCCCCGATACTGCGCTCAGCGACCGCATTTCAAGCATCTCCGATATGAATATAAGTCTCGCCAATGCACAGAATGACCTCAACATCGCGAACAAGGTCCTCGCTCAGCGAATCGCCGTCCTCAAGGCGTATAATGACGATCCGTCGAGCTTCCCGCAGATTCCTGCGGCGCAGAAGGCGGTGGAGGAAGCGACTCGGCGCGCGAACACAACTTCTATTCTGATACAGAAATGGCAGGGCATCATGCAGGACGCTGTGCAGGCGGAGGCCGAGGCGGGAAAATCGGCCGCAAATAACCCGTCTTCGGCGGCGGCGCAGGTGGCCCTCGCGGACGCGCAAGAGCAGCTGAAATATGTGGTGGATGTGTATGCGGATATCGTGGCACAAGATCAGCGCGCGCAGGCGCGGCTCGCGCGTGTGCAGCAGGAACTGAACGCGCTCCAGCAGAACCCGCCTCAGTACGACGTGAATGTATTTCCGAAGGCTGTGGACGACGCGAGAGCTGCGGTTTCCGTCGCTCGCCAGGTGTATGACGGTATTTCTGCGGCTATCACTGACGCGCAGAAATCTCTTAACCTGTACAAGGCGACGAAGGCGAAGTCGATTACCGACGCGAAGACGCGTTTGGCGAAGGCGAAGCAAAGCCAGGCTCTCGCGGACAAGAAGGTGATTCAGCTCACGTCTAAGCTCAACGCGGCACTGGTGCAAGCTGACAATGCCGAAAAGGCTGCTGGGATCAGCAAGACTCCTGGAATGGCTAAGACTGCTGAAAAACTCAAGAAGAAGAAACACTAAATGGGCGTCGTTGACGGCCCATGGGGTGTGACCAATTTGCGCGGGTGTCCCATTACACTTATTGCATAAGTTCCAATCTTGCATGCAGTAGCACTCTTGCACTCCTGAATTCTTCTTGTGGGCAGCAGTAGCACTAGCACTGCGCTGCCTGAAGGCTGTCCCTGTACCTTCCAGAAATAATCGCATGCAGGAAATGAGAATGCCCATGTTTGTTTACAAAGAGGGAATGGGGCCTGAAGCTGTAAGTTTGTTTTTTTTTTGTTGCTGTTTTACGATTTGAGAGGTGATTATACACACACCTGAATCTCATTGTAACGAAAGTTTTTGCAATGGCTTCCGACATCCTTATCCGGTTTTACGAAATCTGCAATTCAGAGCCAAGGTCATCGTCGGTTGTCATTCCAACCCAAATCAAACAGCTGAGTTGCTCACATCAACGGCTCAGTTTCCCTTTCGGGCAGGGAACCTTGCTTGCAATCTCATCCGTACAGATGCGGTTCGAGAAGTGTTGGAATTGTGGTAAACCTGGAGTCAGTCAAAGTATTCGTGCACAACTGTTTGTCCTCTTGTTCAGCAACGCATGGAGGGGGAGGGGGGGGGGGGACGCCCGACGATGAGTCGCGAGCGGAATCGCAACGAACTTCGCGCGAATCGTGGAGAGGGCCTGCCTTGATCACATGGCCTGTCCACCTGACTCCCTCCCTGCCACCACAGGGAAAAAGATTCGTCAACTTCTTGGTTTGTGGTGTTTGCTTGCTACCTACCGTACCACGTTCAAGTAGCAGCCGTAACAAGCCTGTCTCTGTCCTGGCATACGCCTCGTCGCTGCCTTGCCTCAGTCAAAATTCCGGAATCGTTAGTCAAATCTGGTATTAGTCCCTAAAAAACATGATCGGAAGTCGTGAATGTCTGTTTTCTTGGTGGAAGACGCTCAGTGCTGATTTCAAAAAAATATTCGTTGGTAAGCCAGTTATATTCGGAATCATCACGCCAGCCTGGATCCAGGCTCTCGAGAGCACAGCGTAGCATCAGGCGAACATGTCGACGAATCTTGGGCAGCGCTGAATGGGGCAGCACCACAGTAGACTCCAAGGCTTTGCTGGTTCCGCTCATTCACCGTACCTACTACACCCTCTTTCTCAACATTTTCACCTAGCGCGACTCGTCGCTACAAAACGTTCCGAGCAACCTGGGGGGAAAAGCCGAACCACGTGACAAACTGGCTCGAGGGCGTAATATTTCCGTTATCGCTGCAAACCTTACCCAACCAGATAAAAACGCTGACAAAGCTTTTTGTAATGTGCATTACCTTACCTAACCGCATTCTTCGCATTGTGCTTGTACAGTTGGGTGACAAGACCGTTTTGAACGTGGTGACGTTCTACAACTCGTGTACGTTCTGCAACCAGATGCTCTACTGGCGAGAAAGAGGGTGTACTCGTCCCTGCCATCGCATCGCATCGCACTGCCACATCCCCATCAACTCCCTTTTCAACACAGTCCCTGTCTAGTACTTATCATGTCACTCGTTCTTTCGCCAGCTGAGCTCATCCACTGTCCATTTCCTATCAGATGCTTAGTATTCCCCATTGGATATTCTAGAGCCCCGTGCTTTCTTTGTCTTTCAGCTGCCAAACGTAGTACAGTAGAGCGTCATTTGAAGTTCTGCGAACAAAGAAGCTGCTTCGACTCGAATTCAGGACCCTAGTAACGCCAGCATGATGTCGACTTCACGTGCTGCTCTCGCTGCCTCTCTCCTCGTGTGCTTCACTGCGCTTCTCACTCCTCCCGGGGCATTCGTCTCCGCGCAAAACGCTTTCCTCGTAGCGAAAGCCAAGACGCTTCGCGCCACGGCAAATCAAGCTGCGGTGGACCTTAAAGCGGCGCAGGCGGACGCCGCCAAACAGGCGGCTGAAGTTGCCGCCGCCAACCAGACTCTGTCCGATCTGCAGGGCCCGGACCTGGCTCTTAACGACCGCGTTTCAATGATCGCCGAAATGAATAACAGCGTCGCCGATGCACAGTATGACCTCGAAATCGCAAACAAGATCCTCGTTCTCCGGATCGCGGATCTCGCGGCGTTTCAGGCCGATCCGTCAACACACCCGCAAATCCCGGCAGCACAGAAGGCGGTCAACGACGCGACTCGGCGAGCACGCATGACGTCAATGCTGACAGAGGAATGGCGGCTCGTCGTGCTAGAGGCCGCGGACGCGGAACGCGACGCGGAGAGGGCCGTGAAGTCCAACCCGACTTCGCTGATAGCGCAGGCTACGCTCGTGGAGGCGCAATTTTACCGCCAATCTGTGGAGGATGTGCTCCCGGATATTGTGGCGCAAGATGCGCGCGCGCAGGCGCGGCTGGATCGTGTTCAGAAGGAATTGCTTACCCTGCTCACGCAGGGTCCGCAGGGAGAGAGTATTTTCCAAATGGCGGTGGACGATGCAAGAGGCGCAGTTAACGCCACGCGTCTGGTGTACGACAACGCGGTTGCGGCTGTCGCTGACGCGCAGAAGGCTCTTGCCGATTACCTGACGAGCAAGGCAAATGCGGTTACTGACACAAAGGCGCGTTTGGCGAAGGCGAAGCAGAGCCAGGCTGTCGCAGACAAGAAGGTGCTTCAGCTCACGGATAAGCTCAAGGCTGCGCTGGTCCAAGCTGACAACGCAGAAAAGGCTGCCGGAATCAGCAAGACAGCCTAAACTTGCTTTTGCCAGAGGGCTCAAGCCGTGACGAATCAGTGCGGGTGTGTCACGCGGCGGCTCTTCACGTACAAAAAAAAATCGCTGATTCCAGAATGCTTACTATACAGCAGTAGCACAAGCACTGCTCTGCTCGGCTCAAGAAATGAGATCCGAACAATTCGTTAGGTTTGTCTAGAATGGCACTGGAGGTGTGGAGGGTCCTTCTTTTTTGAAATGTAATATACAGTCTCTTATTTATTTCATTCTTTGCATATCCCTTCCGAAGGATAAGGGTGGCTGAACAGGGAATCTTGGTGAACAAACCAGGGTGAGCCCTTCATGTCATGAGCCTTCTGGGATGGCATTACATTGATGGAAAGGGGTAATATTTGCACTTATGAAAACTGTACACTGTACATCTGTCAAACAGGAAATACCGTAGGTACTTTCTGCTCCATGCTATCCACCAATACATGGTAGCCACCAGAACGAAGAATAAGTTGCAGGACAGCCAGGTTTAAAAGATTAGCGCCACGAGAGCCGGCCAGTAACGACAAGGAATGCCATCCGGAAGTCACTGTACAACGACCAGAGCGGGTAACGGAAAGTCGCGGGTCTGTTCCTCTGGACAAAGAAATGCGAATACCACGCGCAGCCGTAACCGATGACGGGGGCCAGTAGGAGGAAACTAGGGTTTCGTGTGACTGCAGATGTCGTGACGCAAGAGAGGGCGGCGAGTGTTCCCGCGGTGTGCCACAAACGAGTCGCTGGCTTGCTGTGCTCTTTGAGGTAAAACGGCCAGAACTCGGTATAAGTCGCGATACGCGTGTGCGGGCGTACTGCTGGTTTCGACATTAACGACGGACCTGACGCGGATAGGTGATCCTCTGCAGCCATACTAATCGAAAGTTCCCGGCTTAGGTTGTGGGGAAGAGAAAAAGTAGCTAAGAATGCCACTGACGGCGGAGGCTGAATTTACTGGTATGGTGAATGAGAGCCACGTCGTCCGTTACTGCTATGCAGGCAAGAGGACAGCACGAGGAAGCTAGAGGATAGCACTCATGAGGACAGCGCAATGAAACTAGAAGAGATGAGAGGCAGCGAGGAATTAGGAAGTGATGGAGGTGGTGAGGCCAGTTGTTCCGGAATCACTGCCCTAGCTTCTTGACGACATCGTTGTCGCCAGTTAGGCGATCGGCGATCGGCGATTGGAGGGTAACATGGAGGCGAACATCATTCATGATCTTGAGAAAAGGCGCACAAAAAATCAACTTCCGTGCTAGACAGCCCATTTCTGTCAACGAAACCAGGCTCCTACACACTTGGACTTGTTACCACCCGAGAAAGGGTGTTGCCCTCACGAAGTTGCGAAATAAACACTTGCGAATTGAGCGATTCTCCGCTCACATGAATTTCTTTCCGCCTCAATTCCTTGCCAAACACCTGTCACTCATGCAATGCAGCAATGGCGGTAATGCGAGTAAGGCGGCGGATGCTGAAGCATGCAATGCAACTCACTGCTCGTTTTGGGAAGTTCGAGCAGTTGCGGAGACCGTCCATCGTGACTGCTGCTTGCGCGTACGGACTACAGAACAGAAGCGCGAAAATGGTTTGCGCAAGTAATGCACACAAGTCATGCGCGCAAGTGATACGCGGCAAGTCATGCGCGCAAGGGATGCGCGCAAGGGATGCGCGCAAGTGATGCGCGCAAGCGATGCGCGCATGTCTTGTGCGCAATTCATGCGCGCAAGTCTTGCGCGCAATTCATGCGCGCAATTCAACTGCACAGCTGGCGCGCGCAACTGATGTCTTTCGCGTTCGCTTGTCGGTTTATTGGCGCAAAGAATTACTTTAAACGACTTACCTTGGAGCGACTGTGAGGTTTAATCGATCTGACGGGAAGTTCTTGGTGGATTTTCTTCTCTGGCCTCGAGTTTTTTAGCTAACATGGCGCAATCTCTATCCACAAACGTGTTATCATCGCCACTCGCGTCGCGAGCGTCGTTGGAATCATCCACTCAGCACCAGAGTGCGCTTTGTAACAATCGTGGCGGCATGGCGTTTTTACGTCAGGTGTACGTCCGCCGGCGGATGACAGGAGGACGCTCGGTGGTGATGACCGCCACGGATCCGAGCCACGTGGCGCGCGGAGAGCGTACCACGAGGGAAAAGCCAGCTCAGCCGTTCGCAGAGAAGGCGGGTGTGATTGAAGGGAAGGCCGTTTTAGCGAAGCCATCGCAGTTGCCACCAGAGCCTCCAAATAGACTCACGGAGCTTTATGTTAAGGTATGTATTCTTGTATTATGAGTGAAAAGAGGTTTCTTGATTTTTTTTCACAAATCTAATGATGTCGCTGCTGCTACCAGGGCCTCCCAACAGACTCACGGAGCTCTTTGATAAGGTAAGCTTTTGCCATGGGTGATGCTATAAGAGATTCTCTTAGGCGCCTCACAAGGTGTTTTTGAGAATTCTCAAAAACACCCTTTTGCCATGGGTGATGCTATAAGAGATTCTCTTAGGCGCCTCACAAAATAGTGCCGCTGCTGCTGCTACCAGAGCCGCCTAATAGACTCACGTAAATGTTTGATAAGGTAAGATTAACTTCTGGGTAGTTGCAGCAACCAGCCTCTATAAAGTTCATGGACTTCTTTGTCACGGTAAGACATTTCCAGAAGTCAGAAGACTGTATAAGAGCTACAACTGTTTCCGTGGTTGGATTAGGGATATGGTTCTCGTTTCCTGCTTAGGAATTTTGTAAATTTACGCGTTTGACATAAAAAAACCTTTGAGGGTATTCTTGGCAGGAGCGGCCGAAAACCAAGATCGGAGTTATTCAGAGTTCGTCTTGAGTCTGCTTTTCAGCACTATTTCCCATATCTCTATATAACACGTACTCCTCTTTGCAGGAGGGACAGTTGTTATGGATTGACAACCTGACGACGTGCGACTGGGTGGGGTTGGTTCATCTCAACTCAACTCAAGGAGCTCGTTTTAGTCACTCTCGTGTTGCATTGTATTGCGAATGATTCATTACAAGCAGGAAGGGCAATCCCCGTGGATTGACAATCTGACGCGCGACTGGGTGTCATCGGGTCATCTCAGAGAACTGGTCCGACGTGGCGTGAGAGGCATCACCAGCAACCCTACTGTATGTCAATCCTCAGGGGAAGAATCCTCTGAATGATCATAAGACTGAGTGTTGGTTTCTTCTGCTTCATTTCTCTCGATCTGGCAATCAGTTCAGACTTCGTGGTCCCAGGCCTGCATGAATGTTTGCGGTCTTTTTCTGTGAAAACGAAATGTGTTTTCGTGTATTCCTATTTCTCTTCAAAATGATATCTCCACTTTGTTACTCGGTGGTTTTTGCAGATTTTCGAGAAGGCGATCAGTGGGACTGATGTGTACGACCAGCAGCTGCGGTAAGCTGCTTTGGGAGAGAGACTGTCTAGGTACTGGGAGTCAACACAAAATACACATTTACATGGTTTTAGAGATGGCCATCAGCGGACAGACCTACAGCAGCTCCTGTAAGCTTCATCGATGATCGCTTAATTGACTTTTTACCGTCAGTGAGGTTTGCTTGTCTGTGTAGGCGGAAATAAACACTTCCAGGTTCTTGTGCTGGGAGGAGGAGCGATGAATAGAGATTGGGACTCATGGGGTGATGTTGCGAAACTGTTATCCAAACCGTGGTTATCAGATATTCGCAGGAAGTGTGGCTTTTCAAGAGACGTGGTGCTGTTTGGGGTTTGCATAGCGGACAGCCCTAGGGAGCCACGAGGGTGCTGTCCTCAGCCTGCCACCTCCTTGTGATTTTTCTGTTGTTATCCCTCTCACTACTGTTCTTCCTACCCACTATCACCACGCAGTTGTGGTCCAATTAACGAGAGAAAAGAAAAGAAGAAGAAAAAATAGTGAAGGAATCTCTGCTGCTCCTACGTTGTAATAATTTTCAACATTGTCCCACCTTTTATCTCCACTTATAAACTTCTTCAGAAACATTTTGTTCCACAAGGGAGTGCTGCTCCTACTTCCTTGTAATCCTTCCCATTATTATCCCACCCGCCGTTGTCTCAATGCTTTTTCAGAATCATTTTGTTCCGTGAGGGGTGCTGCTAGGGGGAGGGATGGCGGAGAGCCGTGGGAAGCTCTAGAGATTGTTGGGGAGTAATATTTCTCATTATTGTCCCACCTGCTATTGTCCGACTTCTTATTGCTGCGCATTTCTTTTTGCAGGAACATTCTGTTCCGCGAGGGGGTGCTGTTAGGGGGAGGGATGGCGGAGAGCCATGGGGAGGTGGAGAGGGGGGTGGTGGAGGGTGCGTATTGGGAGATGGTGAAACAAGATATCGGCACTGCTGCTGCTTCGTTAGAAGAGCTGTTCCATGCTTCTAATGGTAAGTTTGATGGTGCTTATATCGACTACAGGGTAGAGATTTATAGGTTTGCTGTTTCTCTCTTTTCTAGAACAGAAAGACGAACAGTTTTAGTTGGAATTACATGTTGAGTTATCCAAGTTCCAACCATCTATTGTCCAATCGATGCCTGCCACGTCATCAGGTGGCGATGGGTTCGTCTCTCTTGAAGTCTCGCCGAGGCTAGCCTACGACACGTCAGGTTCGGTGACGCTGGCTCGGGAGCTCCACGCCGACCTGGCTCGGCCGAACCTGATGGTCAAGATCCCTGCCACCGAGCCTGGCGTGGCTGCCATCCGTGAAATGATTTCCCGCATGAAGAACATCAATGCCACTGTAAGCACCCGCTCTCTCTGTGCGCGCCCCTCTGCTTTCTTGCCTGCTTTAACCCTGCTTGCCCCGCTCCCCTTGCCACAGAGCCTGGTGTGGCTGCCATTCGAGAGATGATTTCCCGCATGAAGAACATCAACTCTCTGTGTGTCCCCTTTAATTTCCTTGCTGCTTTGATGATTGATCATGCTTGTTCCCCCCAAGCACCCGTACTCTCTCTGTGCGCCGTCTCTGCTCTCCTGCCTGCTTTAACCCTGTTCCCCCCTATTATTCCCCCAACCCCTCCGCTCGTCTTCCCTCTAAAGTGCTACAGCGAGGTTATGGAGGCTTTCGTGGCAGACCTCTTTGTTTCCTCTTTGTTTCCTCTTTGTTTCCTCTTTGTTTCCTCTTTGTTTCCTCTTTGTTTCCTCTTAGTTTCCTCTTTGTTTCCTCTCTGTTTCCTCTTTGTTTCCTCTTTGTTTCCTCTTTGTTTCCTCTTTGTTTCCTCTTTGTTTCCTCTTTGTTTCGTCTTTGTTTCCTTGCCCCCTGCAACACATATTCCCCACTCCCCCTCCTCTCCCCAAATCCCTGTTCCCTCCTCCTTCCCCTCCCCTCCCTCCCTCCCCACTCCTCCCCCAATCCCACCCCCAAACCCCTTGCCCCCACCCCCCTGCTCAGCTCATCTTCTGGCTGACGCGCTACAGTGAGGTCATGGAGGCTAACGTGGCAGACCTGGAAGGTCATATTTCCCCACCTAACCCCTGTGTCACCCCCTCCTTTCCCCCTTCTTCCCCTTTTCCCCCCTGGGCGCCCCACTAACCGCTCAGCTCATCTTCTCTCTGACGCGCTACAGTGAGGTCATGGAGGCTTACGTGGCAGGCCTGGAGGACGCCGTGGCAGCTGCCAACGCGGCATCTGAGCTGTCAGCAGCCGCGTCTGACTCAGCAGCAGGCGCCCTGCCACGTGTCAACCTCTCCTCAGTCTCCTCTGTGGCTTCGTTCTTCGTCTCTCGGGTGGACAGCGCTGTTGACAAGCGTCTCAAGGTGTGTGTGGCTTATGTAACAGATCGAACGCGTTGAACTTGTCTCAAGGTGCGTGTGTGCTGCACGCCTCTCCTCAGTCTCCTCTGTGGCTTCGTTCTTCGTCTCTCGGGTGGACAGCGCTGTTGACAAGCGTCTCAAGGTGTGTGTGGCTTATGTGACAGATTGAAAGCGTTGAACTTGTCTCAAGGTGCGTGTGTGCTGCACGCCTCTCCTCAGTCTCCTCTGTGGCTTCGTTCTTCGTCTCTCGGGTGGACAGCGCTGTTGACAAGCGTCTCAAGGTGTGTGTGGCTTATGTGACAGATCGAACGCGCTGAACTTGTCTCAAGGTGTGTGTGTGCTGCACGCCTCTCCTCAGTCTCCTCTGTGGCTTCGTTCTTCGTCTCTCGGGTGGACAGCGCTGTTGACAAGCGTCTCAAGGTGTGTGTGGCTTATGTGACAGATCGAACGCGTTGAACTTGTCTCAAGGTGCGTGTGTGCTGCACGCCTCTCCTCAGTCTCCTCTGTGGCTTCGTTCTTCGTCTCTCGGGTGGACAGCGCTGTTGACAAGCGTCTCAAGGTGTGTGTGGCTTATGTGACAGATCGAACGCGTTGAACTTGTCTCAAGGTGCGTGTGTGCTGCACGCCTCTCCTCAGTCTCCTCTGTGGCTTCGTTCTTCGTCTCTCGGGTGGACAGCGCTGTTGACAAGCGTCTCAAGGTGTGTGTGGCTTATGTGGCAGATCGAACGCGCTGAACTTGTCTCAAGGTGCGTGTGTGCTGCACGCCTCTCCTCAGTCTCCTCTGTGGCTTCGTTCTTCGTCTCTCGGGTGGACAGCGCTGTTGACAAGCGTCTCAAGGTGTGTGTGGCTTATGTGACAGATTGAACGCGCTGAACTTGTCTCAAGGTGCGTGTGTGCTGCACGCCTCTCCTCAGTCTCCTCTGTGGCTTCGTTCTTCGTCTCTCGGGTGGACAGCGCTGTTGACAAGCGTCTCAAGGTGTGTGTGGCTTATGTGACAGATCGAACGCGCTGAACTTGTCTCAAGGTGCGTGTGTGCTGCACGCCTCTCCTCAGTCTCCTCTGTGGCTTCGTTCTTCGTCTCTCGGGTGGACAGCGCTGTTGACAAGCGTCTCAAGGTGTGTGTGGCTTATGTGACACATTGAACGCGTTGAACTTGTCTCAAGGTGCGTGTGTGCTGCACGCCTCTCCTCAGTCTCCTCTGTGGCTTCGTTCTTCGTCTCTCGGGTGGACAGCGCTGTTGACAAGCGTCTCAAGGGGCGTGTGGCTTATGTGACAGATCGAACGCGCTGAACTTGTCTCAAGGTGCGTGTGTGCTGCACGCCTCTCCTCAGTCTCCTCTGTGGCTTCGTTCTTCGTCTCTCGGGTGGACAGCGCTGTTGACAAGCGTCTCAAGGTGTGTGTGGCTTATGTGGCAGATCGAACGCGCTGAACTTGTCTCAAGGTGCGTGTGTGCTGCACGCCTCTCCTCAGTCTCCTCTGTGGCTTCGTTCTTCGTCTCTCGGGTGGACAGTGCTGTTGACAAGCGTCTCAAGGTGTGTGTGGCTTATGTGACAGATTGAACGCGTTGAACTTGTCTCAAGGTGCGTGTGTGCTGCACGCCTCTCCTCAGTCTCCTCTGTGGCTTCGTTCTTCGTCTCTCGGGTGGACAGCGCTGTTGACAAGCGTCTCAAGGGGCGTGTGGCTTATGTGACAGATCGAACGCGCTGAACTTGTCTCAAGGTGCGTGTGTGCTGCACGCCTCTCCTCAGTCTCCTCTGTGGCTTCGTTCTTCGTCTCTCGGGTGGACAGCGCTGTTGACAAGCGTCTCAAGGTGTGTGTGGCTTATGTGGCAGATCGAACGCACTGAACTTGTCTCAAGGTGGGTGTGTGCTGCACGCCTCTCCTCAGTCTCCTCTGTGGCTTCGTTCTTCGTCTCTCGGGTGGACAGCGCTGTTGACAAGCGTCTCAAGGTGTGTGTGGCTTATGTGACAGATCGAACGCGCTGAACTTGTCTCAAGGTGCGTGTGTGCTGCACGCCTCTCCTCAGTCTCCTCTGTGGCTTCGTTCTTCGTCTCTCGGGTGGACAGCGCTGTTGACAAGCGTCTCAAGGTGTGTGTGGCTTATGTGACAGATTGAACGCGTTGAACTTGTCTCAAGGTGCGTGTGTGCTGCACGCCTCTCCTCAGTCTCCTCTGTGGCTTCGTTCTTCGTCTCTCGGGTGGACAGCGCTGTTGACAAGCGTCTCAAGGTGTGTGTGGCTTATGTGACAGATCGAACGCGCTGAACTTGTCTCAAGGTGCGTGTGTGCTGCACGCCTCTCCTTAGTCTCCTCTGTGGCTTCGTTCTTCGTCTCTCGGGTGGACAGCGCTGTTGACAAGCGTCTCAAGGTGTGTGTGGTTTATGTGACAGACTGAACGCGTTGAACTTGTCTCAAGGTGCGTGTGTGCTGCACGCCTCTCCTCAGTCTCCTCTGTGGCTTCGTTCTTCGTCTCTCGGGTGGACAGCGCTGTTGACAAGCGTCTCAAGGTGTGTGTGGCTTATGTGACAGATCGAACGCGCTGAACTTGTCTCAAGGTGCGTGTGTGCTGCAAGCCTCTCCTCAGTCTCCTCTGTGGCTTCGTTCTTCGTCTCTCGGGTGGACAGCGCTGTTGACAAGCGTCTCAAGGTGTGTGTGGCTTATGTGACAGATCGAACGCGCTGAACTTGTCTCAAGGTGCGTGTGTGCTGCACGCCTCTCCTCAGTCTCCTCTGTGGCTTCGTTCTTCGTCTCTCGGGTGGACAGCGCTGTTGACAAGCGTCTCAAGGGGCGTGTGGCTTATGTGACAGATCGAACGCGCTGAACTTGTCTCAAGGTGCGTGTGTGCTGCACGCCTCTCCTCAGTCTCCTCTGTGGCTTCGTTCTTCGTCTCTCGGGTGGACAGCGCTGTTGACAAGCGTCTCAAGGTGTGTGTGGCTTATGTGGCAGATCGAACGCGCTGAACTTGTCTCAAGGTGCGTGTGTGCTGCACGCCTCTCCTCAGTCTCCTCTGTGGCTTCGTTCTTCGTCTCTCGGGTGGACAGCGCTGTTGACAAGCGTCTCAAGGTGTGTGTGGCTTATGTGACAGATCGAACGCGCTGAACTTGTCTCAAGGTGCGTGTGTGCTGCACGCCTCTCCTCAGTCTCCTCTGTGGCTTCGTTCTTCGTCTCTCGGGTGGACAGCGCTGTTGACAAGCGTCTCAAGGTGTGTGTGGCTTATGTGACAGATTGAACGCGTTGAACTTGTCTCAAGGTGCGTGTGTGCTGCACGCCTCTCCTCAGTCTCCTCTGTGGCTTCGTTCTTCGTCTCTCGGGTGGACAGCGCTGTTGACAAGCGTCTCAAGGTGTGTGTGGCTTATGTGACAGATTGAACGCGTTGAACTTGTCTCAAGGTGCGTGTGTGCTGCACGCCTCTCCTCAGTCTCCTCTGTGGCTTCGTTCTTCGTCTCTCGGGTGGACAGCGCTGTTGACAAGCGTCTCAAGGTGTGTGTGGCTTATGTGACAGATCGAACGCGCTGAACTTGTCTCAAGGTGCGTGTGTGCTGCACGCCTCTCCTCAGTCTCCTCTGTGGCTTCGTTCTTCGTCTCTCGGGTGGACAGCGCTGTTGACAAGCGTCTCAAGGTGTGTGTGGCTTATGTGACAGATTGAACGCGTTGAACTTGTCTCAAGGTGCGTGTGTGCTGCACGCCTCTCCTCAGTCTCGTCTGTGGCTTCGTTCTTCGTCTCTCGGGTGGACAGCGCTGTTGACAAGCGTCTCAAGGTGTGTGTGGCTTATGTGACAGATCGAACGCGCTGAACTTGTCTCAAGGTGCGTGTGTGCTGCACGCCTCTCCTCAGTCTCCTCTGTGGCTTCGTTCTTCGTCTCTCGGGTGGACAGCGCTGTTGACAAGCGTCTCAAGGTGTGTGTGGCTTATGTGACAGATTGAACGCGCTGAACTTGTCTCAAGGTGCGTGTGTGCTGCACGCCTCTCCTCAGTCTCCTCTGTGGCTTCGTTCTTCGTCTCTCGGGTGGACAGCGCTGTTGACAAGCGTCTCAAGGTGTGTGTGGCTTATGTGGCAGATCGAACGCGCTGAACTTGTCTCAAGGTGCGTGTGTGCTGCACGCCTCTCCTCAGTCTCCTCTGTGGCTTCGTTCTTCGTCTCTCGGGTGGACAGCGCTGTTGACAAGCGTCTCAAGGTGTGTGTGGCTTATGTGGCAGATCGAACGCGCTGAACTTGTCTCAAGGTGCGTGTGTGCTGCACGCCTCTCCTCAGTCTCCTCTGTGGCTTCGTTCTTCGTCTCTCGGGTGGACAGCGCTGTTGACAAGCGTCTCAAGGTGTGTGTGGTTTATGTGACAGATTGAACGCGTTGAACTTGTCTCAAGGTGCGTGTGTGCTGCACGCCTCTCCTCAGTCTCCTCTGTGGCTTCGTTCTTCGTCTCTCGGGTGGACAGCGCTGTTGACAAGCGTCTCAAGGTGTGTGTGGCTTATGTGACACATTGAACGCGTTGAACTTGTCTCAAGGTGCGTGTGTGCTGCACGCCTCTCCTCAGTCTCCTCTGTGGCTTCGTTCTTCGTCTCTCGGGTGGACAGCGCTGTTGACAAGCATCTCAAGGTGTGTGTGGCTTATGTGACAGATTGAACGCGTTGAACTTGTCTCAAGGTGCGTGTGTGCTGCACGCCTCTCCTCATTCTCCTCTGTGGCTTCGTTCTTCGTCTCTCGGGTGGACAGCGCTGTTGACAAGCGTCTCAAGGTGTGTGTGGCTTATGTGACAGATCGAACGCGCTGAACTTGTCTCAAGGTGCGTGTGTGCTGCACGCCTCTCCTCAGTCTCTGTGGCTTCGTTCTTCGTCTCTCGGGTGGACAGCGCTGTTGACAAGCGTCTCAAGGTGTGTGTGGCTTATGTGACAGATCGAACGCGTTGAACTTGTCTCAAGGTGCGTGTGTGGTGCACGCCTCTCCTCAGTCTCCTCTGTGGCTTCGTTCTTCGTCTCTCGGGTGGACAGCGCTGTTGACAAGCGTCTCAAGGTGTGTGCGTGTGTCAGCGGAATTTAAAGTCACACAGGTGTTATTAAAGTCACACGCACACACCTCAAGGGCTGAAGTTGTGGCGAAGTTAGTTCAATTGGAGGCATGCGAACAACATAGAAACCTCTCCTTGGTTGCCTCTGTGGCTTCGTTCTTCGTCTCTCGGGTGGACCGTAGACAAACGTCTCAAGGTGTGCGTGTGGGTTACGAATGGAACAAACGGCCACAGGGTTACGATTGTTGTGTGGTCAAGGTATGTGTGTGGTGGGGTCCACACCTCTGCGGCCTCTCGAAGTGAGGGTGTTTTTGAGACGTCTCAATATTCTCAAGGTGTGCATGTGGGTTACGAATGGAACCAACGGCCGAGATTCTTGTGTGGTCAAGGTATGTGTGTGGTGGGGTCCACACCTCTGCGGCCTCTCCTCACTCTCCTCCGTGGCTTCGTTCTTCGTCTCCCGTGTCGACAGCGCCGTTGACAAGCGTCTCAAGGTGTGTGTGGGTGGGGAAACGAGCAATCTCCAGACGTGTGTGTCGCTTATGGGTACAACAAATGGTCTGAAATTGTTTGTGCTGTGGTTCAGGGAATGCGTGTGCTACACGCCTCTCCTCAGTCTCCTTCCGTGGCCTCGTTCGTTGTCTCTCGGGTTGACAGCGCTGTGCGTAAGCGTCTCAGAGTGTGCGTAAGCGTCTCAGAGTGTGCGTAAGCGTCTCAGAGTGTGCATAAGCGTCTCAGAGTGTGCATAAGCGTCTCAGAGTGTGCATAAGCGTCTCAAAGTGTGCTTGTCTAGGGAAAGAACGGCGTGCATGTGTGGTGCATGCCTTTCCTTTGTTGCCTCATGGCTTCATTCGTTCTTCTTCTGAGGCTCCTCAAAACTCCTCTCCGCTGTTGCCTCTGCGGCATGGTTTGTTCTTCCTCGTTTCTCGATTCGCTGCGTCTGCGTAAGGGACTCTGCAGGCCATCAGAACAGAGGAGGCGCGGGCTCTGCTGGGCAAGGCAACAGTGGCACAAGCGGTGGTGGCACATCTGAAGCGCCTCTAGAAGCTGATAGCTGTGCCTTACAATGTGCAGGCCATCGGGGCGGAGGAAGCATTGGCTCTGCTGGGCAAGGCAACAGTGGCACAGGCATTGGTGGCGTGTGACATGTTTCATGTGCCTGAGTGATGTGTTGATTGCTGGGTGGTCTCGCATACCTGTTCCCTCTGCTCCGCAGGCCATCGGAACAGAGCAGCTGCTGGGCAAGGCAGCAGTGACACAGGCGGCGGTGGCATATCTGAGGCACTCTAAAAGCTGATTGCTGTGCCTTATCATGTGCAGGCAATCGGGACGGAGGAGGCTCGCGCTCTTCTGGGCAAGGCAGCAGTTGCACAAGCCGTGGTGGCATATGACATGTTCAAGACCAAGTTCAGCGGTCCCAGGTGGGTGCAGCAGTCAAGTGTTGAGACGTCTCAAAACAAGCAGCAGTGGCACAGGCCGTGGTGGCATATGACATGTTCAAGACCAAGTTCAGCGGTCCCAGGTGGGTTCAGCAGTTTCAGGTATGTTTCAGGTGGGTTCAGCAGTTTCAGGTAAGTTTCAGGTGGGTTCAGCAGTCCTTAGTGCAGTGACCACGACGGGCATTGAAAGGAGTGTAAGATTCACGATGTTGGCAAAGAACATTGCTTTAATTTTTGCCTATCAATATTTATCAAAAGAGTGATGCCCTGCTCAGGTGGAAGGTGCTAGAGCAGTTCGGGGCGTGGGTATAGCGCCCATTGTGGGTGTCGATAGGAGGGACCAATCCATCGTATCTGGACACCAGAAAGAAAAGGAAGAAGCTTGAATTCCTGAATTTTATTGCTTATCTACTGATTGAACCCTCTTCAGGTGGAAGGCTTTAGAGCAGCTGGGAGCGCGGGTGCAGCGACCATTGTGGGCGTCAACAGGAGTGAAAGATCCGTCGTATCCGGACACGAAGTACATCGACGCTCTGATTGGTCCACACTCGGTCAACACCATGCCTGACGCCACCCTGCTCGCCTTTGCGGACCATGGGGAGGTGAGAAGTTCTGTGACTTTATTGCAGTTTATCTATTCCCTCATTTTGTTGGTTACAATGATTTTGTTGAAGAACTGATCTTTGTGCGCTTTTGTGCATACTGTTATCTGTTCTGTTTTCTGTCTCATAATTTTGACAGTGCTGCTTGCTAAGAAGCAGACACATAAGGTTTTTGAGGGACGTATGCTGCTCCACAAAGTACAATACATTGATTACCACATGTTATCTCTGCCGGGTGTGTGCAGGTGAAGCGCACTGTAGATGCTGACGTGGATGCTGCCTATGGTGTGCTGGATCGTCTCAAGGCTGTTGGAGTGGACATGGAGGAAGTTGCCAAGGTGAGATGACCTTCTGCAGCTGCTAAACGCGCGTCCACATGCATGGCTACATGCATGGCTACATGCATGCATGAGTGGCACGCCTACGTGCATGGTGTGCTGGATCATCTCAAGGCTGTGGGAGTGAACATGGAGGAAGTTGCCCAGGTGAGATGAATTTGAAGGACTGCTGAACGCACCCTCACGTGCATAGCTGTACGGCTTTTGAGTCGACTCGTAGGTCTTCTCAAGGCCGTAGGAGTGGACATGGAGGAAGTTGCCAAGGTGAGATGACCTTATGCAGCTGCTAATGCGTTCGCACGTGCCTTGATGATGCCTTGTCAATATGTGCGTGGGTACATAGGTGGCACATGCATGCATGGGTGCATGGGTATGCATGCATGGGTGCATGGGTATGCATGCATTGTGTGCATGGGTATGCATGCATTTTGTGCATGGGTATGCATGCATTGTGTGCATGGCGAAGTTAGGAAGAAAGTAAGAATTTGCTGCTTGTTTTTTTTTCTTTAGCCCAAGATGAGTCAAGTTTTTTGCGGATTTGTTCTCTTTTTCGCCCGATGGTCATGATTTTGGCAGGAGCTGGAGGCTGATGGCGTTGACAAGTTTGCAAAATCGTTTGATGACCTGCTTGCTGCGCTTCAGCGCAAGGCCACCATGATACGTGGTGCAAGTATCAACTAGGTGGAAGCACATGCTTGCATCGTGTTAGGTTTGCTTGCAGTTACAGGTACGGTATTTGCACTAGACCTCCGCGTTCTACATGTGCTTGCGCATATACTACGGGATTTTTTTATCCCACGACGTTCATTTACATGCCAAAAATAGTATCAAATGGGAATGGATATATACCAATGTTAGCAGCACATGACAAGTTGCAACTGCATCAAATAATAATTTCAAATTCACCCATCTATGCATGCAGAAGGTGTGGCCTAATACTTGTTCATCCCAAAAACTAGACCCCTGAAGTATCAAAATGTGCGCGTCCTCGAGGTAAATAAATCGATATCCGCGGCCGCGCGGCGCGAGGTGATAGGCAAGGCGCGTTGCCGTAATAAATGAGAGCGCGAATTCACTAAAGGGCGCAAAATTATCTCTTCCTGGGAGAATACTCGCCCCATGAAGCTGGTCAGGAAGGCGCACTCCGTAGCGAAGACACCCACGAAGTTGCGAGAAGCGAGTGAAGCTGGTATCGAAGGTCGCGAGAGGCTTTCGCAAGTTTTCGCCGAGGCGAAACTTGCGACCACCCTGCTGGAACCTCTTGGTGGTCGCAAGTTTCGCAGGTCAGAAAATCGACTAGAGATACACTGCGGTAATGGCGGTAATGGCGGCACATGCTCCAGCAGCACGCGACGCAATGCGATGCATCTCACTGGTCGATTCGTGGCGTGCGAGAAATTTCGCGAAAATGGCGCGCGGAGCCAAACGGCAGAACGCGCGCGGAAGCGGAGCGGCCAGCCGAAGCGCGGAAACGGCGCGCGGAACTGACTCCTTCCGAGCAATTTTTATTGGCTCTTACTACTACTTATATATTGACAGTCGCCGTCGTAGTCATAGCTCATCTAGACGTCATCGTAAAGCAATTTGTATCTCTTCAACAAGGGATTCCTGTGCTGATTTTCCAACAAATATTCCTATTCTCAAATCTCCGTGCCGCATCGAGCTTTCTTTCCACCATGGCGCAATCCCTTTTGGCGAAAGTGTTACCATCACCACTCCCGTCGCGAGCGTCGCTAAGATTCTCCACTCTGCACCAAAGCCGTGCCAAGCGTGGCGTCATGGCGTGTCCACCTCAGCTCCACGTCAGCAGGCGGATGACAGGTGGACGTTCGGTGGTGATGACTGCCACGGATCCGAGCCACGTGGCGCGCGGAGGGGAGGGTGTGATTGAAGGGAAGGCCGTTCTAGCGAAGCCATCGCTGCTGCCACCGGAGGCTCCTAACAAGCTTACAGAGCTCTATGATAAGGTATGAATTCATGTCTTATGAGTGATAAGAGCCTTTCTGTTCTGAGGTCACACAAATGTAATGGCATCGCTGCTGCCACTGGAGCCTCCTAACAAGCTTACGGATCTCTTTGGAAAGGTAAGAGCTTATTGTGGGTGATACTATAAGAGGATTTCATAGGCGCCTCGACTCGTAACCGTCAGTGCGAGCACCACACACATCTCCTAATCCACCCACAGATCTTTCTCCCGTCCTTTCTTGAAGTGGCCGAAACATGAGTCGTAAGGAATTTATGTATCCAAACATTAAGAAAGATTGCGTTCACGCTTCAACGCTAAGGACTTACGCTGGAGGAGCAGTCCTTGTGTATAGAAAATCTTAGCGGCCTCGTCTTGGTCACCCTCTTGTTCTCACGCACACCTTATATCGAGGATATTTCACCGCAAGCAGGAGGGGCAAATCCCCCTGAAAAGTCCCGTTTTAGCGACCCTCATGTTCACGCACACCTTGTATCGAGTATGTTTTTACTACATGGATTGACAACCTGACGCGTGATTGGGTATCATCGGGTCATCTGAGGGTGGTCCTGGTCACCCTCCTGTTCTCACGTTCGCCTTATATCGAGTATACTTTTCCGACATGCAGGAGGGGCAGTCCCCGTGGATTGACAACCTGACGCGCGATTGGGTGACATCGGGTCATCTCAAAGAGCTGATTCGACGTGGCGTGAGAGGCATCACCAGCAACCCTACGGTAAGTGTTTTCTTCGTGTCACACCACGGCTCAAGATGGCTCAAATGTTCATGGCACCGTTGGTGCTGTTCCCACCCACCAAGCATATGTATTGTCCTGCACCCCCCTAATTTCTGATGTCATTGTGAAATGATTCTTCATTCATTGTTTCACGCAAACTGGCCATCGTTCTCTCTCTCCTTTTGGGAGGCGTTGTGTTGTGTTGTTTTTTTTCTTTTCACATCAGATCTTTGAAAAGTCGATTAGTGGGACGGATGTGTATGTATGATCAGCAGCTTCGGTAAGCCACCATTAAATTATTGTTTTTCTTTTAATGAGATTTCCATGAACTTGCCATCAGCAGCTTTGGTAAGCCACCGTTAAAGATTGTTGTGCTTTTGATCCATTAACTTTTTATCCGCACCATGAAAAAACCTATACGGTTTTAATGAACTTTCCATTAAACTGGGGGGGGGGGGGGGGGGGTAAGGAGGGATGGTGAGACCACTGCAGAGCTCTGGAAAATCCTGGGAGTGATGTTTCTCATTATTATCCCATCTGCTATTGTCTCACCCGCTATTACAACATTTATTTTCCTTTTCAGGGGCATTTTGATCCGTGAGGGCGTGCCACTGGGTTGAGGGATGGTGGAGAGCCATGGGGAATCCTGGGGGTGAAAATTCTTATTAAGATCCCACCCGCTATTGTCCCACCCGCTATTGTCCCACCCGCTATTGTCCCACCCGCTATTACCACGTCTATTATTTCAGGGACATATTGATCCGTGAGGGCGTGCTACAGGAGGGAGGGATGGCGCAGAGCCATGGGGAGGTGGAGAGGGGGGTGGTGGAGGGAGCGTATTGGGAGATGGTGAAGCAAGATATCGCCACTGCTGCTGCCTCGTTAGAAGAGCTGTTCCATAAATCTAACGGTGAGTCTGAGAGTGCTTATAGGGAGTATAGGGAGGCAGAGAGCCATGGGGAGGTGGAGAGGGGGGTGGTGGAGGAGAATGCTTATAGGGAGATGGCGAGGCAAGATAACACCACTGCTGCTGCTTCGTTAGGAGAGCTAGTCAGTTTGGGAGTGTTTGAAGCTTGCAAAATCATTAGCTGTAACCTTATTGGAATATTTTCTTGTTCTAAGTACCATCTCTCATCCAGCCAGTCAATGCCTGCCACGTCATCAGGTGGCGATGGGTTCGTCTCCCTTGAAGTCTCGCCGAAGCTAGCCTATGATGCGCCAGGTACGGTGTCGCTGGCTCGGGAGCTTCACGCCGACCTGGCTCGGCCGAACCTGATGGTCAAGATCCCTGCCACCGAGCCTGGCGTGGCTGCGATTCAAGAGATGATTTCCCGCATGAAGAACATCAATTAGACTGTAAGCAACTTTGGGGCGTATTGAAAGGTCCCAGTTCAGACACGGTTAGGCACAGTAAGGTCACTAATGTACAGGACAGATGGATAATTCTGTTGCAGATTACTGAGGATCAGCCACAGTTAGGCCACTTTTGTACTGCTGAGTGGGCGCATGGATAATTCTGTTGCAGGTTGCTTAGAATCAGCGTTCTCCCCTTTTCGTTCTTCTTTCCCCCCTCCCGCTCGCCCCCCCTCACTTCCCCTCCCCCACGTGCCCCCTCTGGTGTCCCCTCCCCCCCCCTATATAGCTCATCTTCTCTCTGACGCGCTACGGCGAGGTGATGGAGGCTTACGTGGCAGGCCTGGAGGACGCCGTGGCAGCTGCCAACGTGGCAGCAGACGCCCTGCCACGTGTCAACCTCTCCTTTGTTGCCTCGGTGGCTTCGTTCTTCATCTCTCGTGTCGACAGCGCCGTTGACAAGCGTCTCAAGGTGTGTGTGGGTGAGGGGGTGCGTCTGTTGGTGAGGAGGTGCGTCTGTGGGTGAGGAGGCATGCGAGTGGGTGAGAGACAGAGCGCGCTCAAGGTGTGTGTGGGTGAGAGGACGAGAGCAGGCTGTGGCGGCATCTGACGTGTTTTATGTTTCAGGTGTGTTGATTGACGATTAATATCATGTGTGTGTGTGTGTGTGTGTGTGTGTGTGTGTGTGTGTGTGTGTGTGCGTGTGCGTGCGGGTGCGTGTGCGTGTGTGTGTGTGTGTGTGTGTGTGTGTGCGTGTGTGTGTGTGTGTGTTCTGCCCTGCAGGCCATCGGAACAGAGGAAGCATTGGCTCTGTTGGGAAAGGCAGCACTGGCACAGACAGTGGTGGCATATGACATGTTCAAGACCAAGTTCAGCGGTCCCAGGTGGGCTCAGCAGCTTCCGTTGTGTAGTCCAAGGTGGTTTCAGGAGGAGTGACAGATTCATCGTTTTTAGACACAAAGCACCTGGTCCGTTCCTTGCCAATTAGTTTCATCGTTTCTCTCTTTCTTCTTTTTTTGTTTTTGTTTTTTTTTAACCAATTGGACTGCTCACAGGTGGGAGGCTCTGGAGCAGCTGGGAGCACGGGTGCAGCGACCATTGTGGGCGTCAACAGGAGTGAAAGATCCGTCGTATCCGGACACAATTTACATCGATGCTCTGATTGGTCCACACTCGGTCAACACCATCCCTGACGCCACCCTTCTTGCCTTTGCCGACCATGGGGAGGTGAGAAGTCTGCGATTCTCTTTCTGTTTTTTTTGGGTTGCGAAGCAACCTATTACGATCGATCTGGCCAGTTTTTTTTTTTTTTTTTCACATTTTCACATTTTATTTATTTTAAATAAAATATGAAAATAAAAAAATAAAAAAACTGGATGCATTAATTGCTAGTTATGTAACATGCAGGAGGTCTTGTCTAGTTGAATTAGACCAACGTGGAGGTAGTGATTTTTTGGACAACTAGGTTGTTTATGTGATTCACTTTGTTGTGCTTTACTACCATATAATATGCATATGAAAAAATGAATGTAATGATCGGTGAATGTAGATGAATAGAATGTTATTATATAAAATGCGATATATTGTGTGGTATATGATATGATAAATGATAAATGCATATGAATAATGATTACTTACTGACAATCCATGATGCATATATATAGTGATAAAACATGCGTGAAAGCTAACGATCCAAAAACTATGCTACCGCATCCTCCGCCTAGCATGTCGAGGAGCTGATAGCATAATCTTTGAACAATCAGCAGTCACATGAAACAACGCAATCTGTGAACTCCAAAAAGATGGTCAACCCTATCATCTCCAGTTCAAGTGGGCTCCCGACAGGCGCGCCAATGAACCTTCGGGTAAAAATGATAGAACCGACTCACCTTTTTAAACCCCACAGACATGCATTGTTGATGCAATGTATATGGACATGGATGCACATTCACACATACAAACATGCAAACACAACCACACACGTACGCACACAAACGTCAAAGCTCAAACGAAACAAACAGAAAACATGCAAGGAAATTTACCAAAACAATACAAGTATCCTACAGATCATCAACCACTGTTTATCGTTTCATATTCCACATTAAAATTGACTTCTTGAAGGATACAGCAAAGCTTCTGAGGAGAAAACAGGGAGAGAAATGAGAAATAGAATGGGCAAAATGAGATATAGACTACGAAATAATCAATGAAAACAATCAGGAAATTGAAGATAACGAAAAAAGAAACACGTAACAACCAGCAAATACACGCTTGAACATCAGTACATAAAGTTGGAATCAAGAACATACGACTTATAAACCAGATACTAATCTACTGCTACCTATAGCGAGGGAGAGAGAGAGGGGGGGAACGAGAGAGAGAGGGAGCGTGCGACAGGGAACGAGAGAGAGGGTACGAGAGAGAGGGAACGAGACAGAGGGAACGAGAGAGGGAACGAGAGAGAGAGAGAATGAAAGAGAGAGAACGAGAGAGAGATGACGTGAGAGAGAACGAGAGAGAGTGAGAACAAGAGGGAGAGAGAGAGAACGAGTGAGCGAGAACGAGAGAGCGAGAACTAGAGAGAGAGAACGAAAGAGAGAGAACGAGAGAGAGAGAGAACGGGAGAGAGAGAAAGAGAGAGAGAGAAAGAGAGAGAGAACGAGAGAGAGAACGAGAGAGAGAGAGAGAACGAGAGAGAGAGAGAACGGGAGAGAGAGAACGAGAGAGGGAGAGTGAACGAACGAGAGAAGAAAGTAGTGTTGAAGTAAAACTTGAGTAAGAAGATACAAATTGAGGCGGACAAAGGAAAGAGGTGAGCGGACAAGGCGGAGGGGGACGAGCGAGAAAGTTGGACAAGGAGAGAGACGCCATACGAGAAAGAAAAGCAATGAGATTATGAAAGATAACGAATAAACCGACAGAAAGATTAGGCCTAAAGCGATTTCGTGTCAAATAGGAGGATATGACGATTCTAGATCTAGGAATAACAAAAAGTGAAAATATGCATACGACGTAGAGACGAAAGGCAGAAACGATGAAGAACAATAGAAATAGATGCTAGATATGCAGTAAGAGACGAAGAATAGGGCCTTAGAAAGGCAAGGAAAAACGGTGAAGTCTATACAAAGGGCCTCTACCCTTAGCTTAAACAACCCGCATCCCTTCTAAACAGTTAAGACACGAGATTAGGAGATGTTAGTCGATGAAGAACCGAAAAACAGATGCAGGCTTATGGAAAACCTGAAGCTAAAATCTTTGCAGCAAGTTTACAACCTAAGCTTTAACGATTTTCATCCTTTAAAAGCTACCAATACGACCTAGACTAATATGCCTTAGGCCAACATTAGACTAGCTCGTAATCGCCTAACTTAATCTACTTGATGGGTTTAAGTAGTTCTCACCTTAGTAGGAACTCGAACTGGTAGGTAGAGCCAAACTTGAGGGAAGCTCAACTAGCGAGGGAGAAGAAAAGGAATGAACAAATCCTATTTTGCAATTTGATTTAAGAAGACAGTATTGTAAGCGCAATCGGTTGAAAATCTAAGTTTAATTTAAAAGATTTGAGTTCGATGCCTGCAGATGTCATTTTTCAAAACCTGACAAGATCAAGCACACTAACTGTTATACTACAGTATTCTGTACAGCATATTGGGTGTTCACAATTGCGTAAACGCTTCGCAACCCTAAGACGATTTCGTCGCCTCTTGTTTTTTTTTTTTTTTTTTTTTTTTTTTCCGACACGTCGTTTACAGTGAACCGCACATGTTTTCTGCATCCTGTTCCCTGTTCTGGTTTCACTCCCATCTTTTTTTAGGAGTCTGTTTGCTTAAGAAGCGGATACAGAAGAGTGAGGATATTTGATGCTGCACAGGGTATGATACATTGATTTATGTGTTAATCTTTACGCGATTTGTGCAGGTGAAACGCACTGTAGATGCTGACGTGGATGCTGCCTATGCTGTGCTGGATCGTCTCAAGGCTGTTGGAGTGGACATGGAGGAAGTTGCCCAGGTGAGATACATTCCTACAATCGCTAAACGCACTGCTGAACACACCCTCACACGCATGGGTGCATGGGTGTACGGCTTTTGAGTCGACTTGAAAGTTGTGTCAAGGCTGTTGGGGTGGCATAGAAGGAAGTTGCCAAGGTGAGGCTATTTTCACAACTTCTAACGCGTTGTCAAATGTTTATATATTCTATATATTGTTAGATAGGCTACTGTGAGTTGCCCTCTAAAGGGTACAACACTTTAGGTCGACATTTGCATCTCCTTGTCCCTCCTTACTAAAACATTACTCTCGACACTTGTCTCCTAGCCTATCTTAAGATGGTATTAGAGTAGGTTTTTTACTCCCTCCCACGCTTCCGCTCCCTCCCTTAGCCGGTCCCGAGGCGCCCGTCCCTTAGGCCCCGTTTCGTCGCGGGTAGGACGGCCCCCGCGGGCCTCGTTTTCGTCGCGTTTAAGGGCCCCCGCGGGCCTCGTTTTCGTCGCGTTTAAGGGCCCCCGCGGGCCTCGTTTTTCGTCGCGTTTACAGGGCCCCACTGGCCCCTCGTTTCGTCGCGCTCCAGAAGGGACTCTCCCCCCCCCCCCCCCCCGCGGGCCCGCGTAGTCGTTCTTAGCCCGCAGCAGCGCGCGCGTTAGCCAGCGGCAGCCGCGCACGCCACTGCAGCACGCGCATTGCAGCAGCAGCGCGTGCTTTGCTGCAGCAGCACGGCTAGGCAGCAGCGCGTGCATTGCAGCAGCAGCACGGCTAGGCAGCAGCGCGTGCATTGCAGCAGCAGCACGGCTAGGCAGCAACGTGTCCATTGCAGCAGCAGCACGGCTAGGCAGCAGCGCGTGCTCCTGCAGCAGCAGCACGGCTAGGCAGAAGCTAGCCGCCAGCAGCAGCTAGCCACCGGAACCTAGCCGCCAGCAGCTGGCGCCAGCTAGCCCCTCCCACCCGCCCACAGCCCCTTTCAACCGCTCACAGCCCCTTCCAACCGCTCACAGCCCCTTCCAACCGCTCACAGCCCGTTCCAACCGCTCACAGCCCCTTCCAACCGCTCACAGCCCCTTCCAACCGCTCAGAGCCCCTTCCAAACGCCCACATCCCCTTATCACGCGCGCACACCACCCAGGACCACCCGACCTCCGTTGGTTCGACACTCGCGTCACTCATACTCACAGTGTTTCGCACCGTCGCGGCTGGAGGCCGCTCCGCTTAGCTGTTTAGGCTAGTCCTGACGTTCGTTGTTAGCTAGGTCTCTCCTCGCTCCGCCAGCCCCTCGAACGACCCTCTGGCTCCTCGATCGGCTCGTCAGCCCTGCCTCCTCCAGCCGTGTGCTCCTAGGTCAGCTAACTCCCAGCTCCGTTCGTTACTAGACTGGCGTTCCTAGCTCAGTTTTCCTCCGTACTCCAGCAGTACCTCGCCTAGTCCCACCTGGCGCTCCTCGCTCCTAGCTCCGTTTGCTCCGTGCTCCAGCTGTTCCTAGCCTAGCGTCCAATATGGACTCCTCCCGCCGCCTTCGTTTCGATGCAGAGGGGCGCCCGATAGAGTTCGGCACCTGGCTCCGCCAGACTCAGCGCTATCTCACCAGTCAGCGCCAGGACGGCGCCACCCTGTACGCCCACGCGTCCGGCGCCCTCCAGGCACCACCGCGTCCCGAGCCCCTCCCTGCCGTGCCCCCCCCGACTCCGGAGGCACAGGCGGACTACGCTCGTCTCGTCTTGGCGCGGGACGTTTGGGACTCCCGTGACGCTGCGGCTGCACTCGCGCTGACCGAGCTCCTTCCACCGACTGAGGCCGCTCACTTCGACCTGGTAGAGACTGCGAAGGAGGTGTATGATGCTATTTCTGCACGCTATTCCACCCCTTCCTCTGCCTCCCTCAGCCGCATCCTCATGCCGTTCGTGTTTCCCGACCTCGGCTCTTTTGCGACTGTCTCTGACCTAGCCACACACTTGCGCTCCCTTGTCGCTAGCTACCGAGCAGCTTGCACTGAGGCTCAGCTTCTTGTTGCTCCTCCTCCTATTTGGCTCACAGTCCACTGGGTAGTCACTCGTCTCCCTGACCGCCTCTCCACTGCCCGTGACGCACTTCTCCAGCATCACCTCAGTGAGCTTACGATTGATCTTCTCGAGACCACTCTCGGGAAGATCGAGAGTAACCTCCTCTCTGTTGCCTCAGCCACTGACGCAGTTGCCCCTCGTTTGTTTGAGGGGTGTGCTGTCCCCCAGCTTCCTACCTTCACTGCTACACGTGCCTCTGCTGCTGTGTCGGTTTCTGAGGACACTGCAGCTGTTTCTGCCGCTGACAGGCAGAAACGGGGCAAGGGGGGCAAGAAAGGGGGGAAGGGGGGTGGCGGCGGTGGAGGAGGTGGCGGTGGTGGAGGCGGCCCTGGGGGCGGCAGTGGTGGCGGTGTTGCCCCAGGCGGAGGGAGCTCTGGAGGAGGTGCTGACCCACCTGCTGGAGGAGGTTCGACCAGCGGTGGTGCGGGGCCCCAGCAGCAGCAGCCACAGCAGCAGCAGCCACAGCAGAGACAGCAGCTGCACCAGGGACAGCAGCAGTGGCAGGCACCACAGCAGTTTCAGACGTGGGGACCCCCACTGCAGTGGGGTCCGCAGCAGCACTGGGGCCCTCCGCCACAGTGGGGACCTGGAGGACCCGGGAGCACTGGCCGCAGCAGCAGCACTACCAGCTGGGCCCCTCGCCCCCCGCGGCGCGACACCGGCCCCTGCGACCACTGGTGCATCACCGGACCTGGCAGTCCCTGTGTCTGCGGCCGCGACAACCACTCTGCAGCGCGGTGCTTCCGCCGCCTCGACGACCTCTACCGTGCACGCTGGGGTCCTGAGGCGACCACCCCGCGCTGGGCTCGCCTGCTAGCCCGTAAGATTCCTGTATTTGAACTGTCTATGGACGATGCTCGTCAGTATGCTTTGTATGCTGATGTTGACTATAGTGCTGATGGATTTGTGTGCTCGCGTGTTCGTAGTCTAGGATGCTTGCCTCCTGTTAGTGTAGACCTGTGCCTCTCTAGTCTAGGTGCTTGTGTTTCTGCTCTAGGTGCTTGTGTAGCCTCCGGACCTGACACGCCTCCGGCTGAGGCGTCTCTGTCGTTCACGCTGGACTCTGGCGCGTCGCAGTGTTTCCTCCGCGACCACACGACCCTCACACCACTTCTTGCTCCGGTTCCGGTAGCTTTGGCTGATCCTTCTTCAGGACCAGCCGTTGCGCGCAGCTCCACCACCCTCCCGTGCCCTGTGGTCCCCTCTGGTGTCTTGCGCGGCCTCCACATCCCCTCGTTCACTCGGAACTTGGTGGGTGTTGGATACCTCCAGGACAGGGGGATCACCGTTACCTTTGTGGGGGGGGGGCGGACTGCAGTCTGTACTGACGCTACCACAGGTGCTGTTCTGGCCACGTTCACCAGGGAGCCCCGCTCCGGTCTCTACGTTCTCCACACCGAGCGCTCCCCGGTCGCGTCCTCCCCTCAGGTTGTTGCGTCCCCTCCGGCTCAGGTCCCCAGTCCAGTTGCTGTGTCTAGCCAGGTAGTCGTGTCCAGTCCGGTCGCTGTGTCCAGTCCAGTCGCTGTGTCTTGCTCCTGTCGCTCTCTCGCCCACCGCACCGTCCTGTGGCACCACCGTCTTGGCCACCCGTCGATCCCTCGCCTTCGTGGCATGCTCAGTCAGGGACTAGTCACAGGTCTCCCACGCACCTTCCCGTCGCTCCCTCTCTCGCTTGCCCCTCCTTGCTCTCCGTGCGTCGCCGGTCGCTTACGCGCCACTCCCCACTCCTCCTCCCTTCGTCCGGCCACCGCTCCCTTCGAGACTCTCCACTTGGACGTCTGGGGCCCTGCCCCGACGCAGGGGTCTGGGAGGGAGCGTTACTTTCTGGTGGTCGTCGACGACTTCTCCAGGTACACCACAGTGTTCCCTCTTGCGAAGAAGTCCGAGGTGACTGCTACGCTGATCAGGTGGCTTCTAGCCACTGAGGGCACTCGTGGTCGTCGAGTCAGTTGTCTTCACTCCGACCGTGGGGGAGAGTTTCGCTCCGGCATTCTCGGCGGATTCTGCGGCGAACAGGGCATCACCCAGTCCTGGACGCTGCCAGAGTCCCCACAGCAGAATGGGGTTGCTGAGCGCCGCATAGGCTTGGTCATGGACATCGCCCGCACGTCCATGATTCATGCCCGTGCGCCCCATTTTCTGTGGCCCCACGCGGTTCGCTACGCCGCACACCAGCTGAACCTCCAGCCGCGTGTCTCGCGGCCCGAGGCTTCACCGACCAGTCTTTGGACTGGATCCCCTGGTGTTGGGTCGGCCTTTCGAGTCTGGGGCTGCCTTGCACTTGTTCGCGACACCTCCGCGGACAAGCTCTCGGCACGGGCCGTCCCATGTGTCTTCCTTGGTTTCCCAGTGGACTCTGCTGACTGGTCCTTTTACCCCCTCCCCTCCACCAGTTCCTAGACTCCCGTGACGTCCGGTTTGACGAGTCCGTGTCCTACTACACCCGGTACCCCTGTCGAGGTCTCCCGGTACCCCCTCCCCCTCTCTTCCTCGCACCCTCTCCTCCTCCTGCTCCCGCTCCTCCGGTACCCCCGCCCCCCCCAGGTCCTGCCCCGTCTGGTGTGTCCCACGCTACCCCTCTACCCTCGGTCGCGCGTCAGGTAGCGTCTCCCTCCCCGCAGTCCTCCTCACAGTCCCCTCAGCAGCCTTCGGCACTTCCGCGACAGGTTACTTTGGACTCGGTTGGTGTTGGCGCTGGAGGTGCAGCCGCTGGCGGTGCTCGGTCTGGGGGTGCTCGGTCGCGGGGTACTGGAGCTGGAGGTGCTGGCGCACGTGACGCTAGCTCTGGGGGTGCTGGAGCTGGAGGTGCTGGCGCAGGTGGCGCTAGCTCTGGGGGTGCTGGAGCAGGAGGTGCCGGCACTGGAGGTGCTGGTTCTGGGGGTGCTGGAGTTGGGGGTGCTGGCACTGGCGGTGCTAGTTCTGGGGGTGCTGGAGTTGGAGGTCCTGGCACTGGCGGTGCTTGTTCTGGGGGTGCTGAGTCTGAGGGGACTGACGCTGGAGACCCTGGTTCTGCGGAGTCCACTCCGCCTCCCCACCGCCACGACACGCGTCTCCAGGCTGCCCGTCGGCGTGAGCGTGAGGAGCAGGAGCGGTTGGAGAGGGAGCGGCAGGAGCTGCGGGTGCTGGACCTTCTGGAGCAGCAGCGGCAGCAGCAGCAGCAGCAGCAGCAGCAGCCGCAGCCGCCGCCGCAGCCGCAGCAGCAGCAGCCGCAGCCGCAGCAGCAGCAGCGGCCGCAGCCGCCACCGCAGCTTCCTCTGGAGCGGCGGTTGTTCCCACCTGTGAGTGGCCTGCGGGCCCTTGGCCTTTCCTCCTCTCCTCCTGTCCGCTCCCAGTCTCCTCCTGTGTTTGTTCCTCCGTTGCCTCCTCCTGACGACCGTCCGGCGGTCTGGTCTTCTCCTCCTCCCTCTGTCCGTCGCGACCTGATCACTCGTTGTCCTCCGCGTGCTCGTCACTCGTCCCCTGTTACTGACCTCCACACTGCCCTCCTTTGTTCGTCTCGTCGTCGTTCTCCTTCTCCTGTGTCCGTTCTCCCGTCTCCTCCTCCGTCCTCCCTACCAGCCCTCCCCACTCCTATCTCTGACTACTACCGCGTTGTTCGTCCTGTTGCCGCACGTGTCCTCGCCACTCTTGTCACCGACTCTCGTTTCCCTCCGTCGTCTGCCTCGGCTCTTACTGCCGCTGTCGCTGAGTTTGCTGCCGCCAGCCACCTTGACTACGCCACCCGTGTGGTGCCAGCTCCTCCCTACCGTCCTCTGTCCGTCGGGGGTGGGTTTGCCCTTGGCTGTGACGTCCTAGAGGAGTCTGAGCTGGAGTACTGGGCAGCCGCTTCTCCCTCTGTGTGTGCCATGCTGCTCTCCCCTGAGGGAGACCCCGACGCCCTTGACATACCGACTCCTCGCACTTACCGCGAGGCAGTGTCAGGGGCGTGGGCCTCTCAGTGGAAAGCGGCTATGGACTCAGAGTTGGCGTCTTGGAGATCCACAGGCACCTACGTCGACGCAGTTCCCCCTCCCAGGGCGAACGTAGTCGATGGCATGTGGCTCTTCAAGGTGAAGCGGCCGCCTGGAGCACCGCCGGTGTTCAAGGCGCGCTACGTGGCTAGGGGCTTCAGTCAGCGTGAGGGAGTTGACTTCTTCCAGACCTTCGCCCCGACCCCGAAGATGACTACTCTTCGGGTGTTACTCCACATAGCAGCGCAGCGAGACTACGAGCTGCACTCCCTCGACTTCTCCACTGCGTTCCTCCAGGGCCGACTACACGAGGAGATCTGGCTGCGCCGTCCTCCTGGCTTCACTGACACCTTCCCACCTGGGACCCAGTGGAGCCTGAGGCGACCAGTCTACGGTCTCCGCCAGTCGCCCCGTGAGTGGCACGACACTCTTCGCTCCACGCTTCGTGACCTTGGGTTCAGCCCGTCCTCCGCCGACCCGTCGCTGTTTGTTCGAGCGGGTTCTACTCCTTTCTTTATCCTTGTCTATGTCGACGACTTGGTGTTTGCTACAGCAGACAGGGCAGCCCTGGCTCAGGTGAAGTCCGAACTGCAGAAGAGACACAAGTGCACTGACCTGGGTGAGCTGCAGCGCTACCTTGGCCTGCAGATCACCCGGGACAGAGCCGCTCGCACCATCACACTGACGCAGTCACACATGGTGCAGCAGATCCTTCGGCGGTTCGACTTCCAGTTCTCCACCACACAGCCCACTCCTCTTGCTGTTGACCACAGACTCACGGGCCCCTTTCCTGACGAGCCCTTTGAGTCCAGTGGACCCTACGCAGAGCTGGTGGGCTGCCTCATGTACCTGATGACTTGTACTCGACCGGACCTCGCCTTTCCACTCAGCATCCTTTCTCGCTTTGTTGCGACTGGGAGACACCGCCCTGTCCACTGGACAGCTGCTGTGAGGGTGGCGAAGTACCTGGCGACTACATCAGGCATGGGGCTTGTGCTTGGAGGGACTCAGCCAGTGGCGTTGACTGGTCACTGCGACTCTTCCTACGCTGACGACGTGGAGACTCAGCGTTCGACTCAGGGTTACTGCTTCAGTCTGGGAGCTGGTGCTGTGTCGTGGAGGTCTGCACGGTCGTCGTCTGTGGCTACTTCCAGTGCAGAGGCAGAGATCTACGCTGGTGCCATGGCGGCACAGGAGCTTCGCTGGTTGACCTTCTTGCTCGCCGACCTTGGTGAGCGGCCTCGCTCTGCACCGACCTTGTACGCTGACAACAAGGCCATGATCCTCCTGTGTCGAGAGCCTCGACTGGAGAGCAGAGTGAAGCATATTGACGTGAGGTACTTCCTCCTGCGAGAGTTGCAGCGACGCGGTCAGGCACGTTTGGACTTTGTGGCCTCACAGGCCAACACTGCCGACGTCTTCACCAAGGCCTTGGCGCCTGGTGACCACCACAGGTTCTGTGTGCAGTTGGGGCTTGTTGAGGTAGGCCCTCGGTTGCTGTAGACTTGCTGTTTGCTCTACTTGTTGTGCTTCTATATATACTAGTAAACTCTTGAACTGGCCTTGTGGCCACTTGCTTGTGCTCGGAGTGTGTGGTGACTCTGAGCGCCACCCTGAGCTTTGTTTTTTTTATGCTTGTTCTTCACTGGTCTTGTGACCCCTTGTTTCCGTTGGTTGTTTTGATGCCCCTCACTTAGCCTATGGGGGTGTGTCAAATGTTTATATATTCTATATATTGTTAGATAGGCTACTGTGAGTTGCCCTCTAAAGGGTACAACACTTTAGGTCGACATTTGCATCTCCTTGTCCCTCCTTACTAAAACATTACTCTCGACACTTGTCTCCTAGCCTATCTTAAGACGCGTGACCACGTGCATGGGTGCATGGGTTTGTGAGAGAAGTTTGACAACAATTGAATGCTTTCCCTTGTGCAGTGTGAAGGAACATGTGCATGGATGCTTCTTTGCATGGGGAGGGAGAGTGAAGAATGGGGGAGGAGTTTACTGCTTAGTGTTGAGTATTCTTCTTGCACAAGGTGAATCAGGTGTTGCTACCGGTGCAGTTTAATCAGGCATTTTGCTTGCAATCTCTCTCGACCTATCGTAATGGTTATGGCAGGAGCTGGAGGCTGATGGCGTTGGCAAGTTCGCAAAATCATTTGATGACCTGCTTGCTGCTCTTCAGCGCAAGGCCACCATGATAAGTGACAGAAGCATCAACTAGGTCTGCATGGTGTTACGTTTGCTTGCAGCTGCCGTTATTTGCTGTGGTCTGAACCTCCATGTTTGAGTTGTGCTTGTGTGCGTACCGTACAGGTACTTGTAGTGCATCACTTTCCTTTTTGTACATGTGTTTGTTTGTTTGTGGTAATATTTTGAACCCGATGTTGGAGGGAAATACCATACGGTAATGCCCAGTGTTGCTCGCTGTAGTAGTATCATGCACGACCAGTCCCTGCTAGCACTAAAGTCACACTACTGAGCTGCTTGCACACTTCTTGGCAGAGAGAATTCAGCATATAATGGGTAGTGACTTGATGGTAGCTTTCCCCCCCATGTGCTGATCACCACCTCGCAATAGCTAGGATGCAGTGCCCGGCCATAGCGGAACATCCAGTCAGTGTGAAGCGGATCCACGATGCCTGGATCACTCTCAGCTGTACATATTTCCATAGCACTTTTAACAATTTGCAAGCAAGACATGTCAGGACCTGAAAGAAGCACCACAATCAGTTGAAACGAGCAGGATGATATGTGAGAGAGATGGGCAGTGAAATTTGTTGGCAAGAACCTTGAAAGCGATGGTGGGAGTATATGTGCCCTGTGTTCATTTTCTTGCGAGCGATTGACAGCACGTCTTTGAAGTCTCCTTCAAAGCCATTCAGCCTGCCACACACAACAATAGGGCATAAGCAAAGATAATGAGAAATTGAATTATCACACCTCAAGAAATTAGCACTTACTTCCAGCTTCCAAGGAAGAACCTTGCAGGAGCAGATCCCTTGTTCTTGTTGAAATTCGCACACATGAGCGCAGGAATAGACGGTGGCACAGAGCTAATGTGCTGCCACAGAAGCAACGCTCCTTTCGCTCTTGCTGAAGAACTTCCTGTTTTCACCCTAACATTGTAAGCTTGAAACGCATACCCTGGTGGCTGTAGCCCTTTCACTCGGAATTTAACCCAAGTGGCAACTGCCGGAGTGGATGCACCCCAGGATGTGCTCCCACACACTTCAGGCGTCTCTGAAAGCCAGAAGTTCCCGCTCTCCATCACCTCAACCTGAAACAGCAGCATGCGTTTTATGGCTTCCATACATAAATAAATAGGTAAAACGGGTTCTGACATCAGCAGTGCGCTCATGTTAGACGTGGGCTGCTTGTGATAGCTTTGCTGACATGGGTACCTGGTCTCGGTTATAAAAGATGGCAGAATATTCTTCGCCAGGAGCGTCTTGGCTCTTGGATCCAAACCACTCATATGCTGCTGGTCGTAAGACATGTTTTAACCTTTCCATAATCATTACGACAGCCAAAGACCGACAATGCCATACCTTTCAGCTCATTCTGAAGATACTCGAGCTGCTCCTTGGATCCTGAACTCAATCCATTGTTAGAAAAGAGGCTCTGTAACGCGGATTCGAAGCTGAAATTTTGGATCGCTACCTTCTTGAGTGAAAATTAGGGTGGGATGAAACTTGCGCAACATCTCAAGGCATGCGAACTTGCGTATTTCCCAGGAATTCGGACTGCTTTCTGGTTCTGTGGAGTCTAAGTTCAACATGAGGGCAGAAATTGCCCCAAGGAATGCCATAACGCGCTTTGCAGTCACGTCTGCCCCTTGGATTTCCTAAAACTAAACTCAGTATTCTCTAATCAAACGTCTAACGCACGGATCCCCAATGATAACTTGTGTTAGCAGCACCCAGTGCTGTGAATACACACGCAATTCGCTAGCTTAGCTGGAAGCACGTGCTCAGGTGAGTAGACTGAGCCTGTGCTGACCAGAGACGGATACACATCCTGGTACTATCTGTTCACTATCAGCGAGTTTATCAAGAAGCTCCGCTGACAAGTGAGCTTGCGGAAGGTACCCGTTCGGCCGCACACGCAGACCAGAGAGTGAGGAGGTTCACCAGAGAGGCAGCAACTGAAAGCTGGACAAACAGAGAAGCGAAGCAAAGGCAGGGAGTCTGCGCGCAAAAATAGTGAAACATGTTCGGGTGAAAGTACACTCTGGTACACGATTCAATGCAAATTATGCACTAATGATGTTTGTATTGACCACAACCATGAACAATAAAATGTACCACACATGAAATTAAATCTTATAAGATTGAATTGCATTAGATAAAACTAATAGTCCAAATAGATGCGCACGACCAGAATGTCTGAGAATGGAACAGTAATCCTCCGCTCCCGATTCTTCCGGCTCAACGGCCGTCCCTTTCCTCCATACAGCTCCCTGTTTAACCTCACATCAGCAACCCTCCATATTGTCACACGCTCCTCCTCGTCCACCTCCACTAACGAAAGAATCTCCTCAGACGTTTTCCCTCCACTAGCAGTAGTGCTCTTGTCCCCTGTATTGTCTGCTTCGCTAGGCAGCCGGTAGTGTACATACATTGGAAGCTCCTTGAACCGGATTAAATCGTCTGGAACCTTGACCACACGCTCGGCACCAGGAGAAGAGACCTGACAGGGGTGAGAGGGGTTGGGGGAAAGAGGGGGAGAGATTACGGCAAGAAGAAGGGTAACACAGGGGAGAATGAAGGGGAATTAAGAACACGAGCAAGCTTCGAATGGTCTCACAATCGTCTGGGACACGTTTGACCCGAAGGAACGTGAGAGAGATGCTACTGGGAGAGGGGCAAGCAAAGCAAGAAAGGGGTTAGGCTGGAAAAAACAATCGAAGGAAATTCTGAGGGGAAAAAAAAAAGGTGAATTCAATCATCATTCCACAACAGTACCCTGTCTGATTACAACAGGATTCATTCCCGTAAAAGAGATTGCATCCAAATGAGAATTTCGCAGAGGAAGCAGTGTGACAAAAAAAAAAACAAAAAACAAAAACAAACAAACAAACAAATCGAACCCGCAGAAATGAGCAACGAAACTAGTTGTGTTGAGGCCCTTTGAACCATCCGATCAGGGCCCCCAACCACGCTGAACCTACTGTCTGGTCTGGTGGATCAGCCAGCTGACAGCTGCAGACTCACCTACCTACCCACACAGCCCCCCACCCCCCTTTCCTACACAAAATCCTCACCTCCATCTGAACGACCTGAGGCAGCTCGCCCCTCTCCAAAGCGTCAAGAGCAACCCTCCCCCCTCCCTCCTCCCCCCTCCCCCCTCCTCACCCCACCTTCCGCCTCACCTCGATCTGAATATCCTCAGCCAGCTCGCCCCTCTCCCCAGTAGCAACGACCAGAGCGCTGAATCTGTACAATCAGCGCCCTGTAACTGTTCACAAACTATAAGCAATCCCACCCCTCTCCGCTCCACTCCCCCTCACCCCACCTTCCGCCTCATCTCGATCTGAATGTCCTGAGGCAGCTCGGCCCGCTCCCCTGCTGCGACCAGAACGTCAAGAGCAAAACCCCCTCCCTCCCCCATCACCCCCACCTTCCGCCTCACCTCGATCTGAATGTTCTCAGGCAATTCGCCCCTCTCCCCCGCAGCAATGACCAGTGCGTTTGAAGTTGTACAATCAGGCCCCTGTACTCGGTGCCTAGCTATAAGCTATCCCACTCCACCCCACTCCACCACACTCCACCCCCACCCTCTTACTTTCCGCCTCACCTCAATCTGAATGTCCCCCCGTTTTCTCTCCGCCTCACCTCAATCTGAATGTCCTGAGGCAGCTCGCCCCTCTCCCCTGCAGCAATGACCAGCGCGTTACAGCGCAGGGCCCTATACTCGTTCTCTAGCAATAAGCTATCACATCCCACCCCACCCCATCCCACCCCACTCCACTCCCCCCGTTTCCTCTCCTCCTCACCTCAATCTGAATGTCCTGGGGCAGCTCGCCCCTCTCCCCTGCAGCAATGACCAGAGCGTTGAAGTCAAGGAGGAACGAGTCTATGTCCTCCACCATTGGGGAGCCGTAGCTGCGTTGAGAGGGAAGGGGGGATGGGGGAGGGGGGAGGGGGGAGGGGGGATGGGTAATTGGTGAGTGTGGAGCAGCAATGACCAGCGCGTTGAAATCGAGGAGGAACGAGTCTATATCCTCCACCATGGGGGAGCCGTAGCTGCGTTGAGGGGGGAGGGGGGAATGGGGGATGGGTACATGCAGTGTGCAATAAAGATTGGGGGAGACGGGGAATAACACGGACAACAAGGCAGCTCGCCCCTCTCCCCAGCTGTGATGACCAGAGCGTTGAAATCAAGGAGGAACGAGTCTATGTCCTCCACCCTGGGGGATCCGTAGCTGCATGCATAAGGGACGGGGTATGGGGGATGGGGAATGGGGTATGGGGGATGGGGAATGGGGTATGGGGGATGGGGAATGGGGTATGGGGGATGGGGAATGGGGTATGGGGGATGGGGAATGGGGTATGGGGTATGGGAAATGGGGTATGGGGTATGGGGGGATGGCGGATGGGTGTGTGTGGCGCAGCAATAGAGAGGAGGTGGTTGAAGTCGAGGAGGAACGAGTCTATATCCTCCACCCTGGGGGAGCCGTAGCTGCACAAGCGGGAGCGACAGGACCTCCTTCTTTCCACCTGCAGCAATGAACACCGTTGAATCAAGGAGGAACGAGTCTATGTCCTCCACCATGGGGGAGCCGTAGCTGCACAAGAGGGAGGCAGGGGAAAAGCACATGCGACGAGCATTCGAGATGGTTGAAGCTGGCGTACACTTGGGCAGCTCCCCTCTCTCCCCCGCAGCAATGACCAGAGCGTTAAAGTCAAGGAGGAACGAGTCTATGTCCTCCACCCTGGGGGAGCCGTAGCTGCATGCATAAGGGGTGGGGGGTGGGGAATGGGGCATGGGGGGATGGGGGATGGGCGTGTGTGGCGCAGCAATAGAGAGGACCTCGTTGAAATCAAGGAGGAACGAGTCTATGTCCTCCACCCTGGGGGAGCCGTAGCTGCAATAGAGATGGGGACAAGGAGGAAGGGGGGGGAGCGGGGGGATATATTATGGATGTAGAGGTTAGGATAAGGGCTTAGGGATAAGTCGACTGAAAAATCGCCCCAAAGCAGGATAATGGCTTAAGGGTACAATCTTCCTTTCCCCCTCCTCCTCCCCCTCTCTCACCCCCCCCATTCCCCTCCTCCCTATTCCCCTCCACGCAATTCCACTCCCCCCAATCCCCCTACTTTTATTCCCCCCCCTTCAATTCAACTACTTTCAGTTTCCCCCCCCCAACTCCCTGTCACTCACACGTCACTGAGTTTGTCCAGTCGCATGCGAATACAGTTCTTCTCCGGGCACACCTTGAATCTGTACAGCTCAAACTCCCCCAAACACTCACCTCCCCTGTTTTCACCATCTAGCCCCTCCCCCGAAAGAGCCCGCCCACTCACACATCTGTCAGCTTGTCCAGTCGCACGCGGATCCAGTTCCTCTCAGGGTAAACCTTGAAGCCATACAGCTCAAACTCCCCGCCGTACTTGCTCCTCCCTAGCAACTCCTACCCCCAGCCCACAGGCTTCCTTTCCCTTCGCTTTCTTTCAACCAACCCCATTTGTCCCCATCCGGGCATCCCTGTCATGTCACTCACATGTCACTGAGTTTGTCCAGTCGCACGCGGTGACTTTTGAGTCGACTCAAAAGTCCCCCTCCACTCCCGTTGCTTGGTCCCCATCCCTGTCACTCACACGTCACTGAGTTTGTCCAGTCGCACGCGGATTCAGTTCCTCTCAGGGTACACCTTAAAGCCATACAGCTCAAACTCCCCCCCATGCTTGCTCCTCCCTAGCAACTCCTACCCCCAGCCCACAGGCTTCCCTTCCCTTCGCTTCACTTTCTTTCAACCACCCCCGTTTGTCCCCATCCCTGTCACTCACACGTCACTGAGTTTGTCAAGTCGCACGCGAATCCAGTTCCTCTCGGGGTAAACCTTGAATCCGTACAGCTCAAACTCCCCACCGTACTTGCTCCCTGCCAGCACCGCCTGTGCCAACTCCAGCGCTGTCTGCCCCCACGCTGCCCCGTTCAAGACAAACCCTCCGCCATCCAACCCGTCTCCAGGCTGGAAGGGGAGGAAAGGGAACCAAGGGAGGGAGGGGAACGAGAAGAGAAGAAGCAACGGGTTTAACGCTCAAACTCCCCTCCATATTTGCTCCCTGCCAGCACCGCCTGTGCCAACTCCAGCGCTGTCTGCCCCCACGCTGCCCCGTTCAAGACGAACCCACCTCCATCCAACCCGTCTCCAGGCTGGAAGGGAAAAAAACCACCAAAGTGAGGGAGGAGAACAGGCAGGAAAAAGAAACGGCTTTGTCTTGTTGAACAGCTCATAGCCGATATTTCCCATATGCAGCTCAAACCCCCCGCCGTACTTGCTCCCTGCTAGCACCTCCTGTGCCAACTCCAGAGCTGTCTGCCCTGCCCCCACGCTACCCCGTTCAGGACGAAGCCTCCGCCGTCCAACCTGTCTCAGGGCTGGGAAGTGAGGAAAGGGAACGACGGGAGGGAGGGGAACGAGAAGAAGCATTAGGTTAACCTCCCCTCCGTACTTGCTCCCCCCTAGAACCTCCTGTGCTAACTCCAAGGCGGTCTGTCCCCACGCTGCCCCGTTCAGGACGAAGCCTCCACCGTCCAATCCGTCTCCATCTGGTTGAGGTGGAAAAGCAAGGGAGGGACGGAAAAATGGGAGTTTGTTTTGTTTAACAGCTCATACTCACTGATTCCCTTACAGTGCTCCCTCCTTCCCACCACCTCCTGTGCATTTTGAAACCTTGAAACCTTAAACGTTGAACCTGAAACCCTGGATGAACCCTGCTAACGAGTGGGGCGGGGACCTTTTTTTGGACCTAACCCGCCAGCTTAGACAACCCTTCCCAGCCTAAACCCAACTTCTCAAAGTTTTTCCCAACTCACAACAACTCTTGTGCACCAACCACCACAGCTCTGCAACGCTCAGCAGCACTCTGCACTGCTTACCACCACGTCGGCCGCATCTTCCTCCTCAAACTCCCACTCGTCCTCCTCGTCCTCCCCCTCCTCCTCCCTCTCCCCAACCTCGTCACCCACGGCTTCCTCTGCTGCGTGTGAGGGAATGGAGAGCCGGCAGGTGGAATGGAAGGCGGCGTGGGGAGAGGAGAGCAAGTGTGTGGGAGACAGGCAGGCACGGGGAGGGATGGAGGAATTAAGGAAGGTGAGAAGGAACACAGAGAGGTGGGAGGGACATCAGCGTTGATGGGATGGCCTTATTTGTTCCATACAAAGGAAGACAAGTGGGGGACGGATGAAGAGAAAGAAACAGGCACGGGGAGGGATGGAGGAATTAAGGAAAGGAAGGTGAGAAGGAACACAGAGAGGTGGGAGGGACATCAGCGTCGATGGGATGGCCTAATGTGTTCCATAAAAGGGACGGATGAAGAGAAACACAGAAGTCACCTTGATTCGACTCCACCTGCTGCAGCACCACCAAGGTGCCTTCGTCTCAACGCCTTCTGCCAGCCAAGAGAAAAGGCACTTCTGCCCCTGCACTCCCAACATAGCGACCAGACCAGCCAAGACACCCCAAGACGAGTCGACTCATAACCCACCTTGACTCGATTCCACCTGCTGCAGCACCACCATCTCAACTCAACTCCCTCTGCCACCGGCCCGGCTGCCCCCTTTTCCCTTCCCCAACCTACTGACCAGCCACGATAGGCCAAGACGGCTGTCCGTCCTCCTCTCGTGATAAAAGAGATGTTTTGAGACGTCTCAAAACATCTCTTTTATCAGATGAAATTTATTGGATTCGAAACGCAGCAAGCCTGCTAAGAGTAACGATCTGAGTCTACTAATCTGAAAATTGAGACGTCTCAAAACATCTCTTTTATCACCTGACCAGCCAAGATAGGCCAAGACGGCTGTCCGTCCTCCTCTCTCAACATAACGACCAGCTAAGACAACCCAAGATACAGTCGACTCATAACTCACCTTGACTTGATTCCATCCACCCACTGCAGCACCACCGTCTCGGCGCCTTCTGCCATCGGCCCTTCTGCCCCTCCCCTCTCAACATACCGACCAGCCAACACACCCCAAGATGAGTCGCCTCATAACCCACCTTGATTCGACTCCACCCGCTGCAGCACAAGCGTCTCCACTCCCTCTGCCACCGAGCCCTCTGCCCCTTCCTCCCCTCCCAACGTACTCACCGTTTAAGATGCTCAAGATGAGTCGTGAGTCAGAACTCGACAAACGATCCTGATTCCTGACTCGTAACTCACCTTGATTCGACTCCACCACTCGCTGAAGCACGACCGTCTCAACGCCCTCTGCCACCGGCCCCTCTGCCTCCACCCACGTGCCGTCATCCCCCTTATAGAGAACCACCGTTTCGGCATAACCCGTTTCATCCCCCTTATGAAGCACCACCGTTTCGAGATCAGTTTCTCCTGAAGGCAATTCTTCCTCCTCGGTTTCCTTTCCTGGGGCAATCTCGATGGAACCACTTTGTTTCGTTTCAACAAACCCCTTTGCCGTCTCACTTCCCTCCTCGTTCTCCGCAGCATACCCTACCACCTCGCCTTTCTTCCCCTCCTCCTTCCTCTTATCCCGCTTCTCTTTTTTTCCCTTCTTCTCCTTCTTCTCTTTCTCTTTCTTCTCTTTCTTTTCCTCCTTCTCCTTTTTCTCCTTCTTCCCCTTGCTCCCTCCATCCAATTCGCCAGCTGTCAGATCCACTACATTCTCGTTATCGTCACTCTCGCTATTTTCACCGCCGTCTCCCGAAACTGCCAGCATTCGCAGAGTTTGCTGACGCGGCAGCGACGGTCCGAAACCCCTTGCGTGATAAAAACGAGCATATTTCCCAAGTGCGGAGCATTGGATGCCTGCTGGACGCGTGACTGTAACGGAAGGTGGCAGAGGAGTCACTCGGATAAATGCGACTGCCGAAGGTGACAATAGCAAATGCGCAGACGCCATTGTAGCAGCTCTTCGGCTTGCAGCAGCTGGAATACTCAGAGGACTGAATCTAAAAATGGCCGCGGTTTTCCTGAAACTACTAGCCTCGGGATTGCCTGTAACCGCGGGTTTGAGTGGAGCCGCGACAGCAAAGCAGGTCAGCGTCCGAGGCGCCTCGAAAGTGGCCGTGGCAGCAAAAGAGGTCAGGACCTTGGTTTGGATTCGTTTTGGGAGAGAGAAACAGCTGGGGATAGCAGAACGGTTCCAGAGACGGTCGAAAACGCGCGACGACGCAGCGGGAAACGCGGCGGATAACGCGGCTCTGGAAGTCATGCACTGCGAGTTGACGCGTCGCCGTGTTACGCGACTGGGCTGACTGAAAACGGAAACGGGAGATTTGCTTGTAAGCTGGTCCAAGTGCGATTTGCTGGGTTGTAGGAGAAAGGTGTGGGAAAAAATCAGTGCCCCGCAGAGTCTTAGTAATACGAAATTGATTTTGTATGTTCAGTAGTGTAGTTACGTGTAGTCTCCCTAAGAGAGTTTCTGAGTTGAGCTGTAACGCATAATATTTTGCGAAATGATCTGTAGCGAAATCCAGGTGCAATCGTCGCTCGAAAATAAATTCGGCGAGTGGCTTTTGGACTGGCTGCAGTACAAGCCGTGCGCCTAGGTAACAAAGTAACCCTGAGTCTGGTTGACTACTACGAGGACATGTTGGGTACGCATCGCAGACGAGACGAAGTTCGTCGTACCACCCCGATGGTACTACATCGCGGATAAACTGCTGATCTTCGCAGAGCGTCCTCCGAGAATCACGCAACTCTCGAGCGGTTATTAGAGTAGCTTGAAAGTTCCTAGTAGAGGACACGGTAAGTTAGCTTCGTCCGATTCTTCCTGCGACTTTTTTACAAGACCAGGCATTGGCGATGACGTGTACAAACCGTCGCGGAATCTGCCTTTGTTCATTGCCGAGATTAGCTTGACGCTTGTACGCGTGAACCGTGCATGAGTAGCTAAGTTCCGTCCAATGCTACATTCGTTAACGCGTAAGCTGCTATAACGCGTACGACAACCGGCGTCAATAGCGAATGGCTAATTCCCTCCTACCGCTTGCCGTAGCGGCGACAGGCGCGCTGCTAGTCTCCGCTTCCACCGTCACCGTAATGCTTCCGCTGCTCCCTGCCACGTGGACCAATCGCCTGCTTCCAAGCGTCTCTCTTGAAGACTTGTGAGTTGCGAGCTCAGCTTACCATGCCTTGCTGCTTCCCCCCGCATGTCTCTCCCCTATTTTCCCTCTTCGCTTTCCTGCCGCGCTCGCTGCAGCCTGGTGCGCATGACAACTTGCCTCTCCCATCCCGCATCCCCCATTCCCCCATCTCTCCGCCTTGCCCGCTTCCTCCTCTCCTCGCCACAGCCTTTATTACTGCAGCCTCGTAACCGTGATAGTTGCCTTGCCTTTTTACATCCTCCATCCCCTATTTCCTCTTGCCTCCCCCCGGCTCCCCCGCTCCCCTCCCGACTCCCCACTTTCCACCCCTTGCCGCAGCCTCTACTACTGCAATTCGTGCCCATGTTAACTTCCCTTGCCCCTCTACATCCACTTTTTCCCCTTGCCCTCCTCCCAGCTCCCCCGGCTCCCCGCTCCCCTCACTACCCCGCAAGCCTCCTTGCAGCCTCTAATACTGCAACCCCATGCCCATGCCAGCTGTCCTGCTTCTCCCCATCCACCTGCACCCAATCCCCCCTCCCCCCCTTCTTCCCCCCTTTCTTCCCTGCCTTCTTCCCCCCCTTAACCCCCCCACTCCCCTCCCCACCGCCACTGCAGCCTCTACTACCGCAGCCTCGTGTCCATGACTGTTTTCTTGCTTCGCCTTATTTCCTCTTCCCCCATGTCTCCCTTACCACATGCACCCAATCCCCCCTCCCCCCCCCCCCCCCCCCCCCCCCGTTCCCGCCTATTACCCCCCACCCTCCGCCTGCCTCTTCTGCAGCCTCTACTACTGCAGCCTCGTTCCCATGACAGCTGTCGTCCTCGTATTGGCTGTCTACGGCCACTGGCTGTGCATCAAGCTGTACAGGCACGCGTGAATTGTGCTCCAATCAGCTGTACAGCACAGCACATCTTATACCGGTACAAGTTTAAGAATAACAGAACGTCTTTTAAGGAGTAGCCACTGTAGCCTGTAGGTAAGAAAGAAACTGGCTCATTCTCCATAACGATTTGCTCCATATGGTCTGTTCTTGTTGGTGTAGATGCAACCATTTGCTGCTACTATCCAATGGCTGGACCAATGATAGCTGACTGGCTATGAGGCAGGAGCTGGCTGATTCATCCTCCATAACAATTTGTTCCATGGTCACGTTCTCGTTGGTGTAAATGTAACAATCTGCTACTTTCCAATACCGTTCGTACCTTGAAGAACAATGATGGCTTGCTGGCTACGAAGAAGCTGCCTTATCCCGCATAACAGTTTGTTCCATGGTCATGTTTTCGTTTGTGTTGTAGCAGCTGCAACAATGATGGCTTGCTGGCTACGAAGAAGAAGCTGGCTCATCCTCCGTGGTGATTTGCTCCATGGTGATTTGCTCCATGGTGATTTGCTCCATGGTTACATTCTCGTTGGTGTAGATGCAACAGTCTGCTGCTATGCGCATCGCCTTTTTCACTGTAGACAAGATGACAAAATGGGCAAAGTGGAGCATTGATTGATAGTAACAGAGGAAGAATATAACACGAGAGTGGAGTTGAAGCATTGCCATGCCTCAAGGCATACCCCATCCATAATAGGAATACGCATTTATTTTGACACACACGACAAGCCTATTGTCCCCATACCATCCCCCTTTGGCCATGCCATGCACCTATGGCCTCAGCACTCAGGTCAGGGATGTCTGCCAATGCAATCCCATCCCACTCTATCCGACACCACCCCACCCCACCCCACGCCATGCCATGGCAACAAGCAATCGCATCCCAACCCATCCCAACCCATCCGAAACCACCAAACACCTATGGCTTCAGCACTCAACGTCAGGGATGTCTGCCAGTGCTCGTGCTGCTACCAACGCATAGGGACTTCCGCCCCCTGATGCCCACTAGCCATGCCATCTTACACGTGCAAGCACTCCCGACACCACGCACCTATGGCTTCAGCTGTCAAGTCCGGGATGTCTGCCAGTGCTCATGCTGCTGCCAATGCATAGGGCACTAGCCTTGCCATCGTGAAAGCACTCCCGACAGACATGCCATGCCATCCCATCCCATGCCCACACCACGCACCTATGGCTTCAGCTGTCAAGTCCGGGATGTCTGCCAGTGCTCGTGCTGCTGCCAATGCATAGGGCACTAGCCTTGCCATCGTGAAAGCACTCCCGACAGACATGCCATGCCATCCCATCCCATGCCCACACCACGCACCTATGGCTTCAGCTGTCAAGTCAGGGATGTCTGCCAGTGCTCGTGCTGCTGCCAATGCATAGGGCACTAGCCTTGCCATCGTGAAAGCACTCCCGACAGACATGCCATGCCATCCCATCCCATGCCCACACCACGCACCTATGGCTTCAGCTGTCAAGTCCGGGATGTCTGCCAGTGCTCGTGCTGCTGCCAATGCATAGGGCACTAGCCTTGCCATCGTGAAAGCACTCCCGACAGACATGCCATGCCATCCCATCCCATGCCCACACCACGCACCTATGGCTTCAGCTGTCAAGTCCGGGATGTCTGCCAGTGCTCGTGCTGCTGCTAACGCATAGGGCCCTCCGGAACCGATGCCTGGGGGGAACGGGGGAAGAGAGGGGGGAGAGGAGGAGGGAAGGACGCATTGGAAGGGAAGGGGGTGGGAAGGGGGGGGAGAAGGTGGGGAAGGTGGGGAAGGGGGTGAATAGGAGGAAGAAGCTTTTCAGAAGCTCTTCAAATGACTCATTTGTCCCAATTCTCAGTGTCCTCCGGGCGGGGCGACGTTTGAGTCAACTCAGAAATCAACTCTTTGTGCCCTCGGAAACCAACCCCTGGGGGAGTGGTTGCACACGAAAACCAGGAAAACCAGCAAAAAGATGTTAGGAGAAGAGGGAGAGTGCTTCATTAAAGCCCTTCTACCTCTGCCCCATTCTTCATTCACCAACAATACCATTCCACAAGAAGCTTACTCGCAATCCCATCATGTGGCTCCAGAGCGTCTCCATTGCCCGTTGTGGTCACACCATGCCATGCCATGCCATGCCATGCCATGCCATGCCATGCCACAGAGGCACACGTTCCCATTGCCCCATGATGATCCCATCATCATGGGACCGTGATGGTCAGAGACACACCTCGGCATGAGACACCGATGATCGCATCATGTGGTTCCAACACGTCACCATTGCTGGTCATGGTGACACCTTGGCGTCTACAGCCGATCATCCTTCACGCATTAGAAATGCCATACCATGCCACACACGCACACATTCTCACCGATGATCGCATCATGTGGCTCCAACACGTCTCCATTGCTGGTTATGGTCGTAGAGACCTTGGCATCTGCCTGCTACCCATCTACCCACCTTGAGTTTGCCATGCCAAGCCACATAGGCTAAATGAGCATGCCATGCCATGCCACACACACACACAATGGCTCACCGATGATCCCATCATGTGGCTCCAGCACGTCTCTATTGCCGGTTATGGTCGTAGAGACCTTGGCGTCTGCCTGCATGCCGACCCACCAACCTCATTCCGTCACTCACCGATGATCCCATCATGTGGCTCCAACACGTCTCCGTTGCCCGTTATTGTGCGAGACACCTTGGCGTCTGCCTGCTACCCATCTACCCACCTTGAGGCTGCCATGCCATGCCACACACACACACAATGGCTCACCGATGATCCCATCATGTGGCTCCAGCACGTCTCCATTGCCCGTGATGGTGAGCGACACCTTGGCATCTGCCACTACTAGCATGGCCTGTGGGGAAGAAAAGGAGTGAGGGCGAGGGAGAGGAGAAGAAACGAGGTGTGGGTTCCTGTGGTGTGGCAGCTGTGATGGTGGTGTGGCAGCTGTGATGGTGGTGTGGCAGCTGTGATGGTGGTGTGGCAGCTGTCATGGTGGTGTGGCAGCTGTGATGGTGGTATGGCAGCTGTCATGGCGGTGTGGCAGCTGTCATGGTGGTGTGGCAGCTGTCATGGTGGTGTGGCAGCTGTCATGGTGGTGTGGCAGCTGTCATGGTGGTGTGGCAGCTGTCATGGTGGTGTGGCAGCTGTCATGGTGGTGTGGCAGCTGTCATGGTGGTGTGGCAGCTGTCATGGTGGTGTGGCAGCTGTCATGGTGGTGTGGCAGCTTCCTCAGGTATTTGTCGGTTCGCCATGCCTTTGCCAGCAGCTAAATCAGCTCAATCAACACCCCCACACCACCACCCACCGCACTGCATCCCTCTGCATCCCCCTCACCACACCCCTTCATCTCACATCCAGCTTCCTCAGGTACTTGTCCGTTCGCCATGCCTTTGCCAGCTCCACTGCTGCTCGAGTAAGCTGGCAGGAGGAGGGGGGAGACCGGCGGGCGAAGGGGGAAGAGGAAAGGGAAAAGGAGGAAGGGGAGGATGAAAACAATAAGAAGTGAGAGAAGAACTAGAAACGAAGGAGTAGGAGCTCTAAAACATCAAAGCGAGCTACACCGAGATGTGTGTGGTGTGGGGCGAAGTGGCTCTGTGAGGGGGCTCTGTGAGGGGGCTCTGTGAGGGGGCTCTGTGAGGGGGCTCTGTGAGGGGGCTCTGTGAGGGGGCTTTGTGAGGGGGCTTTGTGAGGGGGCACTAAAACACCAAAGCGAGCCTACAACGAGACTCCTCCTGTCTAACGACGGCAACCTAGAGCTTCAAAGCCTAGAGATTCAAAGCTTTCGAACCCTTCAAAGCCTACCACATGATGACTATATGTTATCAAGAAAGACTAGGGAAAGGGCTGTGCACGAGGAAGCCTTGGGTATGGCATGTAGGAAGAAATGGCTTTCCTGGGGGCTCCAGTTGGTGGGTGTGGAAGTGTGACGTGTCACGTACCTGCCCTGAACATTGGAGCGAGTGTGAATATGGGTGTTCATTGATTAACGTTGACTTTTGAGTCGACTCAAAAGTCAACTGGATTCGGAAGTGTCACGTACGTACCTGCCCTGAACATTGGAGCATCATTGGAAGTGCGAGTGTGAATACGCGCATTGCACGATCGAGTTGGGGCCATCATTGCACCGATCAGCCATGGTTCGGATAAATTAATGGTTGGTTGCATTGAATCGGAGCCATGGATAGAAGGTGCAGAGAACAAGGAGCGAGGCACGTGGGGCAGACAGGGCCAGGTTGCATGGTGGTGAAAATGGAGGGGTGGGGAAGGAGGGAACACGGGAGAGGGGGAGGATTGGAATACGAGCATTACAAGGATAAGACGTCGTTGCAATCACCGTAAAAAAAAGGTGAGAAGAAGACAAGGAAGGAAACGTGATTTCTCAGAAAAGGTCATGCTGCAAAGCACAAAGTGAGAAGAAAGCAGCTTGTCCAGGCAAGCCGGGTGTGCCTGGGAAAGGAAAAAGTCTCCAGTCAACTGTTGAGTCAATTTCTAAATCAACTGTTGATTCAACAGTTGCATCAACTTTTCCACTGGACACCGAGTCATCAAGCCGTTGCAAGTCCTGGCAGGAAAGCAGTCTGTACCTTGGGACCGGCTGTAGCAAGCAAAAGTGACAAGTGGTGTACCTGGGTATTCGTCAATCCGAGACTCAAAGCGGTCGAAGAGAGTGAATGCATCCGCTGTGGTGCCTGTGGGGTGATGAACGGTGATGAGGGGTGGAGTGTGGTGGGGAGGGGCGGAGAGGGGTGGTGAGAGGAGCCGAAAAAAAACGAGAGAGTGACAGGTGCTTGCGCACGTTGGGTTTGCATCGAGAACCAAATCAATCCACTAGCGAACCCGCCTCCGCCCTCTCCGCCCTCCCCTGCTCCACTAGCGAACCCCACACATGTCCATCCGAGCCTGCAGCAGCTCACTCACCTGCAAACCCCGCGATTACTGACTTCTTCTCTCCCAGCCGTCGCACCTTGCGCACGTTGGGCTTTAAGATTTGCGCTCCCATGGTGACCTGCATATGCAAATACACACGGATACACGCACATACACACACACACGCCTGTAAAAAACAGAAGCAGTGTTTATCATTAAAAACTGGGATGTGTACGCGAGGTTTGCTGCTCACCTGCCCGTCTGCTGCTCACCTGCCCGTCTGCTGCTCACCTGCCCGTCTGCTGCTCACCTGCCCGTCTGCTGCAATAACCACTGAGTTCCCCTTCCGCACGCACAGCACCGTGGTGCCGTGGATATCCACCGAGCTGTAACCCCTAGCACCGTTTGATCCGAATGCGCCAGCTGTACTGCTGTTAAAAGCTGTAGCGCTGTGGAAAGCTGTAGCAGCCCCTCTGGTTATAAAATGCAGCAGCGGTTGCTGATGGTGATGCAATAGCGAGGATGGCGAAGGGGATGACGAGCCTGTGGCTGCGGCTTGGAAGGATGTTCGAGGATAGGTTTGGTGTGACACGTGGGGGGAGGTTTGGGCGGGGCATGGTGGAGGCGACGAGGGTGACGTGGATGGAAATGGTGGTGACGTGTCGTTGCGAAGGATGCTTGCGTCAGCGACCAGTGATGACGTGTGCAGAGCCAACGTGGCTGCTGCTGGGACGGCTGTGGCACGACCAGGAGGAGCGAGAGAAAAATATTACGGGCGAGAGGAATTACGCGAGAGGGAACACGAGAAAAAAAGAGGAGACGGAGGGAGAGAAGGTAATAGCATTGAGATTAAGAGTCTGAGAACACCAGACAACACTTTTGAGAACTGCAAGAACCTAAGAACGAGGATCAAGGCCAAAAAGTCAAAGCAAGCCAGTAACGGGACTTTTCTAGAGGGCCTTCCTTATAGCGGGAGCGACGGAAGCAGAGGGTGGATTGCGGCAGCGGAAGGCTGAGAGAATCGCAGCAAAGGGCCTTCGTGAGGTGTCTCAAAAGACGACCTCCAGGGGAGCAATCGCTGCGCGAGAGAGGGGTGAATCGCACGGCGAGCGGCGCGCGGATAGCTTGAGCCGGACATCGCAATAACCTGACCTGCGTGGGACCGCGAGAATACTCCGCTTAGCGCCTTGCGGGATAGCGTAATCGCCGCCATGGCTGTTCGCGCTGACTGTGACGAGCCAAGTCCAAGAATGCCGCCACGAAAGAAAGGGATGAGATGAGGATCTAATGAAAGCTGCGTTATCAACTGTTGCATCGTTCTCGTTACAATGATGGCGATACGAGATGTAAAGAGCTGATATAACATTCAGATAGCTGGAAAAATATTCAGATGAGGTATGATGAAACCCAATTTCTTCTCTGGGTTTTATTAATACCTGGAAGGGAAAATTGTCGGTACTTGATTGAAGCCATAGCTTCTAGGCATAGACTATGGACCAATTCAGCTACCTCTACAATGGTTATGGAATCCACCACACCAATTTGTACTACCGTGATCTCCCAGTTAAAAGACCCGGGGGTCTTCTCCTAAATGTGCTCAAAATGGGCTGTGGGGTCTTATCTGATGGCATAGAGTGCATAAGACCCCTGGACATTTATAAATCACACAAAAATGGATTGTAAAGACCAGTATTGAAGTTTTTTTTTTTTTTTTTTTTTTTTTTTTTTTGCGAATTCGAGTATGGCTCAAAACGGGGAATTCTATCGCCACTCTCGCTTCGGGCACATCAATCGTTGCCACGCGTCACACCTCCTGTAATGCCCAATTGTGACAGGTGCATCAGCATGTCTCGCGTGACGGGCGGCAAAAGCGCATGATCGACATGGCATCATGACTCCATTGACTACGAATTCGCCCCACAACGTGAATCTGGTGTTTTTTTATCGTGACTCGCTAAGCATCTCACCGGTTAAACACCACCCATGCAAAAGAAGGAGGGTCTTATAATGAATGGGGTCAAAAGGCGGGTCCTCTCCAGGACTGACTTAATATAAGACCCCTGGTCCGGATAGAAGACCCACGGGACTTGTACGCGGGGGGGACTTGTAACCGGGAGATCACGGTATGTGCTGTAACCCTGCCATTCAATTACTGCAGTAGGTACACTAGATATGATGGGCAACTCAATTATGGTAAAGCCGGCGCCTAGAATGGCAAGGGCTCAAGATTACTGAGCTTGAAAAGGGTTCAGCGAAGGTTAACGAACGTCGAAATTGGGGCGGACAGGTGGCGAAGGTACAGCGCTAGGCAGTGAATCGCAAGCCACGACATTCTACCTCAGAGCTCATGAACAAACACAAACGACAAACAACATCCAACCAACCATCACGCTGTTCTCCTTACAGAAAGCCGCCTCACTTCGAGCACTCCACGCGACGTGACATACACTGCCGAGCACGACCTGAAAAAGAGCATTCGACAACCTTCACCTACCAACCAATACTCCTGCGCTTGTCATTGGAGAGCTATCTACCGGGTTTGCAACGGTCTTTTATGCGTCTCTGGAATCGCAAAGTAGGTAGCGGAGTTACACGGGAGTACGCAACAGATACGTGCCTTAGTCCAGGAGCACCGAGTCGCCAGCAGGATGTTACAACAGAGGCGCGGCTGAAAATCATGCTTCCTAGAGACCTATTGTTTCAGGTCCGAGGGTCATACGTGAGGTGACGCGAGTGACATAGTGTTAGACACACGTTCCGTCGCTTGCACGAGCATTCCAGCGCCCGGTTAGTTTAGAGAACGCCACATTGGACTCGACGAAGAGTGAAACATTCTAGCTAGCAGAATACGCGTCATTCTGTGTGCTCTGTCAACGGATGGGGAATTGACTGCGCGTACCGGGTGCAAAGGCGCGCACCAACAGCTACGGGGGACGGGGTACGTCGCCGAACTTGCATTGTTGCACGCACTTGACAGGCGCGGCCCTCGCACAGCACACAGATGTGACATATATTCGGTGATACAGCTGGACCACGTCTATTAGAACACTTCGAACTGCTCCACCCTCCTCTTCGTTGCACTCAACCGTCACAGCAGTTACCTGGGCGAAAGATTTCCAGCACCTCACTCAATCTCCCCCGCCAACACGCTCAGTGATGTTGGTTAGCAGCCACTCGCACCGCACCTGACGGTACCACGTGCGCCCCTGTTCCACTCTAGGGCACACCACCCTATAACTTTCAAACGTAACTGAGGCCACCGCAGTCAACTTCGCCAAGCATATCGCAGTCGCATTTGTGTTTTGCGTGCAACCTTCGAAACTCACACACGAGCTATGACATCGTTCTAACGCAAACGGATATCGCACCACCCACCATCGCCCTGCACCAACCGTGATTTCGGTCCCCCGACAGCTCCGCGCCCACCATCGCTGCATTAGACTTTATCGCATCCCACAGGTTCGGCACGCACTTTACTGCAGGCACCACATCTAATCTCTCCACCTCATACTGGTGTCCCTTTTCTCTGTGCGCACCTACGCAGCTACGCCGGCGAGGACGGGTGACTATCGGCAAACGAGGGATCAACTGACACACTCAACATATCTGTCAACCCTCAAGTTCTTGGCCACCAGTGAGTGAACATGGTGGGGTTATGAAGTGGGGATGAAGTGAAGGTGAGGTGAGGTATAACTTGCCTAAGAGGGTGTATCAGGGGAGGGAACGGGAAGGGACAACTTCCCACCGAGAGAAGGCGTGAGGTGAGGGAGATGGGATGTCAAACGCTCCCCACAGGTTAGGCTGTAGAGTGAGACGGAGAGGAAGAATAACTCCCCTTATTGATTCGGTATGAAATCAGGGTAAGATGTGATTCAACCCACCCCCAATCCTCCCCCTCCCCCCAAAAATCTGTTCAAAGGGGTGAGGAGAAGAGGAGGTGCCCTCCCCTCTGTTGCGGGTATATGAGAGCAGTGTGAGGCGAGGTTCAACTCCCCCGCTGGGCTGGGTTTGATAAGTGGTGGAGGGGAGGGGGACCTTCACTACGTGAGTGCGTATGGGGTGAGTGGATGGGGGAGTGTTCACCGGCCCCCACTGGGTGGAGTTTGAGAAGATGCTGAACCCAACAGTGAGATTGTATGGGGTGAATGTGGGGAAGTGTTCAACTTTGTCCCCTGGGCTGGCGAGATAAGAGGGTGAGGGGAGGCTGACCTTCTCTCGGTGGAGGTGTATGAGGGCTTAGTGATGGGAGGTTTCACCTCCCAGCCCCGGGCTGGTTTTGAAAAGAGGCTGGGGAGAGCCTGATCTTCCCTCAGTGAGTGTGTATGAGGTGAATGTAAGGGAGGTTTCAACTCCCTCACATTGGGCTGGGTTTAATTAGAGGCTGAGGGGAGCGAGACCTTGCCTCAGTGGGTGTGTATGAGGTGAGTCTGAGGGAGGGAGGCACCAACTCCCCTTTGGCGGGGTGGGTTTTGAGCGAAGGTTGAGGGGAGGCTTACCTTCCCTCAATGTGTATGAGGTGAGTGTGAGTGAGGATTCAACACCCCTCACAAGGCTGTGTTTGAGAAGTGGCTGAGGGGAGCGTAACCTACCGTGAGTGGGTGTGTATGACGTGAGAGAGATGGGAGGTTCAACCCTCCTTGCTGGGGAGGGTTTGAGAAGAGGCTGAGTAAGCTTGTTATGAGGTGAATGTGATTGTGGGTTCAACTCCCCCCAGTGGCCTGGGTTTTTGAGAAGAGGTTGAGGGGAGGTTGACCTTCCCTCAGTGAGTATGTATGAGATGACTGTGAAAGGAGGTCCAACTCTCCCCGCTGGGCGAACGGTAAGAGAAGTGGCACAGTGGAGGCTGAGGAAAGGCTTACCTTCACTTCGAGGGAAAGTATGAGGTGAGTGTGGGGGAAGGTTCAACACCCCTCACACGGCTGTGTTTGGGAAGTGGCTGAGGGGAGCGTGACCTTCCCTCAGTGGGTGTGTATGAGGGGAGGGAGGGTTCAGCACCCCTCACTAGGCTGGGTTTTGGGGAAAGGCTGAGGGGAGGCAGACCTCCCCTCAGTGAGTGTGTATGAGGTGAGTGTGAGGGAGGGAGGGTTCAACTCCCCTCACTTGGCTGGGTTTGATGAGAGGTTGAAGGGAGGCTGACCTGGAATTTGAGAGTGTATATGAGGTGAGTGTGGGGGGAGGTTCAACTCCCCTCACACGGCTGTGTAAGAGAGAAGTGGCTGAGGGGAGCGTGACCTTCCCACAGTGGGTGTGTATGAGTGTGAGTGAGGGATGGTTCAAAACGGGGAATTCTATCGCCACTCTCGCTTCGGGCACATCAATCGTTGCCACGCGTCACACCTCCTGTAATGCCCAATTGTGACAGGTGCGTCAGCATTTCTCGCGTGACGGGCGGCAAAAGCGCATGATCGACATGGCATCATGACTCCATTGACTACGAATTCGCCCCACAACGTGAATCTGGTGTTTTTTTATTGTGACTCGCTAAGCATCTCACCGGTTAAACACCACCCATGCAAAAGGAGGGTCTTATAATGAATGGGGTCAAAAGGCGGGTCCTCTCCAGGACTGACTTAATAAAAGACCCCTGGTCCGGATAGAAGACCCACAGGACTTGTACGCGGGGGGGTCTTGTAACCGGGAGATCATGGTATGTGCTGTAACCCTGCCATTCAATTACTGCAGTAGGTACACCAGATATGATGGGCAACTCAATTATGGTAAGCTAGCATGTACTCTGTAAATGATGGGAAAATTACACGTTCAGTACAGTTTATGCGTCGGTACCATTTAGACAACTACCTGCATCTGCAGTGAGATATGCATGCCTAAGCAATGCATTTACTCTACGCCTAAGCGATGCTTCGTCCTCTAGCAAATCACCCACAACATGACGAAATGCACCATCCACCATATGAACCCGGCCCAATACACTGCCTCCATCTTCACCCTGTCGCTCTCCGAACGGTTCATCACAGCCGTCGATTGGCACCTGCACTACTGCTGGAGATGCACCATGGAGTACACCCTTTCTTTCATACGAATGGCTTGTATCTGTATCAAATCCGCCACTATCGAGTGCAGCAGCTGAGCTCCCAGGCTTCAGTAGACGTGCCTGTATGGTCGAATCGTGAGAAACGGGAAAGACAATTAGCATACGGAGATCTGAAATGTCTCAAGATTTGAGAGTAAGGGAAAAAGAAGGCAACAGGAAGAGCGAGAGGATTACACACTGTGAGGCAAAGACGCATTTGGAAGAAAGACTTTTGAGTCGACTCAAAAAGAAGGCAACAGGAAGAGTGAGAGGATTACACACTGTGAGGCAAAGAGGCATTTGGAAGAGCGGAAATTTGACGACTGGTCGTTCCTTGCAACACGCACCTCTGCTGCTAGCAGTTCAAGCCGTCTGTCTGAAGTAACAAGAAGCTCCATCTCCTCTTGCACTCCTGTTCCTCCTCCTGACCCAATTGCTCCATCAGTTTCTGCTGCTGATGGTTCCGCCTCCTCCCCGCCTACTTCTCCTCTTCCCCCTCCTGCTCTATTCATCCCATCTCCCCCTCCTCTCTTGCTCCCTCCCGTCCCTTCATCCACAGAAAGCCGTTCGACAGCAGCATCTTTCATACGCTGCCGCAGCAACCGCACTTCGTGAAGGAACCGTTCTGCCTTGGACTGCCAAGCTGATACAGCACCACTGTGCGCCTCCTGTTGGGCCTGGAGGGAGCAGTTAGGGCGTAAGAGGGAAGCATATACCACAAAGTGACTTTCATGCGCTGCCGCAGCACCCACACTTCGTGAAGGAACCGCTCTGCCTTGCCCTGCCACGAGGATAACGCACCACTGTGCGCCTCCTGTTGGGCCTGACCTGAAGAGGGTTATTAAGAAATAAGCAAAATTGCCTCCAAAATCAAAACAAATCGCCTCATTAGAAGCGTTTTACGTGTATTGCTGATGCACTCAAACCTCTCTGCAGTTCCAGTTCAGCCAAGCAACAAAGACAATACCTCCAACCCCAGCAGTCCTTTGGCTTGGCGCATAAAAAACTGCGAGAAAAGAGGGTGCTGCACCTTTTGAGGCGCCTCAAAAATGCTGCACTCGCACCTCTCTGAAATTCAAGTTCAGCCAGGCAAGAAAGACAATACCTCCAGCCCAGCAGTCCTTGTGGCACCTCACAAAACCACGAGTAGATAGGTGACTTGTATAGCGCTTTACAAGTAATCAGCTAACTAACCAATCACATACCTCCAGCTCAGCCGCCCGCTCCTCCGCCGCCCGCCTCTTCCTCTCAGCCTCGGCAACGGCCTGCCGAAGCTGCTTCACCTCCCGAGCCAGCAGCTTGGCTTCGGCCCGAGCCTGAGCCTCTGCTGCCCGCACAGCTGCCAGCTCAGCAGCCTTGTCTTGTTGTGCCTTCAGGTGCTCCTCTGTTGCTGTCTGTAGCTGCTGTTGTAGCTCTGCTTTCTCTTTCTGGATGGGTGAAGTGCGGTACACAGGGGCGAAAACGAGACGTTTCAAGCCAAAAGCTTTTGGTGCTCCTCTGTCTGTAGTTGACTTGACTGCAGCTTCTGCTATAGCTCTGCTTGTTCCTTCTGCATGGGCGGAATAAAAGTTGAAACATCCTTCGTATAAAAAAAAACAAACAAAAAAAAAGTGCTGTAGCCTCCCTGCCACTGTGCCGCCAGCTGCCCCAAGGTGCCCCCACTCGCATCTTGCATCTCAGCCAACCTACACTCACCTCCAGTCGTCCTACACTCTCCCTCGCTTCACCCAGCGCAGCCCGGTCCTCCTCTGCCTGCCACTGCGCCGCCAGCTGTCGCTCCCGCTCCTCCCGCACCTCCCTCGCCACCTCTGCCCGCAGCTTCCTCCGCTCAGCGTCTAGTTCAGCCTCCAGCCCTCGCACCTGCAAGAGGAGGGTAAGAAAAAGTGGGAGGGGAGGGAAGAGGGGGTTAAATGCCTTAGTGGCTATTGCTCCACTCCTCCCGCACCTCCCTCGCCACCTCCGCTCGCAGCTTCCTCCTCTCCGCGTCTAGTTCAGCCTCCAGCCCTCGCACCTGCAGGATAGGGGTAGCAATCAGCGGGATGGGGGAAAGGGGCGATCATGCCTTACTAACTATTGCTCCCGCACCTCCCTCGCCACTTCCGCTTGCAGCTTCCTCCTTTCCGTATCCAATCCTGGCTCCAAGCCTCACACCTGCAAGATGCCGGTTGGGATAAGCGGGAGGCGGTTGGAAAGTGCCATGTTAGTAACTCCACCTTCCTCCTCTCGCCTTCCACTCTCCTGCCTCTCGCCTTGCTCGCTAGAAACTCCTTCACAGCAGCCTCCTGAGCCACTCGCTCCATCAGCTCGCCCATGTCGGTCTAGGCTGCTCATGACAGTTGCACACACAGTAACTATCCCCCTGACTCTTTACAGCACAATTTCACGTCACCTAGAACTCTAAACCCTCCCTCTCTCACCTTGCTCGCCAGAAACTCCTTCACAGCAGTCTCCTGCGCCACTCGCTCCATCAACTCGCCCATGTCCGTCTGGGCAGCTGCCACTTAGCCACCACCCAGCAATGCCCCTCTCTTGCACTGATAGATGCCAGTTTCTCCAGAATTTTCTCACCTTGCCCTCTCCTTCCTCTACCTATCACCTTCCTCTCACCTTGCTGGCTAGGAACTCCTTCACAGCAGTTTCTTGTGCTACTCGTTCCATCAACTCGCTCATGTCCGTCTGGGCAGCTACCAGGCGCCTCCGAAGCCCCGTCAGCATCTTTTTCACCGCTGCCCGTTTCTCCTTGGGCAGGCTCAAAGCCACCTGCCCGGAAACGCCTTGGACAAGCTCCGCCATGAGTTCGGCGTCGCCGGGGTGTATGGTGGTGTGTGGTGCGGTGGTGGGGTCTGCAGAGGAGTGTGGTGCGGTGGTGTCACTGGGATGTATGGTGGTGTGTGCGGTGGTGGTAGTATCAATAACAGTATGTGGCAGCACACTTGCATGCCCATCCATTCTACCATCCACACTCCCATTCGTTGCCATCCTCCCCTCCCCCAACTCCCTCCCTCCACTTGCCCGTTCACCCAACTCCTCCCTCTCAACAATTCCCCCTCCTTCACTCTCCCTCTTGCCCCCCACCAACACAGCTCCCACCTCTCGCCTGCCCATTCCCAAACCTCCATCTCCCAAACCTCCATCTCCCAAACCCCCATCTCCCAAATGCCTCTCCCCTATTCTCGCTACCTCTCCGTCCGCTCCCCGTCCTGCTGGCGTCTGTGTGTCATCTATAGCCCTCTCAACCTCTCCGCCCACACCTGACACAAGTTTTTCTCTGCTCCCCAGTAACCCACTAGCCACATGCTCACTGTTCGCTGCAGCGGTGTGCACCGGTAGGTGCATGCTCCCACCCCCATCCCCCACTCCTGCAACCTCTCTGCTTAACGAGGATGCCTCAAACGAGGCAAGAGGGTGTGAGGCAGCGACCGGGAGAGGGGAAAGCTTCTGAGATTTCTCAACGGCAGGCGATTCAAGAGGCGCCTCAAACGAGGCGAGAGGGTGCGAGGAGGCGGGGTGAGGGGAGGGGGTGACAGCAGAGGAAGTGACAGAAGAGGCGTCTGAAAAGTCCCGTGTGAAAGCTACCATGCGGGAGCCATCGTGGTACTCAAACCCGCTCGCTGCGTCGCTCCCTCCTCCGAAGTCACGCCCCATATTATCACTCCCAGCTGCTGCCGCCGCCGCCGCCGCCACTGCAGCTGCATTCGTTTTAGTCACACTGCTAGCTGCCGATCCGCTTCCAAAACCCCACAAACTTAAGCCTCCCACTCCCACTTTTCCTCCTTCTCCTCCTTCTTGTCCTCCTCCTCCTCCTCCTCCTCCTCCTCCTCCTCCTCCTCCTCCTCCTCCTCCTCCTCCTCCTCCTCCTCCTCCTCCTCCTCCTCCTCCTCCTCCTCCTGCTGGTGCTGCGGTTGCTGCAGTTGTTGCTGCGCCTTTCACTGCAGCATTCGCTACAGGTGCCCCCACGGCCCTCCTCCGCCTGCCAGATGCTTCCAGAACGTTCTCGTCCTCCTCTGCTCCCCCCTCCCCTCTCTCCCCCTCCTCCCCCACCTCGTCCTCTGCCAAAGCAGCTGCAGGGGGGGCACAGGCAGAGGGGAAACAGGGGGAGAGGCGTGGGGACCGGTTGAAAGGTGCAACAGATCCATGGGGGGGGGGGTGGAGGGTGGGCGGAGGGGTTGCCCAAGTTGGGGAGGAAAGGGTGGAAAAGGTGCATTGGGGGGGGGGTGGGGAGGAAAGGGTGGTTATTGAGCACTTCGAACATTGCCTCGTCTTCTGCCTTTTGAGGCGCCTCAAAACGGGGGTTGCCCAAGGTGGGGAGGAAAGGGTGGTTATTGAGCACTTTGAACATTGCCTCGTCTTCTGCCGGCCACCGCAACTGCAGGGGTGAGAGGCAGAGGGAGAATATAAGGTAGTCTGGAAAAGGAGAGCAGATGGGGGAGTGGGGCGAGCGAGCACAGGAGACCTCCACGTCATCCAGCAGCTGCTGCACACCAGGCTTCTTCCGCCATTTCTTCATGGGGTTTGTTTCGTTTTCCTAATACAACACGAGTTGATGGAAGTAAGGCCTCCGCAGCCCACCTGTCCTCTTTTGACAGCTCCTGCACAGGAGACCTCCACGTCATCCAGCAGCTGCTGCACACCAGGCTTCTTCCACCATTTCTTCATGGGGTTTGTTTCGTTTTCCTAATACAACACGAGTTGATGGAAGTAAGGCCTCCGCAGCCCACCTGTCCTCTTTTGACAGCTCCTGCACAGGAGACCTGCGCCTCATCCAGCAGCTGCTGCAGCCAGCCACGCATCTAAAGCACGGCGCCGCTGCTCCAGGCGGTGGCCTTGGAGACCCAGTCGCAACAATACTTCCTTTGCTCACCTGCTCTAGCAACCCTTTCAAGCTCTAGAAAAGCTGCCATGGGGCGAGAGCGCGACACCTCCACGTCATCTAATAGTTGCTGCAGCCACGCATCTAGAGCACGGCGCCGCTGCTCCAAGCGATAGTTATCCGTGGAAATTCGTTGCAGTGGCAGCTTGGGGGGAGGGGCGGGGAGGCGACGACGATCGAAGGAACGGAGAAGCTGGGAGGGTAGAAAGGGGGAGAGGAGAGAACGCAAAGGCGAGAGGAGAGGAAATGAGTGGGGTTGAGAGACGTGTCTGTGCTTCTCTAAGGGGCGCCTGTCGGTGGGTCATGTCGAAGACAATCATGTTTTGACTCGACTCAAAACAAGGGGGGGAGGAGAGAAAGCAAAAGCGAGAGGAGGGGAAATGAGTGGGGTTGAGACGTGGGTTGAGAGACGTGTCCGTGCTTCTCTAGGCGGTGCCTGTCGGTGGGTCATGTCAAAGACAATCATCCTCATGTCAAAGACAATCATCCTCATGTCAAAGACAATCATCCTCATGTCAAAGACAAATATCCTCATGTCAATCATCTTCACGTAAAAGACAGGTGTAATAATTACACACATCATCCCTGTTAAACAGTCTGTAGCATGAATGACATGCAGTTTACACGAAAATATCCCGTGTTTCAAGACATTTATTCATTATCTATATATGTTTCAACACATATATGATATAATGTAGCTTACCATGCTGTAGAGATTGATGAAGTCGGAGAACCTCCTGGGAACACGAGTGACAGAGGTGATGCCTCGAGGAGACCGCACTCCCACACACACGTGAAAGAACTGGGAAGAGGGAGAGAAGTCGAAGTGAGGAAGACGGAAAGGCCTTTAAGTTGACTCAAACGAATCTCCTGGGAACACGAGTGACAGAGGTGATGTCTCGAGGTGACCGCACTCCCACACACACGTGGAAGAACTGGGAAGAGGGGAATACAGAGTGAAAGTATTCAGACACACGCAGGTGAGGAATACCGGAGTTCTCTTTCAGCCTGTGTGGAAGGAATGCAGTGAACGGTTCATCATGTCTAGCCTGTCCCAGACTGACTCGTTACGCATGCTTTTGAAAAAAAAAAAAAAAAAAAAAACTTCATCTGGGCTGAGACACATTGGGAAAGGAAAGTACCTCAAAGGTTCCTCTGGTGGCTCCCTAACCTTTTTGTCCAGTACTCACCAAAACAGAAGCAGGATCAGACGCCTTGGGGAAGAAAACATGCAGATCAGAGACACATTCAAATCGCCACTGTTATCCAGTCTGTTGCCCCCTGTCCCTCCTGACTGACAACTCCTGACAACCCTCCTGACTGACAACTCCTGACAACCCTCCTGACTGACAACTCCTGACAACCCTCCTGACTGACAACTCCTGACAACCCTCCTGACTGACAACTCCTGACAACCCTCCTGACTGACAACTCCTGGCAACCCTCCTGACTGACAACTCCTGACAACCCTCCTGACGACTCCGTAGGACCCTTCCCACACTCACCACGACGGGAGCTGGTTCAAATGCTTTGGGAAGGAACACAGAGACCAGAGACGCACCCAGGGCGCCACTACTGCCCCTCTGCTCCTCCTTGCCGGGCCTGCCCCTCCCATACCCCCTCCTTGACAGACGAATCTATATGACCTTTCTCACACTCACCACCTCTGGAGCCGGATCAGACGCCTTGGGGAAGAGCGTGGAGACCAGAGACGCGCCCAGATCGCCACTGCCGCTCGATCTGTTTCCCCCTCTACTCTTCCCTGTCCCTCCTGACAACTCGCTCAAGAAACCCCTGGGTCCCCGCTCACACTCACCACGACAGGAGCCGGATCAGACGCTTTGGGGAAGAGCGCGGAGACCAGAGACGCACCCAGATCGCCACTACCGCCCCCTGCCCCTGGACTCCTAAGCCTGGCCCCTCCAGAAGCTGTTGCAGCAGCCGCAGCACCACCAGCAACACCAGACGAATTAGCAGCGGCAGCACTAGCAGCAGCAGCAGAGGAGGTGGGAGGATAGGCGGGCGTCCAGGTGGGAATGAGGGTGCAGAAGGCCCAGCAGCCGTCAGGCACGTGCGGCCATGCTGTGGTGCGCCGACCCGCCTGGTGGAAGGGGGAATGAGAGGAGAGAAAAGGGGTGGGAAGGAGGCAGCGGGTGTAACGAGGGGGACAATAGGCCCAGCAGCCGTCAAGCACGTGCGGCCATGCTGTGGTGCGACGACCCGCCTGGTTTGAGTGGGGGAAAGGAAGGGAAACGGCATTTGAGGAGCCTCGGACTGAGGCGAACGGACGAGAAATGAGGGGATGGAAGGAAGAGACTACAGGTATCCTGAGATGTTTCAGCAGTCGGCAGGCACGAGCAGCCATGCTGTGTTCGTGCGAGGACAAGGCGATGACAGACAAGCAGGGACGCGGAAAACAGGAGAACGAGTGCAGGTAGGGAAGTGGCTCTACTTCTCGAATGTCTCAAAAGTCGTCTGGATACACGCGAAAAGTGGGAAGAGAGGCGAGCGAGTCTGGGAAGGGAATGCTCATTCTAGTGTTTTTTAGAAGTCAAAAAAATCTCAAGCAGGGAAAGAGATTGCCAGAATAAGGCGGAGAAATGAAGTGTTGAATTGCGGAAAGAAAACGATCCAGGCTCTGGGAGGGATCCATGGCGAAGGACACGCGCTGAGGGGACTAGCGAACATGAATCCACATGGAAGTAACGAGAATGAGCTACCATGGATTCACTAGAAGAGTCGTAGAGGGAGAAACGGGCTGGTTTTTTAGAATTTTCAAAAACCAGCTACCATGGATTCACTAGAAGAGTCGTAGAGGGAGTAACGGGCTGGTTTTTTAGAATTCTCAAAAACCAGCTACCATGGATTCACCAGGAGAGTCGTAGTGGGAGAAACGGACCCAGTGGACGGGTGGCGGGGACGAGTCCACTCCCCGCGGTAAGGGAGAAGTGCCATCGTTGCGAAAGACACGCGCTGAGGGAATTAGCGAACATAAAAACCATACGAAGAGTCGTAGCAGGAACGCACCCAGTGGGCCGGCGGCGGGGAGGAGTCCATGCCAAGCGGTAAAGGCGACGTGCCATCATGGCGAAAGACACGTGGATTCGACACCGCTTCTCCGCCACGTAGCTGATGCTGCTGATGATGTTGATTATTCTGGCGTGGATCGCTGTGCTCCTTCCATCTTGTGCCTTCTTGGCCTGAATGCCGTCCTAACATGGTTCCGAAACAGTACACGGAGCTCGGTAATTTATTCCAAATTCTACACGGTTCCTTGGTTTGTCGTTCACAAAAAGAGTTCGCGACGCGTTAGACAATACGCCGGTCGCCTCTGTTCAGCTGGTCGCGGAATCGAGATGGAAACTGGCATCTAATCGGACCGCTGCATCAGTGCAAACAACAATGTTTAGACCATGGTGGTGAAAAATGGCCGAAGCAGAGTGGAATAGTTCCTGGAGCCTTGGGATTCCCAAATCGGAGGTGTGACCTTGTTTTCCTATCCTGCAAAGATTTTTATAATCAGCATTTTGACACTACAATTTAGCTGCAAAGAGTGTACCCATTTAACAAGTTGAGCCTTCTGCTTATATGAAGGAAAGACAACTATCTAGAGGGCTGGGCTGACCTCTGCTGTGGGGACCAACTAACCACCAACCAGCTGCAACTTCAAGCCAACTCCAAGGCAATACTGTTCTGTCGGTGATCAAACTGCTCTTGTTTTGCATCTCTAGTTTCTCGCAGCGTTTCAGCAAATTTGAATCCGCTTCCTGCATTTTCTTCTGCATTTTCCCGCTGTTCTGAGGCTCGTCATCGAACTTTCCTCAGATCTCGGGCCATTACGAGTTTTTTTATTGTCTAGCAATGGCCGACAGGCTTCCTGGAGTGATCGCTCTGTTCGATGTGGATGGCACTCTCACGCCGCCACGAAAGGTGCCTCGTTCTGTCACCCTATCCGTCTGGTCAAGCATCGTGCTCCTGATCCTACTTGCAACATCTGGACACGTAACGATCTTTTCGCGCGGTTGTAACATTTTCTTCGCGCTGTCTTCGCCCTTGCTGTGCTGCAGCTAGTGGAGCCTGAAATGGTGGAGTTTATGCAGAAGCTCCGCAAGGTAACATATTCTCTCAGATTCTCCACGCCTTCTTGCCTCTCGACCCAGTAGACTTGTTTGGCAGTTTCCCAATTTTTCTTGAGCGAAGGACTGAGTGCGTTTGTTTTACTCCTGCGGTTGATGTTATCAGACAGTGACCGTTGGAATTGTTGGAGGATCGGACCTGTCAAAAATCACCGAGCAACTGGGGCCTGACAGTAAGTGATGTCAGCTTTAGACTTATCCTTGATCCACATCACCACTCGAATTCGTGAAGACTGTCAAAGAAATGTGGAAGAATCCCTCTAACGCAACAATGACCTTTGCAGCCTTGACGGCATACGACTACGTGTTTTCTGAGAATGGCCTCGTGGCACACAAAGGAGGAGAGCAGATCGGTAGCCAGGTAGGCGATTTTGAACCACATCGGCCGGTAGTCGTGGCACAAGCACTTTTCCTCAGATACTTCTCCTGACCTGTTTTGACCAAATCAGTCTATCTGTGTGAATTTCAGAGCCTGAAAACCTATCTGGGCGATGATAAGCTCAAGGTAATGGGGGTCTCGAGTTCTTTTGCACAGTACCGAACTCTAGGCTCGCATCGCTTGAACGAAGCGCGTGGTTGTGATGCAGGAATTCATCAATTTCACTCTCCACTACATCGCCGACCTTGACATTCCTATCAAGAGGTGAGAAAAGGCTGCTGTATTGTTAGCAAATACAGCTCCTTCTTTACATTTCCAAGTTTGGAGGCTCTTGTTGTGCATTAAATCCCTCGATTCTCTCCCATTGGCAGAGGAACATTCATAGAGTTCAGAATGGGCATGCTCAACGTGTCTCCTATTGGACGAAATTGTAGCCAAGAAGAAAGGGATGAGTTTGAGCGATATGACAAGGTACAGTCGAGCTGGTTTGATTGATCTAGTGTCATGTTACACCCTTTCATGGAAACGAGCATTGATCTGGGCTCCATCTTTCACTCACGTACCCCCACCCTATACCTTGCCTCCTTCCCTCACCAGGTTCACAAGATTCGTGAAACTATGGTTGGAGTGCTGCGGGAAAAGTTTTCAGATTTGAATCTGACGTTTTCGATTGGTGGCCAGATCAGTTTCGATGTGAGTTTCATTTTTATCGCTCGACCACGCGAGATAAGTCAAAGGAATATCTAACTAACGCGACATTTGCCAACCAGGTCTTCCCGACTGGCTGGGACAAAACGTACTGCCTCCAGTTTGTTGACAAGGACTTCCCAACCATCCACTTCTTTGGAGACAAGACGTACAAGGTATGTATATGGTTCACAAGATACTGCATAAGCAAATCAGGCCAGTTTTGGCTGAACTTGTGGCCACCTTCTGATGCAGGGGGGCAATGACCACGAGATCTTCATTTCAGAGAGGACAATTGGTCACACTGGTAAGCTTAGTCCGTTTGTTTTAAGCTTCATATGTCTAAAACGCTGTTCTCATATTTCTTTACTTCACTTGCAGTAACGAGCCCTGCTGACACTCGAGCCCAATGCACGGAGTTGTTCCTCAAATCGGCTTGACAGCCTGGTGAAGCATTATGCTGTGGATGCAACTGAGGGGCTGTTTAGTGTTTTTTCAACTGTATGCAATTCAAGAGTATCAAATTACCTCACAGTTTGTTTGAAATGGCAGAAAGTGTTCATCAGAAAGCTGGTAAAAACAAGCCTTAGACCTCAAAGTGTGAGCAAGGATTCATGAAGTTTCCACTGACAGGAACTTCACGCATAAAGAGCAGGCGAGATTACAGTATTTGTCCATTTTTTGGGCATGACCCGCCTTCAAATCATTGCCTTCTTGAGGCTCACTTGGCGGGCCCTCTTCATCGTGCCTCCAAAACTCGAAGAGGGGAGGCACTCAGATAAGATCAAGTGAGAAGAATGCGGAAGACTTGCTGAATTTATAGGCCGATGTGGAATGAAGAGCACTCTGTTTGTTGTCCTAGGAAGAGCTGGTCGCACCAAGTGAGGGTATTGTACCCTGTGCACCATGAAACACGGGCAACTGGTGATGGAATAATGAATAGTGGGGGCGGAATTTTGAAATTACATCATTGGATGTTCCGAAGCTACCAGCGTATATTCCGTGAACCTTCTTCAGGAACTTGGTCATAGTACATCTTCGCAACTCGGTGTGAATCGGTGCATGGAGCAACTGCATCCTTCCAAAACTCGCTGAAAATCATTTCAGGGCAGCTCCTCGCTCTCACTGGCTCGTCCACATGTTCAGCGGAATCAGTTCCACTTTTTCGGGCTACCCTGCTGAGCTGAACACTTTTCGTGCTGACAGAGTTCCCGGTCAGCCACAGAGCGCACTCCACCACAGCCTCACACGCTTCCTCGAGAGCCACCCGTCGGCCGTTCATAACGTCACCCAATCCACAAATGCAGATTATCCACGTCAGTGCAGCTATTTGCAAGGTCCTGCTTTCCACGTCAGATGAAATTCCTGTGATTCCATCAAAGCTGGAATCCTGGCTTCGCGCGTCTTCTGGAGGTTTGCTCTCCTCCAACACTTCCCCGCCTTCCATTCCGTTCTCTCTGATCACATCACTTGAATCCTCCACTATTCTAGAATCCATCTGGAGCTTCTCAGCTCTCCCATTCCCTGTTACTATCCGTTCAGGCTCGCTTCAAGTCACTGATTCCTTTGCGTTTGCCACTGTCTCAGCCTCTCTTTAATTATTTGTTAGCTGTTCCGACCGTTTCACAGCAGCATGGCAACAGCTACTGCTCATATCGCCCGTTCACCGCTGCACGTCGCGGCTGCAGCGGACGAGCGTGCTGCTCCAAGCGTTAGAAATGTTTCAGCTATTGGTTCGTTGAAGCGGTTTGACGGGCTGCGATCCCACGGCGCGGCCGCTAGGGTTCAGCCTGCACAGGTCAAGGTAACGCAGAGGAGGCCAAAAGGAACAGTTTCAGCTACAGCCACGTCAGCAGATGCGCCTGCAGCTGTGACGTCTACGTTCATTGGAGTGAAGACCGAAGAAGGTGAGGTAGTCTGCTTGCATTCGCGTTTGCATCTTGCATCTGCCAGTTTTCATGAAGGCCTGAAGCATTCTGCCTGGAAGGTAATGTGTTACGCGGAGACAGCTTAATTACGGGTTGAGACGAGAACTTCCTTGGAAGGTTAACCGTCCAACACGGGGCCTTCATGTTTCAAAGAACGCGGTCCGTCCTCCCGTCGCGTCTCTTACGGTGTAACACGCTGGAAGAGCTGTTCGTAATGTTTGTCGATCAGAGCCAT